TATCATCATCACAGGTGATAACATTGATGAGATTCACACTCTTAAACATTCTCTTCATCAACAATTTGCCATTAAAGACTTAGGAGTTTTAAAATACTTCTTTGGGATTGAACTGGCCACTTCCCCCAAGGGATTTTTTTTGAGTCAAAGGAAATATGTGATTGACTTACTTCAAGAAGTGAAGATGATGGATTGCAAACCAACTCGTACTCCTCTTGATAGCAAATTGAAGTTGGACTTGACAGGAGAACCTCTCAGTGATATCAGTTACTACCAACGATTGGTGGGTAAGCTTATATATCTCACCATCACCAGACCGGATATAACTTACGCCGTCAGTCTTGTAAGCCAATTCATGCATGCACCCACTGAAGCTCATTTAAATGTTGTTAAAAGAATTCTCAGATACCTCAAAGGCTCCATTGGTCGGGGAATCGTCATGAAAAACAATGGTCATACTCAAATCTTTGCCTACACCGATGCTAACTGGGCAGGGAATGCTATTGATAGAAAATCCACTACTGGCTACTGCACGTTGGTTGGAGGAAACCTCGTGACATGGAAGAGCAAAAAACAAAATGTAATTGCTCGCTCAAGTGCCGAAGCTGAGTATAGAGCCATGGCTTCCACTGCATGTGAACTCATTTGGCTCAAGGGCCTTCTCTCGGACTTGGGGTTCTCAATCAACACACCTATGTCTCTTTTCTGTGACAATCAAGCAGCTATGCATATTGCCTCCAATCCGGTGTTCCATGAACGCACCAAACACATTGAAGTTGACTGTCACTACGTTCGGGAACAAGTTCAGTCCAAGGCAATTCAAACTACATTCACTCGAAGCCAAGATCAACTTGCTGATATTTTCACGAAGTCTCTTGCTTCTCCTCAGTTTCAAAGTCTGCTCTCCAAGCTTGGATCAATTAACCTCCTTGATCCAGCTTGAGGGGGAGTATTGGAAGAATTAGCCGTCCTACAGCCGTCAAGCCGTCCTACAACCGTCCTACCTTGTCCTACCTGCACACTAGCCGTCCTACAGCCGTCAAGCCGTCCTACAGCCGTCCTACCTTGTCCTACCTACACACTAGGACGGCTACCTTGTCCTACCTACACACTTGTATCATGTATATATATCCTTGTAATCTTGTAGAGAAATAAAAATGAGAAAAAGCATTCTCTTCCATATTTTCCACAATTGACATGTGTTCTTTAGTTTGTTTTCTAATATTTAGCTATTTGATTATTCTTCAAAAGTGAAATCGTGAAAGTTCAGAGATGGCTCTTCTTGAATGAACCCAGATAGCTCTTCGTTCCATGCACGTATACGTTCTCCTATCCAGTTGACAACGCATGCGGCTTTTGTTGCTAAACAAACACATGTCCACACTAAAGGAAGACACCATAAACTCTTAGGTCCACCTATAACCAAGATTTAAATGGTATATGCGTATCAAATGATGATGAGTCTAGAATGTGAAGAAGAAAAAAAAAAAAAACATGACGTGGTACTATATGTGTATATATATATACACAAGCAGAGAGAGAGGGAGTAACTCAGTAACATTGGTATTTGTAGAAGGCTTGAAAATCTGAAGATTAAGGCATGGAGAGGAACTTGTTTGGTCTTGTTCTCTTCTTTATCATCCTTCTAACTTCTCGTAAGTTTCTCTCTCAATATTGTTTGGAATATCATGTTAATGGTTAACGATGGAACTGTCAGCATATTAAGTCCTCGTTCAAGGACATCCCTTCAAAACTATATAAATTCAAAACTGTGTGGACTTTCTTAAATATTAGACAATAATATACATACGCATATGAATGTAGTTAAACTTTCGCATGATTTTTTACATGCATGTTGAGAAGTACATAATTAACTAAACTAATACATACAGAAGAGATGGTGATGCATAGTGAAGCAAGGATTTGTGAAGAGCCAAGCAAAACATTCAGAGGGCTATGCTTCAAAGACGCCAACTGTATCGTGAGATGCCGAAGTGAGGGTCACGGTTATGGCAAATGCTCCCATATCCTTCGCCAGTGCCGCTGCTTGAAGGCTTGTGCGGCCGCTGAAACTGATCAAAGCTTACCATGAATGTTTAAGATCACAACTTGTACTTCCTAAATCTTGATATGGGGTCTATGAAGTGTCTCACATCATGAACTTGTGAATCTAATGAATAAAGTTGCATATTCTATGAACTTCCAATGTTTCTTAAAAGACTTGGTGGTAACTTAAGTATATTAGCTAATTAACCATTAACATAGTATATTAGCTATGCATATTGGCATTAAGTATAATTATGGAGAACGCGAAATTACCTTTTTGTTGGTTTTACAAGCATAAGTGAATAATGAGCACTCTATCCAGCAAAACGCTTTGCATTTCAGCAAAATTTGGCGGTTCACTGGAAAAGAATCAAAGGGGTGCCTTAGCTAATTACAATTTAGGTTTTTTATTTTTGCTCCAATTACAATATAGGTGTGATGGAAGATTTGAAAGTTAATTTATGCGGTCATTTGTTTCTTCTCAACTATCAATTTTTTGCTTAGAGTTTACGTTTTTTTGCACACGATGCGAAAAAGAAGTAGGAATAACAAAAACAATTAGATCGTATAAGATTATACTTGTGGCATTTCCTGCAACGGAGCGTGGGCATTTTTGCTAGTGAGGACTATGCACAATGCCGTCCCAGTGTGATATCGACTGCACAAGGGCGAGCTATCCTCGCAGCCATTGCTCCTGGTTGAACTGCTACTGCTGTTGGGACTAATGCTCCCTGCAAATTAAATCATTTTTGTCTGCTAGCGATAAATCTTATTATATATTTACCACAATTAAATAAGTCTGCTAGCCATGCATTACAACCACAAACAGGATTCTTTTGGTGACGATCCTGAAAATTCGTAAATCGTGTGCATTTATCATATATCTTGCGGTTAATTTTTGTTAGGTAATGTTTGTATTTAATTTTAAATAAAAATATTTAAAATAATTTATGATCGCACGATATACAATAAATGAACATAATTCACATATTCTCGCCGATTCACAAAAACCCCATTTCCTTTTCTTTTCTTTTTTTGTGGCTGCGATGTGTGAGAGAAGAGTGCTCGTGGCGGCTAGAAGGCAACTACTACACTTCTCAGTTTACTGATCTCACCCCATTTCTTTTTTTTTTCCTTTTCCTTTTTAAGTAAATTTTTCATAACAAACGTGATAATTATGCGCTAAACTGCCCATGAGAAATGACGTTGCGCACTAAAGTGACTTAAACTACAAAGGTTGAAGGAGTTTTTTATTTTTATTTTTTATTTTTTGGTCGAAAAAGATTGAAAGAATTAGCCTATGTGTGTTGACATAATCCTATCTAATTTTTTCATATACCAAGATTATTTTTTATAAACTTCGAGCAAGTTTAGTATACTAAAAGGAAGTCGAACGTAAGTCTTTTTTTTTTTTCGAACAATAAATGATACTTCGACGTCAGTGACTAAAATATTTGTGGGAATAAGAGAGAGTCGCATGTGGTCCAATATTTGAAATAGAACTGTGAATCACATTACTAAACAACAACAAAAATTGAGGGCTTACAAAATAAACAGAATAAAAATTGGGATTTATTTCTAAACGGTGTTTTGTTTGGGGGATTAATGCTAAACCCTCTGCCTTTTTTTTTTTTTAAGGTCCGAAGGCACATCAGAGTTGCCAGTGTAAAAGCTGTTATTTGTAGGAGTGCAATAAAATTGGTCAGACCGACTCCTAGCCAATGGGTTTTGATCCATATATCCAATTTTTCCAAAACAAGTTATAATTAATTGGCATTAGTTGATAAGTTTTCTTCTTATGGCAATTAAATAATGCAACCTTATAACTTGTAAGCTAGCTCTAAATCATGACGGATCCTTGACAAATCCTTTAAATCCATACCCTACACACACACACACACACACACACATATATACATGTATTGCTACAACTCAGTTAAAAATTGAAGAGAAAACATGGATAAGAAGTTCAATCTTGGGCTTGTTTTTCTGTTCATCATCCTTCTTGCTTCTCGTACTTCTCTCTCTCTCTTTCTCTCTCTCTCTCTCTCTCTCTCTATATATATATATATATGTATGTATGTATGTATGTATGTATGTATGTTGTTGTACTAATTTTGACAAGTTAACTAACCAATATGTATTGATGTGCAAAAGAGACAGTGCAGCATACAGAAGCTTACAATAACGAGCAGTGTAAATACCTGGAATTTTGCCTGAGTCTGTCTTATTGTAAAATGGAATGTAGGAGGGAAGGATTTCATCTCAGCCATTGCTCCGGGTTCAACTGCTACTGCTGTTGGGAGTAGCCCTTCCTGCAAACGTATATTTAACATAAATAAATAACTTATCATTTGCGCACCAGCGATAATAATCTTATTGTATACTTATCACACTTAAATAACCATGATGGCAATTACTGATGTACATTATAAACTTATAACTATCATGATAAAATAAGATGCGAGAGATTTTCGTATCGTGATTTAATGAAATTTGTACTTGAATATTTACCTTTTATATAGCCCATTGTTTGTTAGTTTTGCTCTTGAGTTGGATTGGTACTCGGTTAAATCAACGTATTATAACTTTACTATCTTGTCGTCATTTTCTAAATTTTGTTGATTTTTTCTAATATGTAAGAAGCAAAGGGCGTTTTGGGTATTTAAAAATATTTAATCATAAGGGCTTTTCCTTAATAATATTTATTAATTTACAATATGGGTAACCAATTGGCAATCGATAGATACAGAGGTCCACGATCATGTAAAAACTTATGCAAGGTTTAAATTTTATACATTTAACCCGTTCATTCAAATATGAAATCATTTAAACCTAATACGTGGACGATACATTAATTGATGAGAGACGCGCGAAAGATGGGCTCTGCATGTGAACATTGGGGTTCCGACACATATTAGAATGTGAGTTTCTAACACTAGATCAATCGACAATGGTTGAAGAGGCCTAAAGTTATTTAATTAAACACTAAATCAAAAGAAAGCAAAACCTTGTTCGAATTATTTATGTTCGAATGTCATTCACTTCAAGAATTTCTTCGACACAAACTCACAAAGGGAGCGGTATATTATAATACGGTACAAATAGATGATGTATTTAGCCCACAACCTGCAAGCTCATGCAAGTCAAATTTTCCATTATTTTCGAGTAGAATTATGCTATGTCCGCCTAAATCTCCACTTCAATAAAAACGAGATCAAGTGTATAACTACTCTTCAACCAAACGCGTAGCAAGCATCAAAGCGCTAAAAATTGGAATGACACTCGGCAACCGAGACTTATGCTGCCACCAACGCCATGTGCTCTATGAGGTCCAAAACTCGGTTGCTGTTAGAAAGACAAAAGCTTCATTAGTCAGACGCATTGAACTTGACACCATAGACTTTGTACTAACAGATACCGCAGGCAGCAAATTGTAATGCACATGCAGAGTGTAGAGTGTTTACCTGTATCCCCACTCGTTGTCGTACCACGAAACAAGCTTAACAAAGGAGGAACTAAGTGCTAATCCAGCCTTGGCATCGAATATACTGGACCTGGAATTAAAGGAATAAATTACAGACAGATCAGTAACGAACATCCATAACTGAATCTTACGAAGTAAATTCACGCTAGTATTGCTTTCCTTTTGAAGAATGCTTAGGAAAAAGAAAAGGATCCTACCTTGAGTCACCAACAAAATCATTGGAGACGACATCATCTTCTGTGTATCCGAGGATGCCTCTAAGTGGCCCATCAGCGGCATACCTTCAAGTAAGATATCAAAGTAAATGAGCTATCCAAAGAAGGGGGGAAGAAAGATGCATAAAGGTAGATACTATATACACAACGAAGAACACGTACCTGATCGCAGCTTTGACATCCTCATACGAAGAACTCTTCTCAAGTCGACAAGTTAGGTCCACGACAGATACATTAGGAGTGGGGACACGAAAGGCCATACCAGTGAGCTTTCCATTGAGTTCTGGTAGAACTTTTCCAACTGCCTACAATTTGAAGGAGCAAAAGAGATTAGTGTACCTTTAAACCCCGAAAATAAATATAAAAAACAACCATCGACAAAATCATTTAAAACACCAAAATATCTTTGGAAAGTACCACCAAGAATTTATTTTAAGATATAGTACCTTTGCAGCACCAGTAGAACTGGGGATGATGTTCTGTCCAGCTCCTCGGCCTCCTCTCCAGTCCTTCTTTGACGGGCCATCGACTGTCTTCTGTGTTGCTGAACGTGTAAAACCATCAGTATGTTAACCCCATAACAAGTGATCAACAATCACATACATGTGTTTTAGAGAAAGAGAGGCAGAGGGAAAGAACCTGTAGTTGCATGCACAGTTGTCATCAAACCTTCAAGAATACCAAATTCCTCATGAATCACCTACAAAATACATTTAATGAGGTACGATATGGCAAGAGGCAGTAGCTTATTACGAAGTGCTAACACAGGAAGAAAGCAGAAAGAACAAATAAATAATAAAGATATCAACTATTGGTGACGATGCCAAAAAGAATGATTAAATTGAAAGGAAAAGGATATAATAAAAGCAGACATGTTTTTGTATAACATCTACCATCCAGAACAAATAAATAATAAAGATATCAACCATTTGGTGACGATGCCAAAAAATAATTATTAAATTGAAAGGAAAAGGATATAATAAAAGCAGACATGTTTTTGTATAACATCTACCATCCAGAATTGTAGTTCAAATTATAATGGAGCTCAAATTTATATCAATAATTTATAGGAGGCAATCAAACCTTGGCAAGAGGAGCAAGGCAGTTGGTGGTACAGCTCGCATTAGAAACAATGTCCATATTTGGCTTGTATGTATTCTCATTTACTCCAACGACAAACATGGGTGCATCGGCTGATGGGGCGGATATTACCACTTTCTTTGCACCACCCTGCAAAGGAGAAGCAATCAGAGATCAACCTGGTGTCCAGTAACGGACAAAACAATGCAGAAAATTGACTTAAAGCAACAAACCTTTTTATGAAATGCAGCCTTCTCAAGTGTTGTAAAAATCCCAGAAGATTCGACAACATATTCAACCCCATAATCACCCCAAGGGATCTCAGCAGGATCTCTGGATAAGGTTAAGAAGTTAATCCCGAATCACAAATAGCTTCACATGATACTCTTTACAATAAGAAAAGCAAATTCTGGTGCACAACATTCTCTAGAGAATTAGATTACTGCTGAAAATCACAGCACAATACCTTTTGCTCACAACTTTGATTGCCTTGCCATTTATTTCCAAGGTGGAATCATCCACAACACTAATTGATCCATTGAATATTCCATGCGTAGAGTCAAACTTAAACATGTAAGCCTGGACATTGAAAAACAAAAACGAAAATTAAACCTTCATAAGAATAAAAGAAAAAGCAAGAGCATTCTTGTCAGCTGCGTAGAGTCATACTTAAACATTTAAGCCTAGACATTGAAAAACAAAAACAAAAATTAAACCTTCATAAGAATAAAAGAAAAGGCAAGAGCATTCTTGTCAGCAATAAGTTTGAAACTGGTTATAGGACAGGAGCAAAATGCACATCCAGGAAAAAATCATCAATGTTTTACCTTTTACTTGCATCAAAACATCAAACAAACAAAAATATATACAGTTTCAATATTTCAGTTAAATATTCAAGTTTAACTGTACGGATACTAGCATTGAGAAAAACAAAGTAATTGGGAACAGTTCAAATATATTCGTTGACACCCTAACTTAAGTAATTTGCAACACTTCCTACACTGTCTAATGAATATCACTCCCATCTTAAAACATAAAGAAGAACTATGTGCTATGTAATTATGACAAAGGAAACTAGCATATTGCAAATAAACATTGTTAATGATACACCCGTATGACTTACCATGTACTTGGGATCTACTAGAGGATCATTGACTGCTACAACTTCTATATCATCTCTAGTGGTTGCAATTCTTAGAACCAACCTTCCAATTCTACCGAAACCTGCACAAATAGTGTTTTCATCATATAACAACTAAAATCACCCTTTATAAAGGCAAGACATTCTAAACATCAGTTAAATGTAAATAGTGTGTTATTGGTATATCAGCAGTACTATGACTAACAGCTAACGATTTTTTAGCATCCAAAAACAATTAAAGAAGCTAATGAGAAAAGCAAAGTAGTAATATTGAAATTATAGTCAAAACAACTTATTACTTAGTAATCAAAACTAACCTAAACTAAGCAAAGAAAACATCATTTGTGCCTACGGATAAGCAAGAAAAAGCACAACTTCAACGAACTTACCGTTGATTCCGATCTTTGTCTTCCCACCACTCCCGGATCCTAAACAAAACAACCAATCAAGAGTGAGCTTCAGAGCAATACAACTCAACTCCACGTTCAAAAAGTATTTTTGGCGTTCTTACTCTGAACTGTTGGTGGCGGTTCGGTGGCTGTGGCCTTGATGGGTTGGACGCTCCTGGCGCTGCATATCCTAGAAAACAGAACATATATCACAGTCTATAACAAGAACAAAGCCTCGAATTGCAAAACCGAAAGTTTAAACATCAAAATTGAGACTGAGTTGCTCAACTGTAAAGAATATGAGCCGCTTGGGATGGAAGTGCCAAATATGGATGATTGCACCTTGGGACAGTTCAGATTGCGACTAAACCCAACGCTCGACACCTGAACAACAAATTACAACCAAAATTAAAACAAAGAGAAACAGAAACTACATTTGCTATTTATTGCTTTAGTGAGTAGTGATTTCCTCTGATCCAATAAATTAAACCAGAAAAATAAAATATGAAAAATCATACAGATATTTAAAGCTTAAGAAAATTCAACTGATTACTAAGTGAAAGAACAAAAAATGTAATTTGAAAAACTAAATACGAGCAGAAATTCAAGGCCTTTAACTTGATAACAAAAACTCATAAAAATCAAATAATTTATTCAAAAGAACACACTTTTCAGTCCTCTGTTTTTTCAAGCATCCAACAAATACGCAATTGACCGATACAGAACGACGTGTTTTGAAACAGTTGGGAGGTGATTAGCCTCAAGCAGCTGAGGGGAGCGAAAAAAAAAAAAAAGACCTTGAAAGAGGCGGAGGCGGCGAGGTCGGCGCGGGAGGCTTCGACCAACGGAGCTGAGACAGTAGATCTGAGCAGAGAAGAAGCCGCCATTTCTGATCGGTTCGGAGCTCTCTTACTCTCTCTTGGTCCGAAGCGAATGGAATGAAAAACCCTAAATAACAGAAGCTTTTTAAGCAGCTATTGGGGACTCCGAACAGGCCACCGCCAGAGGCCAACTGTGTTTTTTGTTTTCCTTTTTTAAATAATTTTTATTTTTTTAATTAAAAAAAATAAGAAGAATATCGTGAGAAAGCATGCGGAGTTTCTTATGGAGCTCACCTGAAACTCTCTCTCTCATGCTTCCTCTTTCTCTCTCGTCACGTTCTTTATGGGGCCAATCTCCTGCGAACTACATCGAATACCTTGATGGTATGTAACCGTCGATGTATTGAGGCGTGGGATATTGACGGTTGGGATTTGAGTAAGTGTGGGTTACGGTGAGAGTGGAAACAGCGGATGAGCAGCTGTGTAAATCACGTAGGTGAGTTTGTCGTGACGTGGTGAGGAGAGAAAGGGTCTCGTGGTTCTCGACAGCCACGTTTGACCTTTGTGGGCTTTTTGGGGCTTTTCTCCTTTTTTGGCTTTCAAGCCGGTCCTACGGATGGCCGGTTCACCTTCCCGGTCCATTGTTCTTTTGTTTGTTACGTTTAGGTCTCAATCCATGGAAATTTGTGTGTCAACCCGGGAAAACACGTCTAGCTACACACAATCAAATTGACTTCCAGGTTTGAGAACTTAATTTTAGTGTAATGGTAGATAAACTAACTTTTTAAACCGCATTTTGAACATACAAATGACGTGATCCTCAAAATGAAACAGAAGTTTTGCCTGTGAAGGAATTATACCTATGTATACGATAACAAGCACAAAGGATGTAATGGAGTTGGATGTTTAGTGTTCGGCTAGAGTCATTAGAGCATTTCTAATAACTTTCTTTAAATGTTACTCTTCAAATACAAATTTATTGACTGGGCAGTTTGAAAACTAAAATTTGTTGATTCACAATTTTGCTCCTATAGACTCTACAAATATTGGTTTTTTTAATTACTTTTCATCACGTCACGTTTTTTTATATTTAATTTTTGGAAAAAAGTTGGCAAAGAAAAAGTGAGATAGAGAGACTCCAAATCTAGAGATTGTAGGACATTTTCTAAATTTGAATACTCATTTGACAACTTTGTTGGAGCACAAAAAAATCTTATATGGTAGTTCAAATTTAGTTTTGTAGACTCTCTCGAAAATGATCTTAGACATCCATGTGATTCGTTCATGTGCATACAAGAATTTTTCCCTCAATTGTTGTTTTTCTATTATTCATAAGGTTCCAAACTTTCTTTCATGCAATGTAACGATGGAGACTAAGAAAAGGTTGAAATGCATTTACCAAAAGAAAAGGTTGAATCAATCCTAAATTTCCTTCTTAATAAGAAAATGGCTAGGGTTTGGCAACACGCACAGCGGTATTAGTGTTTGGGGAAAATCAAGAAAATGTAACTATATATATACATATAATTTTGCAAATTGATGGTGAAATCTTTCAATTCAGTTATATTTTATAGATGAAGTGTGCATGTGCAATGTTTTTCTCAAGTAGAGGACAATATCTTAACTTTTTTGCTTAAATGTCAAAATAGTTTTTGTATGTTATCTTATTTGTAAATTTGGTCTTGTGTTTTTAATTTAGTCAAATCGGTCTTCGTATTTATTTTTGTTAGCCAATATTGAACAATCCGTTGCTCTACTACCTTACCAAACCTTCAAATACGAACCGCACAAACCTGCTTTGTTATTTTGTGTTGGTCGGGGGAATCAAAGTGGGGACATTCACGGTAGAAGTAGAGGACACATAATACATAAGTGCGAATAAACCTAAATTATTGACATTGATGATTGAATGTGAGATTATATCAGCGTGGAGCCAACGCATGACACACGGTACTCTTTTGGCCTTAGCTTTGTTGGGGTGTGCGTGAAGTGGTAGGTTAGGGTTGAAAACAACCAAATACAGCTCTGCACGTGCTCTTCCCTATAAGTAGGAAAATACTAATACTCCATGCATGCACAACAAGAAATCAATCACGCGCCCATTCGCGACTCATTTTAACACTCTTTTAATTTGATGTAGACTAAGAACTAAAAGTTGGAAGAGAAATCGATCACGCACCCACACACCTAGTGACGGATGCACATCGGAACCAAGGTAGTTCCAGAATTATTTGGAGTCTAAGAAATATACATGTGAAAGTTTTTCAAGGACAGTCCGAATATTTGGTAGGAAAATTAACGAAAAGTCTAAAAAAACTTTAGTTTTAATGAAAAATGACAAATAAAGATGTAGTGAATAGTACCAGGAAAAGGTAAAAGTATGGTTTTTCGTGAAAAGTAAACAATACCAGTTGTTTTTAGTTAAAACTCCTATATTTGGTGGGGTTTTTTTTGTGCCCACCAAATATTTGACAAAATGTCTCTCGCATGTTTCGTTGACAGCACTCTAGAAATTCTCTCAATAACACTTAGCAGATTACTTTAGCATATGATAATTAATATCTTCTAACATGTGCGCAACTTGGTGCGGCTGACGACAACAAACTCGTCAAGTGTTAAACGAAATGCCTCAGTGAATAAACTGAATTTTTATGTGCGCTTCGCGCTCAATTTATATCTAAAAAACTTAAACCTTTAACATTATAACCTCCTAAAATTTGAATCATGGATCCGCTACCGAATATCTACAACTGATTTTAACATTTGTCTTGGGAATAGAGTTGGAAGCTAATAGCCGGAAGGCATATATATGCCAACAAAGTAACAAGTGCAATCTTGCTTTCGGGGATGACATGATATGTTTGTTGTCTCATTAGGTCATGGCATTTTCTTAGGCACAACCGCACAAGCTTGGACTAATACACAAAACATCTGTTTGATGTCAACGGGTACTTTGTTTTCACATGATGACAATGTCCAACATGATAATGAAATGGATATTATTTACTCCTTAATGAAATATACCTAATTATGGGACCATACATATAGTCGATAATACATGTAAATTACCTTTATTAAAAGAGAGACTTTTATGAAAGGGGTTTAGCGGCTAATATGGTAGCGGAGTAATCGGTCTCTTTCATTAACAACTATAGGTATAAATCTCAATATATTCTAGATTTAAGTGTGTTGACTGGTTATGTGATTTAACTTATTTGTCTACATTGAACCCTTATTTGAAAGCACCTATTAAGAACGTTGAAGGTTCGTGGAATTACTAAATTTTTGCTCGCAATCTTGTACATAGATGCATTTGTGTGCTATTCATCTATATAAATTTGTTTTAAGAAAAGTCATCAAAGACTCTTTTGTCTATTATATGTGTGTGTGTGTGTGTGTGTGTGTGAATTTTGATACGAAGATATAGATGTCTAAACAACTGGTTGATTAGATTATGGATTCCAAAGAAGGCTTACGAAACAAAGAATGTTGTTGGAAGAGTAACATTCAAAGTTACCCATCATATATAAGCACACCAATAATAGCCACTAGCCTACTTGGTTATAAGCTTATATTCGAATTATAATTGTAATTAGACGCCTACATTATAACAATAAATCAACACATATGAGTAGTTGTTTACTAATCAAGATGTTAAAGGTGTCTTGGGAACTCATGATGCATGTGTTTTTTTTTCAAATAAATAAAAAGAAACGATAGCAAATTTCAATCAATCAGAGAAAAAAAAAAAAGTACACAATATAGCGGCAGAAGCAGGCTTAAATCAAGTTGCAATCCTCAAAGAGTAAATTTAGAATAAAATTTGGTGGAGAATCCAACCAAGCACAGGGAAGTTCGACAGTGAGAGCATAACAGGCAAGGTGATCGGCGACGCCATTAACTTGGCGGCAGACATGGGTGTAGGCGTAGCTAACCTCAGTGATCATTGAAAGCAAAGCTTTTGTATTCTCCACAATTTTTTCCAATCGGAGGCTAATTGGTCAAAGGCTTCTTTATTGCTCTAATAATTTGAAGTGAATCACTCTCTATAAAATGTTTTTGAAAACCTCTGGTTGCCGTCCAAACTACGCCTTCTCTAACCGCCAAGGCCTCCGCTTGTAAAGGGGAGAAAAATCTCTGAATCCCTGCAGTCCGCCTCGACAAAATCTCCAGCTGCACTACTTACAACAAAACCTGCCCCTCCAATTTTCCGCTCCGAGCTCCAAGAACCATCAATGTTCATTTTCAGACTAACCATTGCCGGTGCTGACCAATGAGGGATGTCAGGAAGATGAGTTGGAGTGTGTGAGGGCCTCGAGTTTACTGCTACAAACTCATGCCACCAAGACATAGCCCTAGCAACCAGCACATTTGTCATAATTGTCAGACCATAGGCCCCAAAGAGCCCAGCAAATCATCAAGAAAAGATCAAAATGATAAGATGGGAGTTTGTCATCCAATTTCATTGCTCATATTCTTTGAAAGTTGGGGGATGAAAAGTCTGTTTGGAATTGCTTGTGTAGAAAACAATTATACTCACAATGCTTACAAAGTATTTTTATCAGAATTCAGAAATACCTAGGGATTTTAATTAATAATCCGAGTGCTTCTTAAAAAGCACATTGAAGGTGCTTATCGGAGAAACTCCTTAATCTAGAAAGCACTTTCAACATTTTCCACTTAATATAGTCGAAAACACTTTTGATTGTCAAAAAGTGATTTTACTTCTTTTAAAAACAATCTCAAACATGCCCGAAAATTAAATTATAAGATAAAACAACATTGGAACAGATATGATCATTTTGTATAAGTTTTTGTACTCTCCTGTCAACTTTTCTCATCTCTCTTCCATCTCTAATTCTCTTATATTAAAAAAAAAAAAAAAAATAGTAACACGGCCATAGATTTCTAGTACTCATTGTATATAGTATATACACAAATGATATAATTTAATTTATCTTGAAGTTAGATTGGTGTAGAGATTTTGGTATCGCATCATGTATGCGAGATTGCAAGTCACCATACAATTTTGTTATATTTTCCAAGTTGTCAGTAATTCTTACACACGAAGTGAAATGTTAATATACTTAATAGAGTAATTAGGTTTGCATGCATCGAATTTGGCAAACGTGTAAGAAATGCAGCACTTTAGGTTAATTAGCTTTTAGGCTGGTAGTAGTTTTCTTGTCTTCCAAGTTTTATCATTTGTTCTTGAGGTTCTGTGTTTGTCTTTTGTATTCAATTTCTTTTGAACATTCATGATTTCGTAAACCAAAGTTATTTATTTACTACTAATGTTAGAATAAAATTGATCATTTATTAAGGCATAACAAAAATAAAATTAACTTCTTACTTCTATTTATACAAACGATATTGAGAGGAGAAAGTTGAACTCAAAATCTCAAACGTAAAAATAAATTCTCTTAACCAACTAAGTTATTAACTTTTTGCAAATTATCTTTTTACTTGATATAAAGTTGTTTGATTTTTTTTTTTTTTTTTTTTTTTTTGTTTGCCTGACTTGATATAGAGTTTATATCACGAAAAAGAAAAGAGCAAAAACGGAAAGTTTTTAGTTGTGTAATAAGGAAGACGAAGAAAATTTCAGCATTGGTTAGACATGGAAAGCCAAGTGTCATTCTCTGAGAAGCTCTCCCCCAACGAAGAGTAATTGCCACATAACTTTCCGGCAACAATGGTCATTTGTCCACCTTCCATCTTCCTCCTTCATTTCATATAACATTCCAGCATACCTTTCTCTCGAGAGACCATACAATTAAAAATAAAGATAAATAAAAAATCTGTTCTCTCATTGAACCTCTTGCCGCTGGTAATCCACTCCAAAACTCTTTTGCCTCTTTGGAAAATTTATCTTCCTATTTATGTTGTCAAAATCGTTGATTATACGAAATCATGCATGTTCGAAAGCAATAACATAGAATGACACATAAATGCGTTGATTTTCAATCAGACAACATAACGTCACATATATGATTAGAGATCATCAATTTACTTACGCATGGAATTAATTTTTTATATATATGCATGTATATTGTATTTCTATGTGCTTGTTTTGGGTTGGCATGTTGTGGGGTCTAATATAAATCTGTTGATAGTTCATCATATATATCCAATATATGGTGAAAAACTGCAGCTTTTTTGCGGGGTGGTTATTTGTTTTGGGCTTCGGATGTTGCTAAGACGGAAATATGTTTGATTTAGGTTGCAAATTCTGGTCTTAGGGAAGAAATGAATTAAATCATTGTTTACTGCCTTAAGGCTGCGATGAATTGCACAGTATTGGATTTAATTTGGAAATCCGGGGTATGAGAATTTTCATTCTTACTAAGAAACTTTGTGTGATTTTTCTGTTTCTCACATAGTTGTTTTTCCTAGAATATTTATTTATGTGCACTTAATGAATACTGCTATAAGAAATTAATCTTCTTGTGTATATCAGATGCTAGGATAAAGATCCAACAAAATTGCAAGGATGGCTGTCAGCTATAAATATTGGGATGACTGTGTTGATCCCCACGACCTGGAAGAATTGTGGAGTAGTCCTTATGTGGCTGCAGAATGGTTAGATGTTGGAGAGACCAAGGGCCAGAAAGTTCACCTCTCGCGCGATCCCGATGGAAATGCTTATTTGACACAGACCGAAATGAAGGTGAAGCGCACAGTTCTAACTACATTGAAGGAAATGATTTACTATAAGTTTGACTAAAGAGAATTCTTTTGGAATGAATTAGGCGTAGACCATTTGCTTCCGAATTTGTTGAATTATTTACCTTGCATCATATGGCTGTTTTTCAGGCTGTGGCTGAGATCATCATCCGCCGGCATTTTGGTTCACAAATAGATCCTGTAAGTTTTCTATGATACAAACAGATTAGCTAGTCTTTTCCCTAATTTCCTATAATGTGCTTTAATCAGATTGGATTGAACTCACTTTTTTCTCCGTCCAATAGAATAATAGAATGCACTTTTCCTCAGTGGCATATATATCTGGTCTTCGCAATTGAGTCATCAGCTGCTTAGAATGCAGCTTCAATCTCTGCTGGACAATAAACATGCCCTTGTTACGCGGTTATGGCTTTTCTTCCCCTTATTTTGCCTTTTGTTTCTGCTGCAGGATATGATTTGTGCTATTGCAGACCTTCAAAGTGATAGACAACCCCTTGCTACGCGGTATGATAAAAAAGCTAAGTCCACCTCTGTAGGGATCATGCAACTTTTTCCAAACACAGCTGAATGGCTAGCTCGGTACGATCTATATGATCTGATTTGATCTTGCGAATGTGACTCTCAAATGGACCAGAAATGTTTTTATCTACTTTTTATGTAATTTTGGTGCAATGACGTTGTAAGTAAAACTTTCTTGCAGTGATTTGGGTTACCATTCATATGATGTTCAAGGGGATCACGATCTTCTGTTCAAGCCTTTTGTAAATGTATATTTTGGTGCTGCATATCTTAAATGGTTAGCAAAATTTGAGAACAAGTGAGTTACAAAATATAGTGTTCGTCTCATCATTTTTTGTATCTTGTTACGTGTGGCTTCTATGAATGTGGACTTGGTTATATCCATCTTCTAAAATTCGATACTGATATATTTCCATCTTTGTAGAGAAAGAAGTGAAGAATTCATAATTAGGGCATATAAAGGTGGTACCAAGAAGGCAACTCACAAATCAACTTTGCCATATTGGCAACGGTATCGCTTAGTCAAAGAAAGTCTTCCATCCAGGTTGCTATCTTCTCTCTATCACTATAATCTGGAACTTGGTTTAAGCATTTTTGTAACAATAATTTTCTTTTTGACAATGTAATGATGCACTGAAATGTTTTCCTTTATTTGTAGCGAAAAGAAAACAATGTGTTGCGTTTGTTGAATTATGAAGTCTCAATAATTGTTAAGTAGAAGCTAAAGTTTTTCAGATATATTCCAGAGCTGATTATGGTGTATCAAACCTTTGTGCAGAAAAAGTTTTGAAGGTCATCCATCTCCAATTCATGGCTCCGCTTCTAAAACCCATCATGCTGCACCGTCTGCACCCTCACACAATGCAGGTTGGTCCTCTTTCCAGTTACAGTGCGTGCTACAGTTATTCGCGCCAGCTCAACTGATAAATATGTTATAGAAAAATATATTATATTTTGTTTAGTATGAACATTGTAAAGAGAACATTTGTGGAGACGGCAGTCTGTGAGTTGGCAAGGACGGTACTAATCCAAACATGTTGTGTTTTGATAAGTGTTTTACCATGTTTGATGATTCTTTGTTTGTGCTTTAATATAAAGGAAAACTAATGAAAAAGTTTGAAAACTTTAAGTTTTAACGATAAGGACAAAATAAAAGATAAAGTGAATAGTACCATGATTGACTTTTTAGTGTAAAAATATGATTTTTTGTTAAAATGAACAGTACCGAAAGCTTTTCGTTAAAGTTCCCAATAGAATGCAATCCCGAATATATAGGTTTCCTCAAGAATGTAGATCCTCTTCTTAGCTTTGTCATACAAAATTCAAGAATTTTCTGTCATTTTTATTCCTCATTTGCATTATATTACTAAGCCGAGAAAATTTTGATCAGGTCATCATGTTTATTGGGATGTCAGAGCGTCCCCAGAAGACATGGAGGAAATGTGGAATCGTCATGACGTCTCTAAAGAGTGGACCAAGACTGGAGAGAAAAAGGGAAAAGTACGATTTTCCATTGACGAAAAGAAAAGACCATATCTTTCTCGTGTAGAACTGAAGGTACGAATTTAGAAAAGACCGTGGTTTGAAGTTTACGATTATATTTTTTCGGTTTGCATTGTGAGTGAAATCAACCTTAACATGTCACCTAAATGATATTGACTTCTTGCAGGCAGTTGCAGATATCATACTCACAAAACACTTCAGTACAAAGCCAATTAAACCTGTAAGTATAACCTCTAAGTTGTGAAATATATTTTCGACACTGGTTTTTACAACCTGATTCTTCATCTGAGATATGTAAAAGCCTGGAAGATAACAAAACTATTTTTCATTTTCGTTGTGTTTTTCAGTTTCATAAGCATTTCTATCCTAACTCAGTTCACTTCTTTGACTCCGACGATCACTGTCTTTTACTTTGTTATTCTTCTTTGCGGGGGACTTATTTTTTGCACAGTCAGTTCTTTGTGCTCTTGCAGAGGTTATTAGCTTGCGTTTCCTGAATGGTGTCGGACCACGTGCTGGAATTATGGGAATCGACTATTCTACAGCTTCATGGCTCTACAAGTATGTCAATCTCCTTAACAGAACTTAATTGGAACAGAGAAGCATGCTCAAAAAGTTTATAGCAATCTTTCTAGAGATCAAGATCTTAGCTTGTCATGATTGTTCCAGTGTTTGGAAATGTTAAAGCAGATTATTTTCAGTTTTTACTATACACTTAAACTTCCGCGTTGTGTGCAGCGAGATGGGCTTTAGAGCATATAATCCTAATCAAGGTGATGATCTTTGCAAGCCATTTTTCTCGATGTACTTTGGTGCAGCCTATTTAGCATGGTTAGCGGAATATGAAGGGAGGTAAGTGTGTTACAGGATTTATTTGTCATTGGAAATAATTTTTCGATTGCCTAATGTGGATATCATTGACCACGTTACGTCTAATTTGATGGTCATAATAAACGAGCAGCTCAAGAACTCCGGAGTTCGTTGTTCAGGCTTATATCTTGGGGCCAAAGAATGTGAATCCTCAGGATTCAGGTCCGCAGTGGCTCAAGTTTGAGCAAGCCTTGAGCCACTATGAAGACGTGAAAAAGTTTCAAGAGTACGTACCATCTCGCTTCATTTGTGAACGTTCAGAATCTTCAGTTTATGACTGATGAATCAACCTTTTCGTTGTAGGGAGTACGGGAGCTGCACTATCATGTAAGCTGACGAAAACCACGTACGTTGCCACCTTCGATTATAAAGGGTTCCGTCCTTCGAAGCATGCGTGAAAAACTCGAATGGATTGAGAAAATGCTGCAAGGATTTAGAGTTGGTTTTCACTTGTTGAATTGCTTTTGTGATATTTTTGGAGTGCTACTTTTTGTTTTTGGCAAAACCTATGTCCCAGTACTTAATATTAACACTTTGATGCGTCTGTTTTCTCAAAAGAGGATAGTTCTGATGCATTTGCAATAGGATGAGTCACACATTTGGCTCTAAAAATAATACCTCTAATTAAATTTAAAATCCACTTGTAAGTGCCGAGGTCTTAGGTTTGAATCTTATGGATGACAAATGCGATACCAAATTTTTCCTATCACATCCTAGTGTAAATACATTGTATTAAAAAAATCATAAAGTTCGTGAATGACAAGTTCAATATAAATTTCGTGAAAGATGGTATTACAATAGAAGCCAACAACTTAAATAAACATAATCAAAATGCATTGGAGAAGCTTAAGGGTCTTAGGTAATTAAACAAAATCAAAACGGCACTAATCGGACGACAAATGAAAAGGTTGATTTTTATTACAAAAAATAAATGTAATTTTGAAAACCTAAACAACCTCAGATGATCTTAGACACGATGGGCTCATGGTAAAACCATTAGTCTTCTTATGCTCGCAATTCTTTTCAAAATGACATATTATACGTCTAATTCTTATGCTCATGGTAAAACCATTAGTCTTCTTATGCTCAACTATTAGGTCATTAACAGTTTCATACCTCGTCTTTAAAAAGTTTCAATGTCATACCGTATCTTCGAATTTGTTGCAATGTCATACCTTCTGTCAGTTATCTGTCAATTCCTCCGTTAAATGCTGACGTGTCACACCTTCTATTAAAAAACTAAAAAAATATTATTAAAAAAAAATAATAATAAATTTTAATTATTAAAATAATAATTAATTAAAGAAAAGTTATTAAAAATTAAAAATATAAAAAAAAAAAAACAAAAACCCACCCCATGTTCGTCTTCCTCCCCTCCCCGGCCCACCCAACCCCCTTCTCCCCCCACCCCCTGCAACCCAGAAAGAAAGAAGAAGAGGAAGAAGAAGAAGAAAAAAAAAAAAAAAACCCACCCCATGTTTGTCTTCCCCCCGCCCAACCCCCTTCTCCCCCCTACCCCCTGCAACCCAGAAAGAAAGAAAGAAGAAGAAGAAGAAAAGAAAAAAAAAAACCATCTTCATCTTCCCCAACCCCTCCTTCCCTGCAACCCATCCATTTCTTCCTCCTCCCGTCTTCCCATTCCCTCCTCCTCCGCACCCACCCTCGCACCCACTACCTGCAAAAAAAATAAAAAAAAAAAACCATCTTCATCTTCCCCAATCCCCCTTTCCCTGCAACCCAGATCCCGTCTTCCACCGATTCCGCAGGTGAAGAAATTGGGCACGGAGAAAATGGGAGGAATGGGTGTGGATTTAAGGAGTGGGGTGTGTAGAGGAGGGAAGATGGTGGGTGCGGAGGAGGAGGGAAGGGGAAGAAAGGGGTGGGTTGCAAGGAAGGGGGGTCGGGGAAGATGAAGATGGGTTCTTCTTCTTCTTCTTCTTCTTCTTCTTTCTTTCTGGGTTGCAGGGGTGGGGGGAGAAGGGGGTGGAAGGGGGGGGGGAGATGAACATGGGTGGTTTTTTTTTTATATAATTATTTTAATATTTAAAAAATATTATATGATTTTTTTTTGTTTTTAATAATATTTTATTAGTTTTTTAATAAAAAGTGTGCCACGTCACAAGCCACGTCATCATTTAACAGAGGAATTGGCAGACAACTGATGGAAGGTATGAAATTGTAACAAATTCATAGATGAGGTATGACATTGAAACTTTTTAAAGACAAGGTATGAAACTATTCATGACCAATAATTAAGGTAGTTCTATGTAATTTACCCTATTTTTATTTAGTTGATAGAAGACTAGAAGGTATTGGATATGAATGTAAATAACATGTGATGTGCACATGATATTAGATAGGAGTGTAAACGACATGCAGTAGCTTACTCTCTAAGTCAATGTATTAGAAGAGTTTAAAAGGGGCTTTTCCCTCCATGTATTGTAAGTGTGTAAAAATACAATTGCAGAGAAATTAATTCTTTGAGATTCATAGCTTCTTCTCTGAACCTTTCTTCTTCTTCGTATAATTTGTGAGTTGTTCTTGATCTTTTCAGTGTGTTAAGAGAAGGAAACCTAGAAGTTTAGAATTTCCGGAATGTTATAATTCCAATAAAATTAATAATAGAATTAGTGAAAACTAGAAAGTAATGCCCGCATATTGCTGCGTGTTTAAAAATTGTAAGAAATATTATATTTGAAAGAAATAAAAGATTGGGTCCTAGAAGATTAATATTATTTACATCGAAAACATTAGGAAGATTTATTCATACAAAAGATTTAATCGATACAGTCCATATACAAAAAATTGTAAAACTTTTGGCTATCTACAGTAAAAAAAAAAATAGATCGAGACATTCCATTGTGGTTTTTGATTGAGAGTATAACTTATATACAAAAGATTACAAAACATTGGGTTATTTACATGCAAAAAATATTAGGGAATATTGTTTCATTTAGCTTGAGAAAATATGACCAAAATTGTTCACTGCAGCACCAAAAGTTTCCCTCCAATACTCTTAATTGTCAAGAAAGCAGTCTAGGCAAAGGAAAAAAAAAAATGAAATTACGTGCAATTATTTTATACATCAATAGATTTATACTATATGAAGAAAATAGGAAAGTATGAAGAAAAAATGAGCTAAGCCCATCCCTCTCTCACATTCTTCTTTCCTTCCACTGTTTTCGTACCCTAACCTAAATTTTTCTTCCATCCATTCTCTACTATTTTTCTTTGACCATCCGCAAAACCTAAACACCCCTCCTTTCCCCAACCAGTTTATTTCAAACGGCCTCCAATCTGATTATATTACTTTGTAATATCCACCCTCCAACTCGATGTACTTCCACATCTATCAGAAAAGTTACATGCTTGGAAAAGCACGCTAGAAAACTCTCCAACCCAGAATATAATGGAATTAAAATTTTCGCTCAAAAAAAACTCAACATGTCTCTCGTTAAAAAAAAGTGCAAAAAAAAAAAAAAACCCTTGCCGCTGGAAACATGCAACACTTTCTTGGAAAGGACAGATCAACGAGCAGAAAAATATTTCGAACCCAACCAAATAGAAGCAAAAATTAACAATTCTAACAGATAATCGAAGAACAGCAAAGCAAAAGCCTCAAGGTTTTGAACAACAAAACCTACAAAGAAAGAGGATGACAAATTTTAACACTTCAAATTGAACAAAACCAAATCCACAAATTTGGAAAAAGAACTGTCAGATGCAAGAATCGAATAGCTCACCGGAAAATGATGAAGTTGCAAAACCATTAAGATTGACAGAGAAGACAGCGAGAGAAAGCAAACGATCTCTAGACAACAAAAAATCCTAATGCAACCTAACTATGCAAATATTTACATAAATCCTTTACCCAAACAGTAACATTCCAGAGGGAAATGCACCTAAGATCAAATATTTCGAGCCGACTTCCGTGGAAAATTCAGACTTTAGAACGTATCCGCTATTTTAGCCATATCCGCAGCGCTCATCCTTTATTCCTAGATGCTTTGAATATCCCTGTAGAACCTAGAAGAGCGAAAGAATAACTGGAGAGAAAAGAGTGGCAAATCCATCCGCACCCTATAAAATCCCACCAAAATCATAAAACATTGAACAAAATAAGGGGCAAATCCGTCCGCACACCATAGATCAACAATAACCCACAAAACTCAGTTTTAGTATATATAAATATCTATTAACTTTTAATTTTTTAAGAAAAGTACCTCAACTATTACAAATTTGACATTCTACTATAAAATCCCACCAAAATGAAAAAACATTGAAGAAAATGAGGGGCAAATCCGTCTGCACCCTATAGATCAATAGTAACCCAAAAAACTCAGTTTTAGTATATATAAATATCTATTAACTTTTAATTTTTTAAAGTACCTCAACTATTACTCTTGCACAAGGCGTCCAAAATATTAGGATTGAACCTACCAAAAGGGTACTAAATTGAGCAGCTCACATTCTTTCACTGCTCTATTTCAGTTTCCTCGAATATCTCAATCATTGTGACAAAAAGTTATAGTATACATTTTTTTTTCTTCAATAAAACGAACGAGTCCAACATGGAAAAAAGAATTAAGCAGGATATATAGAAAGACTTATCGACTACTTGCATGAACATACAAAAAATTATGAATATAATGTGTTTCATGGTAAGTGCATGCAAAGAAAGATGTATGAAAAGTATGAATCAACTTCGTTTCACTTTCGATATGAACATTTACAATTATTTTCATTTTGGATCCTATACTTTTGAAAATTATTTTTTATTTGTACTTTTAAAAGGATTTTCACTTTAGACGCTATACTATTAAGACTTGACCCTAATTTACCATTCATGTTGAACGCTTTATCAGAGGCTTTGGTTTTGCATTGCCATGCCAACTTGAACACTTCCCCACTTTAAACTTTGGTAAATACCAAATTCCGATTCCACCCTCAGAGTCAATTGAAACTCTAATCCAATTTACGAAAGGACATGAGGCTGACAATATGGAAGATAGATAGGGTTGCTGCCAGGCACATCACACACTTCGAGATTACAACCATCCAATGGAGGCAAATTATCTGTGTTACTGTTTGGGTGCCATTTCCATCATCTTCTATTTTGTGCAATCATAATTAAGTTATATCAACATTTTATATTAATTTTTTTTATAGAGATAATAAGATAAAAAACAATAGAAATATAAAATATTGACATAACTTAACCGTGAGCGTACAAATAGAAAGGGATAGGAAGAGCATCCAAACAGGAAGACAGACAATCTGCCTCCCCATCCAATAAGGTTTGAAAAACTCTTCAACATAACAATGACGCAGTCACATAGATTATTTCACGTGTTACAATATGAACAAACAATAAAATTCGTTGCAAGACATCACACCACACAGTAGAATTTCTCCTTAAATCAAACCATCATACAACATTATAACGATCAAACAACAAAGTTGGTACCAATAACATCACTTTCCATAGCAAACTGATATCAAGTGTAGCAAAACACTTTGGATCATTAACATTGTTCCAAAAAATATCCATCCCACGTAAAAAGGTAAAATCTCAAGACGGTACTTATTCAAATCTCTACCCCTATAAGCCTCTACAAGATCAGCTCTGTTTTACTTGATCCACTCTGGTTGAAAACCAACCATTTAACTGCAACGAAATGCACAAAATAAACTGAGAAATTTTCAGCTTAAGCATCGTCAAGAGCAAGGACTCCGGGGAGTGTTTTGCCTTCGAGGAGCTCTAAGCTTGCACCGCCTCCAGTTGAGATGTGGCTCATCTTCTCAGCAAGCCCAGCCTTCTCAACAGCGGCAACTGAGTCACCACCTCCGATGATTGTTGTCACCCCCTTGCCGCTCAGCTCTGCAAGCTTCTTAGCTATTGCCTGATGACATGAAATGGGTTAGATTCATAATCAGTGCCTAACTTTATAAAATCTATATGAATTAAGTTTATTATGTACGTCAGTCCCAGCAGCAAACTTCTCAAACTCAAAAACACCCATGGGTCCGTTCCAGATAACAGTTTGAGTGGTATCCAGAGCTTCACTGAAAGTTTTGATCGAGTCTGGTCCAATATCCAATCCCATCCACCCATCTGGAATAGCAGAAGCTGGCACAACCTGCATGAAAACATAAGCATTTGAGAAACCATAAAGGCAACATTTCTGTGATAGTTATCAAAACAATGGAGAAGAACTCCTGACCTTGCTGTTTGCATCAGCAGCAAACTTGTCAGCAATAACCACATCAGTTGGGAGGAGAATAGAAACCCCCTTAGATTTGGCCTTCTCAAGAAGTGACTTTGCAAGAACAAGCTTGTCTTCCTCCACAAGGGAAGATCCAACTGAATGCCCTTGGGCCTTGTAGAAGGTAAAGATCATTCCTCCACCGAGTAAGAGAATGTTAACCTTCTCCAACAAGGATTCTATCACTCCAATCTTGGATGACACCTTTGCACCGCCAACAATGGCAGTAAATGGCCTCTTAGGATTTGCTACGGCACCAACAAGGTAGTCAAGTTCCTGATAGCACCACATGAATAAAACACGGGGTTACCACAACAATAAAAATTGTTGTACCATATATGAAAAGTAAATGTGTGTAACATCTTGCGACCGCCATTATCCTTAAGAGGGAATAGCTTCAATGAGAAGTAGAGCAGTGGAGCATTCATAGTTTAAGTAAGTGCAAATGGTGAGTTAAAAGTGAGATACCTTCTGCATAAGGAATCCAGCAACGGAAGGCTTCAAGTACTTAGCCACTCCCTCTGTTGATGCATGAGCCCTATGAGCAGTACCAAAAGCATCATTCACATACACATCTGCAAGTGAAGCAAGCTTCTTGGCGAATTCAGGGTCATTCTTCTCTTCCTCTTTGTAGAACCTCACATTCTCAAGGAGCAAAACTCCTCCCTCTGGAAGTTGAGCAACCAATTTCTCGACTTCCTCACCAATACAGTCATTGGCAATCTTAACCTGTAGCAGAAAATAAATAAATATGTGATGATCAAATAGAGCTTTCCATGAGATAAAAACCATCGGACAAAAATTGTAATGTTTAAGAAAATACAAACCTCCAGTCCAAGGAGCTCAGAAAGCCTGGGCACAAGAGGCTTCAAACTGTATTTGGGAGTAGCTCCCTTGGGACGTCCCTAAAAACAACAATCCAGAGAATATTTTCATAAGTAACTTTCAAAGGTTACCTCAAATTGGTTTAGCATATAAGAACATAAACACAAACATAAAAACCATTCACCAGATCTTGCAACACATATCTATCCCACTATATCTAGGCATTTAGAAAAAAGTATTATACAAGTAAAAGAAGCAGTGAAAAGTGAAAACAGAGAAATTGGGGATGAAATAAGCAGAAGAATGAAACAGCTAAGTCCAAAAATGATAATAACTGCACAATAAACGAAATAGCGGAACGAATCAGCAAGCTATAACTTCAAGGACTACTTAAGCACCCGAAGAGCTGCACAACTTGCCAAGGTCATCAAAAGAGATGTTTTAAAGAAACCAAACTTTTCAAAGTAAACAAACCATATTGATCATTGATTGCTTTCAAAGGATCAATCCTAGGAATCAGTATTCGGTTATTACTAACAGCAAACGGTCACTGCTACAAACCAATGAGACAGATGAAACCAGACACAATCCTAACTAAGATGCAACATCAGCGAATACATAAAAGTAAACTAAAAGTTATCAGAAACTCCAATACTGGGCACAAACTTAAAGCAAATAATATGGTCAAAATAATACGATAAGTAAAAAATATATAGAATGGTAAAACAAAATGGGGATCTTCAAATTGATCAACATTGATCAAGCAGCAAATCCATCGCAATCCTTATCAATCAAACTTAAAAGATCCAAGCCGACCACGCAAAGCAGATCCAATCAGTAACTTTTAGAATTCTGAACAACTTCAACAAAGAAACTAATCGATTCAAAACACACAAATCTTACAAACCAACACAAACCCATACATTTGATTCCCAAACAAACAGAACCCAGATTCTAAAATAGTAAAAATGGTAAGGAATATTGCGGATTAATCGAAGCCATGAATTACCAAGTGAGAAGCAAGGATAACTTTGGCGCCATAGCCGATCAAGTACTTGATGGTGGGCACGGCGGCGCGGACCCTAGTATCGTCAGTGATGTTGGAGTTATCATCCAAAGGAACATTGAGATCAACCCTCACAAACACTCTCTTCCCCTTCAACTCAGCCTCCTTCAAAGTACTCACGCTCTTCTTGGTCGCCATCGTAGCACAAAAATCACCTTCATGACAATCCAAAAACAGTAGAAATCGATCAGAATTAAAAAAAAACCCAGATGAAGTATTCAATAAATAAATACGAAAAGAAGCGAAAGATTGGGTTTTTAGGGGCTTACGGAAACAAAGCTGAGAAAATGTGGTGGGTTTTTGCCTTTTGGGAGTGAGATCAATGAACAAGACCGGGAGACTGGCCTTATAGGGAAAACCATGGGCTGGCAGTATATGGTTTTGTGGTGTTGATAAAATTTCTTCACCTAATATGTTTTGGCATATTCTTGGCATCCTAAATAGGTCACTTTTGCTTATTATAGATTATAGGCTCGTTTATATGTGTTTTTATAATTAGTGAAATATTTTTGAATATAATTCTTAGTAAAAATGCTAGTAAATCTTGTAAAAACACTTAAAGTGCTTCTTGAAAAAAACACATAACTAGTGTTTCTTGTAGAAAGCACTTCAAATACTTTTGGAATTCAAAAACATTTTTTTTAAAAGCGCTTTCATTTATTTTAAAAGCACATCTAAATAAATCAGTTGATCAAGTAGTGTGTCTACAAACATCGTACCACTACAATAACTAATGTTAGATGAAAGCAGACTTTGAGATGTGTAGCACATATACTAAACCACTCATTCAACCACAACTAACATAATGCTAATGCTCATTGTCTTTCAATTTGATGAACAAAAATAATCTCGTGTCGATAGCTTACTCGAGTTCCAATATGCTTCCTATAAATTACATTGATCTTAATTTAGAAACGATTTATGGCTCTTGTCAAATATTTTTCAGATTGAAATATAATTTCCTAGGTGCAAAATTATCATATTCGAAATAAGATTGGGCACGGACATCTTGAGATGAGACACCTACAGGTTATGGCATCATACAGCAACGGTTCAACTATTAATTAAAGTGAGCATGCTGCATGCCATCACGAGATGTCCTTTTGACTGGTGGATATCCTTTGACGAAATAGACAACTTCTTATATAAATATGGGTGAGATGATAAAATCTAATGACTTATTTGTTTCCTTACCAGTTACTATGAATAGGGTATCAAATTTATTTTAGTTCACACTTCCACTTTCGATCACTAACATGCTAAGAATCAAAATATCTTTTTTGCATTTCACATTAAATTTCGTAATTTGATACTTGAAAAATCAAGAATGAAGTGGATTAGGAGGAGTAGTTTGTCTGAATCGCATTCCCTTTGTCGCATATTCTGAAACTTTTTGGTTCTTGTCTATCTATGTTTTGTTCTTGTCACCATTTCTTCTCGTATTCAAGTATGCAAACATCCCACCAATGTTATAAGAAATCTCAAATTTAAATCCAGATAAAGCATAAATCACAAACAAATACAAACTTGGGGCGAAAAAAAGGCCCAACAAAAAAATGCAGCAGTCGAAGGGCCCTAGAACAAAGCTCAGATCGACAAGCAAAAGAAGGCCAATACTAGACACAACAAAACCAGCCTAAAACCCTAATTCCGCCTAAAACATAGTTGAGTGGTTTTGTTTTTCCTGTCTGTGAACCGGCGATTGTATTTCGCTTTTTCAATGACCACTGCAAGTTTTGATCATGCTCGTAGTACCAATCGTTGGAGTCGCAACCGAAAAAGAAAGAGAAAAACTAGTAGGATGGATAGATTCAGTCAGATGCATTGAGGGCCAAGGGGTGGGGTGTCAGCTGACCCCTTGAATTTCGGTGAACGTCTTCATGGATACCTTGGATGCTAATCTTTCGAACTTTGGTAAATGTCCATAGATACATTGGGTGTTATCCTTTTGAATATTAGAGTTGGCTTCATACATGCCCTCCAACTGACTTCAGGCCTACCAAGACTTGGTGAATGTCTATAGATACCTTGGATGTTGTCCCTTGCACACATTAACAAGTGTGTAATATGCATTTCCAAGTGACTTCAGGCCTACCAAAACTCGATGAAATTACGATATGCATGCTATTTCTGGTAAAAAAAAAAATTGCATAGTGCGCGCACTATTCTTACTAACCCTCTTAATATTATTTCCTGATCCACCACTGAATTCAGTAATCTCCCGATCGAGATCGCTCATGAAATTATGTCTCGCCTCAACTTCAAAGACCTTACTAGGGTTGGCTGCGTGTCCAAAGCATGCAGAGAGTTTTATATGTCGAACCTGTACTTGAATTTTCATGACTTTTCTGGTGTGGATATATCCACTCGTCGAAAGAACAAAAGGTTTTCAATTCTTTGAAAAGGTTCTTCATTCGACGTGGGGTGCATCTTAAGATACAATGCTTTCGTTTCCGTTGGTGCTTTTTTGATGACGACTATGATGTTGATTTCCGATTGCGATTGAGGGAATGGATTGAGGATTGAAATTGCTGTGAGGTGCAATGTTGAAGTGCTTCATCTTGTTGTCACTTATATTAGGTTTGGAGAGCTTCCTGCTTCCATCTTACACTGTAAATCGTTGAAATCTCTGCTTGTGGACATGAAGTGCACGATTAGTAATGTGCCCTCCATCGATTTTTTGTCTAATCTCAATTACCTGAGGCTGAAAGGTGTTTCGATAAAGGATGAAGATGATCAATTTTTGAAGTGGATTTCATGTTGCTGCACTTCCATGAAGGAATTACTTCTTAAAGATTGTGGATTTTGGCATGAGTCTGATTACTACATCTACAAACGCCATGTTATTAACAGATCAGGTGACAGACTGAAAAACTTACATTTAAATCCACAGATTCGGAGGAAGACAAGGAAATTGGTCAATATTTATGCTCCAAACCTCAAGTGTTTGGAATGGTTTGGGGAATGTACGACTAGCCAAAATCTTGGAAACTTAATGTGCTTGGAGAAGGCTGAGATTTCTTCGTCAGTTCCGATCTGTAACTTTGATATCTTATTTGATTTTCTTTGTAGCATCCGCAAGGTTAAAGTTCTTACTCTGCATCCAGATATTCTTGAGGTAAGACAACACTACTTCACAAATTAAGCAGATTGATTCACGTTTTAATCACAAACTCGTTATTTATTTCGTTGATGTTTTTTTTCATCCAATTTACTTGTTTGTCTGTCTTTTCAGCTTCTATGGTTTAATATGGACGATCAGAAATGGCAAGATCCTTCATTTATTTCTCAAGCCAAGGAGGTAGTCATACCATATGATGAATATGAGCCTGATATTGAGCCCGCATATTCTATCTTTGGACGATTTTGTTTAATTTTCTTTGTTTACTGCTAAGACGTTTTCTAATGCCACGTTCGCATCAGGTCAGGAGATTTGAAATGTGAATGCTGGTTTATATTTGCATTCCAAATGTTTTCAGAGTTAGTTTCGTTGCACATTGCCAATGGTTCTTCTCTATATGCAAGAATATAATGCTTAGTAGTTGTCGTTGCGATAAATGTTATGTTTTTGTCATTGTAAAAGGATGAATTATTTGTTTGCTTTTCACAGCATGGCGTCCTTGAGATTTTGATGTTTTCTTGTATGTTGGCATCATTTCTGCACATACAGCAGATATGAAAAAACAAAATACGTACGCATTTTCTAATACTACGACGAACGTATGTTTTGAACTTTAATTTTTTTGTTCTAAAACAAGGGCTAACTACAGTTTATGAAGATTGTACTTTGTCAGTCCGTTGAATGTTTGATTTTCGCAGCTTGGAACATCGAACCAGAAACCAAAGCCATAGGCGCAGGGGTTAACAAGTTGTGATTGAGATAGAGAATCAACCATGAGACACTTTAAAAAGAAAATGTTGCAAAGAACAAATTTATTAGATTGATCGAAAGGCTGCCTTTGTCCCTCCCCGCCATCTCTTACGGAAACTTTATATAGAGACATATTGGGACCTTATATGAAAGGTAACATTAGACATTTACAACTCGAACTCACATCTTGCTACACACCATTTCTTGTTTACAGACTCGAATTAAACACCAACACGGTGGGCAGGGAAAAAAATGCAGTGGGAAAAAAATAGGTCCTTACACAGGAACTGGTATGGCTTCGTCAAGAGCAAGTACACCAGGAAGTTCTTTGCCTTCCAACAGCTCCAAACTAGCACCACCACCAGTTGATATGTGGCTCATCACACTAGCGACTCCTACTTTCTCCACGGCTGCAACAGAATCTCCACCTCCGATGATTGTTGTTACTCCCTTCCCACTAAGTTCTGCAAGCTTCTTTGCAACAGACTGCAAAGAAAGAGGTATAACTTGCATCACCACTCACATCACTTTCATATTCCCAAAGAGTAATTCTAACGGGAAGAGAAGCTAAAAATTTCCTCTGACAAAAATCTACTACACGGTCAAATATATTAAACTAAACTTAAACGGTGCAAACTGGTATACTACACATCAACTTAAATGGAACTCATTGTGGATACAAAGCTAAATAGTAGATTAATCAGGCAACTAGTGGAGCATCGACTTTGTTAAGTAAATGCGAGAACTATTTATCTTGTATTTGGAGGTCTAGATATAGAGTTTACTACGTTACAAGATAACTTTTCTCGACACAGTATGCATTTGTAATAAGATACATAGGAACTGCACATAGCAACACTGAACAGGTAAAAACCAGAAAAGAAAAAAATTCCTGCATACCTCTGTTCCTACTGCGAACTTGTCAAACTCAAACACTCCCATTGGTCCATTCCAGATGATGGTTTTAGTGGTATCCAGTGCATCATTGAATGTCTTAATAGAGTCTGGACCAATATCCAATCCCATCCACCCATCAGGGATGCTTGAAGCTGGAACAATCTGCAAGTACAAAACCAACTCGTCATTTCTTCCACATGGAATGCTGATCAAAGTTAATAAAACATTAGCACAGTAATATTATTGGTGAGATCATTTGGTGTTAGGTTGTGAACCGAAGAATAAAATTGTAAAAGGTCAGGTAAGACAATGAACCTTGCTGTTTGCATCAGGAGCAAACTTGTCTGCAATTACGACATCAGTGGGCAACAAAAGAGACACTCCTTTTTCCTTGGCCTTTGCTATGAGTGATGTAGCAAGTTCTAGTTTATCTTCTTCTACCAGAGATGAACCGACTGAGAGACCTTGTGCCTTGTAAAATGTGAAAATCATACCTCCACCAAGAAGTAAGATATCAACCTTCTCTAAAAGTGACTCAATCACTCCGATCTTGGATGAGACCTTTGAACCACCAACAATGGCAGCAAATGGCCTTTTGGGGCTTGATACTGCCCCAACGAGATAGTCGAGTTCCTAAGAAAAAGGAATAAAACATTAACATTTAAACGAGGAGTTCATACAGAAAAGAAGGGAGGTAGGCTTGGACAGTGGAACGATCACAAAGGAAATTTATGTTTTTCATTAGAAATATATCTTGGTAACTACCAACATGCAAAACATCTGCCGGGGTGAAAACCCAGCCCAATTAAGCAACTTGAGTTGTGATACTTAAATCCCAATACAACTTTAGCTTGACTGGTTTTAACTAAAGCTTCAAATTACGAAATCAGTATTACTTGAAGCCTTGAAGGTCAAAAAAACACTAGAATAACTTATGGCCAATAATACAGCAGATACGAGAATGGGACCCCTCACCTTCTGTAAAAGGAAACCGGCTACGGATGGCCTCAAGAATTTTGTGACTCCCTCAGTTGAGGCATGAGCTCTATGTGCAGTCCCAAATGCATCGTTAACATAAAGATCTGCTAAGGCGGCAAGCTTCTTTGCATGCTCAGGATCATTCTTCTCTTCTTCCTTGTAAAACCTCACATTTTCAAGAAGAAGAACACTACCTTCAGGAAGTGAAGCCACCAGCTTCTCTACTTCTGGACCAATTGAATCCTCAGCTTTGACAACCTGTTTCAATTATGCAAACAAAAGTAGAAGTAGCAAAAAATCAGTTTCACTAAACACCCGTATTTATTGCCATTTTGATTTGTCTTCTTATTACAATTTTACTTCTTAATAAAAATGTATGCCTGAATGCCAAGAAGCTCCGAAAGCCGAGGTACAAGAGGTGCCAAGCTAAATTTTGGGGTCACACCTTTTGGTCGTCCCTGAAATAAAATGCACATTGATTCAGCTTGCATTAAATACCACTGTATTTGGCAACAAAGAGATGCCAAAAGTACAAGAAAACTACAATCATACAGCACCATAAAAGTTGAAAACATAGCCCCAACCATCAACACTGAAAACATACAAGAAAATTCTTAATCGGCGATGAAAGAAAGCCGGTGCTTCAAGAAAAACCACAGATTTATTGCATGACATCATTCAACAACTGATGAGATCTGCCCAAATATCAAATCGGAAGATGAAGCCATAAACCACATCTGTTAATGGTAGTGATAGTGCGACTGCAACTAATAGTCTAATCTCAAACAGAACCATCAACTTCATCCATCCGAAACAAAAAATTCCAACCAATGACGCAAAATAATTTTGGTAATCCACATTGTAACAAGTTCAGAGAAAAAAGATACCAAATTAGTACATTGATAAGACTGTGATAAGACTGTAAAAACTAAATAAACCAATTGGACCGAAATCAAGCCAAAACAAACCCAGAAACAGACACAAACCATTTCAATTCTCAAAAGGCCACAAACACAACTCAAAGCTCATGCATTTTTTACACAAACAAGCACATGTCCAAAGATTTCGACTTCAGCCCAATTCCAAATCAATCAAAAGGGAAAAAGAGAGTAACTAACAGAACCCATTTCGGCAAAGTTGATAAAGAAACCATAAAAAACAGAGAAAACAAGCAAATCCCAGTAACAAAAAGCGCATAATTGAAATAACCCACATACCAAATGACTGGAAAGGATGACTTTAGCCCCATTCTCAATCAAATGCTTAATGGTGGGGATAGCAGCGCGGATTCTAGTATCATCAGTGATGTTCTGGCTGTCATCCAAAGGTACATTCAAGTCAGCCCTGACAAACACCTTCTTCCCCTTCAGCTCCGCCGCCGAAAGGTCCCCGACGCTCTTCTTCGCCATCGCAACAACGCCTCTGACCCCTTTGCCGGATCCAAAGGATCGGACTTTGGAAGCTACTTGAAGAGCGAGGAGGGGGTCGGCAGCGGAGAAGCCAAGGCGGCGGAGGGCAGTGGGTTTGAGGGAGGAGGGGAGCGAGACATGGGAGAGGGAAGCGCGGGTGCGGGAGGTGGAAGCAGTGGCGGAGTGGAGGAGGGAGAAGGTGGTGGGTGCGGTGGTGGAGGCCATTGCTGTTGGGGTGTGGGATAGTAAACGGAGGTTGACCGAGTGATAGGAGAGGTTAATGGGGTTGTTTTTTCGGTTTTTGTGGATTGGGAGAGATGTGGACGGGAAGAACAATGGGACTGATTGGGTGGTATGTGTGGGGGTTGTGGATTTCTCCTTATCGTTGAGGAGAGGTTCAAAGTGTTCGATGCTTCTGAGGGATTGAAAAAAGTGGCAACTGTGATATGATGGGGGGTAAATGAATCAGCCTATGATCACAAAGCTATTCATTTCTCCAAAAACAGTGTCACGGAATGGATGAGCCCTTTGGACTCAATTCCAAGTCCCTCCCATTCTCCCCTCTTCCTTGTTCTCCTCCAATCCTTCTATATTATAAGACTAGGTTCTGGTGTTACAAGTCAATTATGCATTGTTACATATAAAAATTTAACTGCATAATAGTGTGTGGATATTAAATTACTCTTACGATTATATTTCTGATCATATCACCTAGAATACATGAGTGATTGACATCTATTGATGTTGAGTAAACTAAACATATTTGAAATGTTTACATCCGCCATGCCATGATTGTGAACCGTTCACTAAGTTGAGAGTGATTATCCTCATTAGTGGTCTAAATAACTCACGAGTTCAAAGGTAAGAGAAACTACAAGATTTCTAGACATCTTAACTGTTGAGCGGTGATGTCATAACTTAATATGCTTAGCATAATTTGAATAAATCTTATATTTTGTGGATCAGGATCTCACATTATGCATCAAATACGCCGTATAAAATTTCTCCACCTACATGTACTTTATACACCCTATAAAGAAAAGGGTTGTTCCAATCCATTGCCATGACCTATATCCCTAAGAATCGATACCCAATCTCAATTTTTATTCCACACTTTTATTTCAAGTAGTATTTATAAATAACTAATGAGAATTGCTATTACAAAATGAGATTTTTAGAGTGTCAATCTAATTAAACTTTCTATAATTAAAAAGAAAAATATACTTATAATGAGTGTAGAATGAGATTTTTAGAGTGCTAATAACAATTCTCTAATTAATTCATGTAACTTATTTGATTTGATTTCATCTCATTCTCATTCTTATTACTTATACTTCATATTTAGAGTTCGACTTGCAAAATTTGAGATTCAATATTTAAAAAAACCGATACAATATCATAACTAATTGACCTAACTCATTGCATGTTAAATTTGATATCCCATTTTAAGTAAGGAACTAAAAGTTTGAGTACAAATGCTTTAGGCTGTGGAAATGCTCATTTCCCGACCCAAACCATGCATAACGTGTCACTAACTCAAACAAGCATATGACTGGCATTCACAATATCAGTCGAACCAACTGCCACCCAACTTCCAAAGCAATGAAAAAACCCAACTTTCTTTATCCTAACTAATAAACAAACCGACATCCAACGGTCTTATCTCTCATGGCGTTTGCTCCGCCAAACCTCAGTTCAATCCCTCACTCTCTCTCCTCCAAGCCATTTCCCCCCCAATTTTCCTCTCTTTCCCTCCAAACACCGCCGCGCGCACGGCCACCCGCCACCTCTCTTCGCGCCTCGAGGCGCCAAACCGTCCCCAGATCAGCTCTTCGAGAGTGGAAAGAGTACGAGGATGCGGTGAAGCGCAAGGACCTTGCCCGGGCTCTCAATTTCTTGCAATCAATCGAAACCCAGAAAAACCCAATTGAGCTTGCTAATGGGTCCTTGCCGGTTGAGTCGACCCGGCCTCGACTCGGCGATCTGGGGTTGGTTGGGTTGGAGAGGGATTGGGACGTCCTGGACACGTGCCTCAATGCTGACAATATGAAGCTTGTGGGCAAAGCTTATGGCTTTCTCAAGGACAGAGGATTCTTGCCCAATTTTGGGAAATTCAGGAATGTTGGTAATGTAAATTTAGCTACTTCCGAGAAAAAATTTATTGGGTATTTGTGGAATTTGCTTACCATTTGATCCTAATTGTTCAAAAAACCCAATTTGCTTATCGTTAGTGAAAAGTTGTGCACCCATCTGCCTCTAGGCTATTGTGACGGCATCCGAAACCAATAATACTATCATGTGAGAAATTTAATCATGGCATTGCGTTATTGGTTTGGATATCGCCATAGTGGTGTTACTGGCATACCGAGTCTAGGTAAGGGAAGCATTTGAACTTTTAGATCATTGCTGTATCTCATGTTGTTTTCTCTATGTTTTTCTTCTTTCCTCCCTGTAGTTTTGGAGGGAACACGCAATGTTACACCAACAGTGTTGAAGACTTCAACCGGTTTAGAAGGTGCTTATTCTGATTCCTTTCACAATGGACTTTGATGTAGATTAGTAATTGTTAGAGATTCACACCTTTCCCCTATCTTATCGGCGATCTTATACTGAAATGTTCTGCATTGGACTCTTTTATGTTGCAAAATGTATGTTCTTATTATGATATATGGTCTTTAAGAGCCTAGTTCTGATTTAAGCCATTTCTACGTTACTTTATCCAGCATCAAAATTTGCTCCAAAAAAGTGGGGTCTTTCCGAAAGTTCTGGCCCCATTTTGGTTGCCTTTCTTGGGGGACTATCTTTTCTTCTTTCTCAAGGCATCGATCTCAGGCCTAACCTTACAGCAGTATTGGGGCTAGCATTTGCGGATTCTATCTTCCTTGGTGGTACCTGTTTAGCTCAACTCTCAAGTTATTGGCCTCCAAATAGACGCCGTATCCTCATTCATGAAGCAGGGCATCTGTTAATAGGTAAACACACTTTTTCCTGGTCCATATTTTAGTATTGGATGTTACAAAATTGAATGATGCTGTGGATTTGACCAAGGGCATGTACCATTTCTTAAATCTTCAACCACCTTTACTAAAGTGACATCCTTGCAAGAGTGTAAACCCTGTGCAGTTAACTGGTTCCCGTATTAAATTGCAGCTTATCTGATGGGTTGCCCAATTCGTGGGGTGATATTGGACCCAATTGTTGCAATGCAAATGGGCATTCAAGGGCAGGTAATTTCTTTCCTCTGTTGGCTTTATACGAGATCTGGTTTGGTTTTGTTTGCTGTGCTTTCAACAGTGAAATCTTGCCATCATTACGTGTTTCTAAACCTATATGAAGTTACTACTAAACGGATTTAGGATATGAATGTGATTCCTGCATATTTTTTACTATACTGGATTGACGGTAGGTCATATGTGACGTCTTTTCAGAGCAATCATATATCTATTGCAAATTTTTATCTTGTCATCGAATACTTAAGTGTAACATTTTATTAATGTGCCTTGCATTTGAGTAGAATTACTGAATGAGCATAGGTGCCACCCAGGTTTATGTATGCGCATAATCTTATGAAACTCAGAGGACAGTAGATTTCATTGTGCTAGCTTGGTTTTCTTACAAAGTCAGTCTCTTATACATTTTTTTGGGCTGCAATGTATAGAGTTTTGACCTTGTTTAAGGACATAATGATCACTACATTTTTCATTATTAATATGTAGTGATGATAGCATATGACTTGTCGTCCTTCATTGCAATGTAGTGCTGTTAGGATGAAAAGTTAAGATCATACCGACTACTATTTTACAGGCTGGAACTCAATTTTGGGATGAGAAAATGGCCAATGACCTTGCTGAAGGACGACTTGATGGCACTGCTTTTGACAGGTGGGTATGAAATGAAATTGCAAGTAGGTGTCTTGAATAAGCTCATTTGGTTTCCAAAACTTGAACGAAAACAAAAAAAATTCTTTAGGGTGACGTTGCTACTTTCCTTGAATAAATATGTTGGAAGTGAACTGTAGATTATTTTTCCTTAAGCTTATGTAAAATGTCCAAGGTTTCCTTAGTTTGCCTCTGCATTTTAGATCTTTTGATTATGTATTGTGGACTTAAGAGTAATAACACAGGCCAAGCGTTTGCTAATTTCTTCACATTATGTGTTCAGGTACTGCATGGTGCTTTTCGCAGGCATTGCTGCTGAAGCTCTTATTTATGGTGAGGCAGAGGGTGGAGAAAATGATGAAAATCTATTTAGGGGCATCTGTGTTCTTCTAGAACCCCCACTGTCTGTTCCCGAGGTACTCTCTATAACTGAAAATTTGTAGTTCTGTGATTTCCGTTAACTTAAAGTACTAAGATTTTCACACCTTTTTTTCGTTGTTATCTTGAGAAGATGTCAAATCAAGCAAGGTGGTCCCTTTTACAAGCTTACAATATGCTCAAATGGCATAAAAATGCACACCGAGCTGCAGTTAAAGCTTTAGAAAGCCGAAGTGGTCTTAGTGTTGTAATTAGGAGTATTGAGGAAGCAATGACAACAAATACGTGAGCGGAAGTAACTTCACGAAAAATGGCTTCTTCCCACATTGGTGACGAGGTAAATTCTGGCCACGTTCTATTTGGTTTGTTTCAATTGTGTGCTATTCATTCCTAGATTAAACTTATTTTCTGTGTTTTCTATTTGACAGGGCGGAGCACAAGAGATTGAAAGTATGATTGGTGTAAGAAAGGCCTCCGAAATGCAGTCATTTTAGGTGACACTATGCTATTCCTCACAAACAATTCGGATCTATGGTGGACACAAAGAATTGTCTTCCAACAAGTAGGTGGATATTCCGAGAAGGAAGATGCCGAGATAAATGAAAATTGCATAGAGAGAAATGATCGAATTGACTTGCTGACTTGTTGCTGTGTTACTCCATACCGAAGTTTAAACAATAAGAAAATAGTTTACATGTTGAAGAACAGAGGCGAGAACGAAATCAGATCTCGAATTCAATAAGGTGAATCAAGAACCAGAAGTTCAAGTGGTAGCTTGGCAAATTTGTAGGTACTACACTTTTCTAACACGAAATGTCCGGTTGCATTTTCTCCCACTTCCTTTCTTATTGAGATAACCTGGATAATCCGCTCGCGTGAAAGGTGCTTCCTCAACCAGATATAACCCTACCTCTTCTGCTAACTTCACTATGTTCCATCTGCTGAAAGGATTACCGGTCTTGTGTGTCACATGAACTTCTCCTCTTCCTGTCAGCATTTCAGACGCAGCTGTGAAGAACCGCTTGACCAGATCTTGATGCAACCTGGAAAATGCATCGTTCTAACGCATGACTTTACATTTGATTCATGTAGAATTGCTCTGTATTAAAACTTACTCAATTTGAAACCTCTGGTGTTCCCTTCCGAAGAAGCCCGCGTGAGGGAAATTAAAGACGATTTGATCAAATAGTTTATCGGCTAGCAGAGGGTGTTGGATCATGGTATCCACATCCACTTTATGCAATACTACACATCCCTTTGCCTTTAAATTCTTCAATGTCCTCACTGCATCTGGGTACTTCTCCACAAGTGATTCTACAAGTAGCATGGAAGGGATTTTAGTCAAGAAATTGGTATAAACATACACATATACATACAAATATCAATATATAAGTTAAAAGGACATTGTTTCTTTTTTGGTGCCTACCCAAGAATGCATGTTTACGATTGAAACCGTCTGTATTTTATATAAAATGTTTGATCATCTAAAATGTGGAAAACACCATGGTTCGTTAAGATAAAGTTGAAATGAAAATGAAGAAAATCGAACAACTAAAAAAGCGTCAATTTGATCGATATTCGGCAGTGGCAGGGATAATCCTTTAAAGAGAATCTAAAAAGTAAATGGTTCTGATCGTTGAATCACTCCGAAAACAAAATGTTCTTAATTTAAGAAGGTTGATGATATCAATAATATGAATTCTCGGTGCAGTGTAGCAAAAACGAAACAGATTATCACCCGTAATACCTTTGGAGTCGAGAGAAGTGGCGACAACGTTGTTTGCAGAGCCAAATGCAGTGGCTAAGGAAGCAGCAAAAGAAAAGTTGCCCTCACCTACTAACAGTATCTTCTGAGAGCTGCTGTAGTGCATAATCCATTTCTCCTCTTCCATTTGATGGAAGCCCTGCGCTGCACCACCGTGTTTGTTGAATCTATTTATCGACGAAACTAGTTATTGCTTTTAAGGGGTCTTGCCGTTATTGCCATTTAATTTTTATAAGGGAAAGGAACATACTTCAGTTGACGGAAAGGAAATGTATATTGATACGTTCAATCTCGTCCCAACATAGCCCCATCCTTCTCTTTACGATGATTCCAAATCCAAGATAGGAATCAAAAGTTATTCCATAGTTAATTTACTTGAAATTTCTTCTTCTTTTTTCTTCTTCTTTTGTCTTTCTGGGAACAAAAGCTGTTTAGAAGTTTGATAATTCTCTCTTCCGAGTCTTGAAAGTTGCAACATTAGTTAATACAACAGGTATTAACCCCCGATGAATAATACTTAGGTACTTGCTTTTAAGGGGTCTTGCCGTTATTGCCATTTAATTTTTATGAGGGAAAGGAACATACTTTAGTTGACGGTAAGGAAATGTATATTGATACATTCAATCTCGTTCCAACGTAGCCTCCATCCGTCTCTTTATGATGATTCCAAATCCAAGATAGGAATCAAAAGTTATTCCATAATTAATGGACTTGAAATTTCTTCTTCTTTTGTCTTTTTGGGAACAAAAGCTATTTAGAAGTTTGATAATTTTCTCTTCCGAGTCTTGAAAGTTGCAACATTAATTAATACAACAGGTATTACCCACAATGAATAATACTTAGGTACTCGCTTTTTTATTTTGGTTCAATGATGTTTTAACACATATTTTATTTTTTATTTAAAAAAAAAAAAAGACGTGTTTTTTGGGTTCCAAAACAAATAAACATGTGACATCTTTTAATTGAGTCAAATTAAAAAGCGAGTTTATGAGGTACTCGGTATTGAGTACCTAAGTATTATCCTTGGCCGATTTACGTGGAAGTCTGAAGAAGTGCATGTGAGGACCTCTGAGGACCACCCAACTATCTGGGCAGGTGGTGAAAGAGAGAAGACCACAGTGGATGTTTAGATGCAGTGCAACAGAAGCTTAGAACCACCCCAAAAAAATAAATGTAATTTTAGACGAAAAGGAACATGAAGAAGACTACCATGACGCTTCTGTTCTTGGACCTTGGTTCCAATCAGGTTGTGTAACCTAACATTTTAAGTAATAAAGGAATAACGTACTACTCAACTAATTCTTTTTACACCATATATTTCTTTTGAAATCCACTATATATTCATACGCCTTCTGAAAAATATTTCATACAGTACTAAGAACTCGTAATCACTTGAATTTTCATCTACGATTACTAAAATACAAAACCAAAAATTATGATATTTTGGATGTTATATGTTAAATTATAAATCTAATTAAAATAATAACCCCAATTCTCAATACAAATATAGTTTTTTTAAGTGTAAATATGCACTTATTTATATGATAAATAATAAGTTTATTTAAATCCTCCTAATCTGCCTAGAACCCTACCCTAAGCCCCATCTAGATGCATAGGCGTTAACCCCAACTTGCCGTCCGACAAACATCTAGCATAATTTAATTAGGACACCTTATGCTAGAATCCTGAATGTGTGACTACTTATAAGTTCAAAAATCGGCTAATACCTCTTATACAAAGAGTTAGAAGAAAAAGGGTCGCATGAATTGGGTCTAAGACTGTTTTGAACTTGAGGTGATTATTTTGGGATGGGGATTCTCTCTGCATGTGTTTTTTTTAGTGCAAGATGATACATGTCTTTATAATATATATGCACCGTCCAAAACTATCCAAGGGTTGATTTTTCGTTAAAGTAAACAGTACCGTGAGCTTTTCGTTAAAACTCCCTTCTAACAATACCACGTACTTAATAAACAGAACAGCCTTGGTGCTCGGCCGGTCGGCCCCCATATCCACACATCCTTCCTCCTCCCTTATCACCTGCCTCTCTCCTCCGCCCTCAAGATAAGACTGCCATTGCCAGAGTCTCGTTGGGATGCCAAACATTGTCATTTTGGCAATCTGTTTGCTCTTTGATCTGAACTTAACTTGGGGATAACTGGAAAGTTGATACGGTGGCTGAGGAAGGAAGGAAGACGGAGTGGGTACTGGTATTGGCAACGGTGGCTGAAGCTCTAATTTACGGTGAGGCAGAGGGTGGAGAAAATGATGAAAATCTATTTAGGGGCATCTGTGTTCTTCTAGAACCCCCCTTTGTCTGTTCCCGAGGTACTCTATAACTGAAAATTTGTAGTTCTGTGATTTCCGTTCACTTAAAGTACTAAGATTTTCACACCTTTTATGTTGTTATCTTGAGAAGCTATCAAATCAAGCAAGGTGGTCCCTTCTACAAGCTTACAATATGCTCAAATGGCATAAAAATGCACACCGAGCTGCAGTTAAAGCTTTAGAAAGCCGAAGTGGTCTTAGCGTTGTAATTAGGACTATTGAGGAAGCAATGTCAACAAATAAGTGAGCAGCGGTAACTTCACGAAAAATGGCTTCTTCCCACATTGGTGATGAGCTAAATTCTGGTCACGTCCTATTTGGTTTGTTTCAATTGCGTGCTATTCATTCCTAGATTAACTTATTTTCTGCGTTTTCTATTTGACAGGGCGGAGCACAAGAGATTGAACATGTAATTGGTGTAAGAAAGGCCTCCGAAATGCAGTCATTTTAGGTGACACTAGGCTATTCCTCGCGAACAATTCGGATCTACGGTGGACACAAACAATTGTCTTTCAACAAGTAGGTGGGTATTCCGACAAGAAAGATGCCGAGATTAATGAAAATTTCATAGAGACAAATGATCGAATTGACTTGCTGACTTGTTGCTGTGTTACTCCATGCCCAAGTTTAAACAATAAGAAAATAGTTTACATGTTGAAGAACAGAGGCGAGAACGAAATCAGATCAAGAATTCAATAAGGTGACTCAAGAACCAGAAGTTGAAGTGGTAGCTTGGCAAATTTGTAGGTACTACACTGTCCAACACGAAATGTCCGGTTGCATTTTCTCCCACTTCCCTTCTTATTGAGATAACCTGGATAATCCGCTCGCGTGAAAGGTGCCTCCTCAACCAGATATAACCCTACCTCTTCTGCTAACTTCACTATGTTCCAGTTGCTGAAAGGATTACTGGTCTTGTGTGTCACATGAACTTCTCCTCTTCCCGTCAGCATTTCAGACACAGTGGCGAAGAACCGCTTGACCAGATCTTGATGCAACCTGAAAAATGCATCGCTCGAATGCATCACTATACATTTGATTCATGTAGAATTTCTCTGTATTAGAACTTACTCAATTTGAAACCTCTGGCTTTCCATGCCGATGAAGCCCGCGTGAGGGAAATTAAAGACGATTCGATCAAATAGTTTATCAGCTAGCAGAGGGTGTTGGCTCATGGTATCCACATCCACTTCATGCAGTACTACACATCCCTTTCCCTTTAACTTCTTCCATTTCCTCACTGCATTTGGGTACTTCTCCATAAATGACTCTACAAGTAGCATGGAAGGGATTTTAGTCAAGAAATTGGTATAAACATACATATATATACACACACACACACACACACACACACACACACATACAAATATCAATATATAAGTTAAGGACAACGTTTCTTTTTTGGTGCCTACCCTAGAATGCATGTTGACGATTGAAACAGTTTATATTTTAAATAAAATGTTTGATCATCTAAACTGTGGAAAACACCATGGTTGGTTAAGATAAAGTTGAAATGAAAATGAAGACAATCGAACAACTCAACAATTCTCAATTTGACTGATATTTGGCACGGATAATCCTTGAAAGAGAATCTAAAAACTAAATGGTTTTGATCGTTAAATCACACCCTATAAATTTGAAATGAAAATGAAGACAATCGAACAACTCAACAATTCTCAATTTGATTGATATTTGGCACAGATAATCCTTGAAAGATAATCTAAAAACTAAATGGTTTTTATCGTTAAATCACACCCTATAAAATTGAAATGAAAATGAAGACAATCGAACAACTCAACAATTCTCAATTTGATTGATATTTGGCATGGATAATCCTTGAAAGAGAATCTAAAAAACTAAATGGTTTTGATCGTTAAATCACACCCTGAAACGGATAAAGTTGAAATGTAAATGAAGGCAATCGAACAACTCAACAATTCTCAATTTGATTGATATTTAGCACGGATAATCCTTCAAAAAGAATCTAAAAACTAAATGATTTTAATCGTTAAACCACACTCTGAAACGGTTTTTGATTGCTGAACCACATTATGAAAATAAAATGTTCTTAATTTAAGAAAGTGAATGTGATATCCTTAACGTGAATTCTCGCTGCAGTGTAGCAAAGACGAAGTAGATTATCACCCGTAATACCTCTGGAGTCGAGAGAAGTGGCGACAGTGTTGTTTGCAGAGCCAAATGCAGTGGCTAAGCAAGCAGCAAAAGAGAAGTTGCCCTCACCTACTAACAGTATCTTCTGAGAGCTGCTGTAGTGCATAATCTTCTTCTCCTCTTCCATTTGAGTCTCTGTAATTTACTTGAAATTTCTTCTTCTTTTGTCTTTTGGGAAACAAAAGCTGTAAAGAACTTTGATACTTTTCTCCTCCGAGTCTTGAAAGTTGCAACATTAATGAATACAGCACGTGTTAGCGGATGAATAATACTTAGGTACTCGTTTTTTTATTTTGGTCCAATGATGTTTTGACACGTATTTTATTATTTAAAAAAATAAAAGATATTTTTTTTAGGTTTCAAAACAAAGAAACATGTGACATCTTTTAATTGAGTCAAATTAAAAAGTGAGTTTATGAGGTACTCAGTATTGAGTACCTAAGTATTATCCTTAGCCAATTTACATGGAAGTATGAAGAAGTGCATGTGAGGACCTCTGAGGATCACCCAACGGTCTGGGCAGGTGGTGAAAGAGAGAAGACCACAATGGATATTCAAATGCAGTGCAACAGAAGCCTAGAATCACAAAAAAAAAAAAAAAAAAAAAAAAAAAAAAAAAAAAAAAAATAATCTAATTTCAGACGAAAATGAACATGAAGAAGACTACCATGACTCTTTTGTTCTTGGTTTCAACGAAGAAGAAATACAAAATGACTTTTGACTCCATTTCTCACATGATCAACTCCTCATTTTTCTTTTTTAATTGTTGTCCAATCAGGTTGTGTAACCTAACATTTTAAATAATAAAGGAATAACGTACTACTCAACTAATACTTTTTACACCATATATTTCTTTTGAAATTCACTATATATTCATACGCTTTCTAAAAATAGTATTAAGAACTCATAATCACTCGAATTTTCATCTACCATCAAATTCTCTAAAATACAAAACCAAAAATTATGATATTTTGGATGGTATATGTTAAATTATAAACCTAATTAAAATAATAAACTTAAATTCTTAATACAAATATAGTTTTTTTAAGTGTAAATATGTACTTATTTATATGATAATTAATAAGTTTACTTAAATCTTCCTAATCTGCCTAGAACCTTGTCTATACCCTAGCTAGACGCATAGGTATTAATCCCAACTTGCCGTCCGACTAACATCTAGCATAATTTAATTAGGATGCCCTATGCTAGAATCCAATGTGTGGCTACTTATAAGTTCAAAAATGGGCTAATACCTCTTATACAAAGAGTTAGAAGAAAAAGGGTCGCATTGAATTGACTGTCCTTGATAATTATTAATTTCCAAAGTAGACCATGAAGACTGTTTTGTACTTGGGATGAAGATTATCCCTGTATGTTTTTTTTTAGTGCAACATTATACATGTCTTTATAATATATATGCACCGTCCAAAACTATCCAAGGGTTCTAACAATGCCACGTACTTAATAAACAGAACAGCCTTGGTGCTCGGCCGGTCGGCCCCCATATCCGCACATCCTTCCTCCTCCCTTATCACCTGCCTCTCTCCTCCGCCCTCAAGACAAGACTGCCATTGCCAAAGTCTCGTTGGGATGCCAACCATTGTCATTTTGGCAACCTGTTTGCTCTTTGATCTGAACTTAACTTGGGGATAACTGGAAAGTTGATACGGCGGCTGAGGAAGGAAGGAAGACGGCGTGGGTACTGGTATTGGCAACGGTGGCTGAAGCCCTTATTTATGGTGAGGCAGAGGGTGGAGAAAATGATGAAAATCTATTTAGGGGCATCTGTGTTCTTCTAGAACCCCCATTGTCTGTTCCCGAGGTACTCTCTAACTGAAAATTTGTAGTTCTGTGATTTCCGTTCACTTAAAGTACTAAGATTTTCACACCTTTTATGTTGTTATCTTGAGAAGCTATCAAATCAAGCTTACAATATGCTCAAATGGCATAAAAATGCACACCGAGCTGCAGTTAAAGCTTTAGAAAGCCGAAGTGGTCTTAGCGTTGTAATTAGGAGTATTGAGGAAGCAATGTCAACAAATACGTGAGCAGCGGTAACTTCACGAAAAATGGCTTCTTCCCACATTGGTGACGAGCTAAATTCTGGTCACGTCCTATTTGGTTTGTTTCAATTGCGTGCTATTCATTCCTAGATTAACTTATTTTCTGTGTTTTATATTTGACAGGGCGGAGCACAAGAGATTGAACATATAATTGGTGTAAGAAAGGCCTCCGAAATGCAGTCATTTTAGGTGACACTAGGCTATTCCTCGTGAACAATTCGGATCTACGGTGGACACAAAGAATTGTCTTTCAACAAGTAGGTGGGTATTCCGAGAAGAAAGATGCCGAGATGAAAATTTCATAGAGACAAATGATCGAATTGACTTGCTGACTTGTTGCTGAGTTAATCCATGCCCAAGTTTAAACAATAAGAAAATAGTTTACATGTTGAAGAACAGAGGCGAGAACGAAATCAGATCAAGAATTCAATAAGGTGAATCAAGAACCAGAAGTTGAAGTGGTAGCTTGGCAAATTTGTAGGTACTACACTGTCCAACACGAAATGTCCGGTTGCATTTTCTCCCACTTCCCTTCTTATTGAGATAACCTGGATAATCCGCACGCGTGAAAGGTGCCTCCTCAACCAGATATAACCCTACCTCTTCTGCTAACTTCACTATGTTCCAGTTGCTGAAAGGATTACTGGTCTTGTGTGTCACATGAATTTCTCCTCTTCCCGTCAGCATTTCAGACGCAGTGGCGAAGAACCGCTTGACCAGATCTTGATGCAACCTGAAAAATGCATCGCTCGAATGCATCACTATACATTTGATTCATGTAGAATTTCTCTGTATTAGAACTTACTCAATTTGAAACCTCTGGCTTTCCATGCCGATGAAGCCCGCGTGAGGGAAATTAAAGACGATTCGATCAAATAGTTTATCAGCTAGCAGAGGGTGTTGGCTCATGGTATCCACATCCACTTCATGCAGTACTACACATCCCTTTCCCTTTAACTTCTTCCATTTCCTCACTGCATTTGGGTACTTCTCCATAAATGACTCTACAAGTAGTATGTAAGGGATTTTAATCAAGAAATTGGTATAAACATACATATATATACATACAAATATCAATATATAAGTTAAGGACATCGTTTCTTTTTTGGTGCCTACCCTAGAATGCATGTTGACGATTGAAACAGTTTATATTTTAAATAAAATGTTTGATCATCTAAACTGTGGAAAACACCATGATTGGTTAAGATAAAGTTGAAACGAAAATGAAGACAATCGAACAACTCGACAATTCTCAATTTGATTGATATTTGGCACGGATAATCCTTGAAAGAGAATCTAAAAAACTAAATGGTTTTGATCGTTAAATCACACCCTATAAAATTGAAATGAAAATGAAGACAATCGAACAACTCAACAATTCTCAATTTGATTGATATTTGGCACGGACAATCCTTGAAAGAGAATCTAAAAAACTAAATGGTTTTGATCGTTAAATCACACCTTGAAACGGATAAAGTTGAGATGTAAATAAAGGCAATCGAACAACTCAACAATTCTCAATTTGATTGATATTTGGCACGGATAATCCTTCAAAAAGAATCTAAAAACTAAATGATTTTGATCGTTAAACCACACTCTGAAACGGTTTTTGATTGCTAAACCACATTATGAAAATAAAATGTTCTTAATTTAAGAAAGTGAATGATATCCTTAACGTGAATTCTCGCTGCAGTGTAGCAAAGACGAAGTAGATTATCACCCGTAATACCTTTGGAGTCGAGAGAAGTGGCGAAAATGTTGTTTGCAGAGCCAAATGCAGTGGCTAAGCAAGCAGCAAAAGAGAAGTTGCCCTCACCTACTAACAGTATCTTCTGAGAGCTGCTGTAGTGCATAATCTTCTTCTCCTCTTCCATTTGAGTCTCTGTAATTTACTTGAAATTTCTTCTTCTTTTGTCTTTTGGGAAACAAAAGCTGTTAAGAACTTCTGATACTTTTCTCTTCCGAGTCTTGAAAGTTGCAACATTAATTAATACAACACGTATTAGCGGATGAATAATACTTAGGTACTTGCTTTTTTATTTTGGTCCAATGATGTTTTAACACGTATTTTATTATTTTAAAAAATAAAAGATAATTTTTTTTAGGTTTCAAAACAAAGAAACATGTGACATCTTTTAATTGAGTCAAATTAAAAAGTAAGTTTATGAGGTACTCAGTATTGAGTACCTAAGTATTATCCTTAGCCGATTTACATGGAAGTATGAAGAAGTGCATGTGAGGACCTCTGAGGACCACCCAACGGTCTGGGCAGATGGTGAAAGAGAGAATACCACAATGGATGTTCAAATGCAGTGCAACAGAAGCTTAGAACCAAAAAATAAAAAATGTAATTTCAGACGAAAATGAACATGAAGAAGACTACCATGACTTTTTTGTTCTTGGACCTTGGTTTCAACGAAGAAGAAGAAAATAAAAAATGACTTTTTGACTCCATGTCTCACACTCACATGATCAACTCCTCATTTTTCTTTTTCAATTGTTATCCAATCAAGTTGTACAACCTAATATTTGAAGTAATAAAGGACTAACGTACTACTCAACTAATACTTTTTACACCATATATTTCTTTTGAAATTCAGTATATATTCATACGCTTTCTGAAAATTATTTCGTAAAATACTAAGAATTCATAATCACTTGAATTTTCATCTACCATCAAATTCACTAAAATACAAAACCAAAAATTATGGTATTTTGAATGGTATATGTTAAATTATAAACCTAATTAAAATAATAAACCCAAATTCTCAATACAAATTAATATAGTTTTTTAAGTGTAAATATGCACTTATTTATATGATAAATAATAAGTTTACTTAAATTCTCCTAGTCTGCGTAGAACCCTGCCTAGACCCCATTTAGAGACATAGGTGTTAACTCCAACTTGCCATCCGACTAACATCTAGCATAATTTAACTAGGACACCTTATGCTAGAATCCTGAATGTGTGGCTACTTATAAGTTCAAAAATGGGCCAATACCTCTTATACAAAGAGTCAGAAGAAAAAGGGTCGCATTGAATTGACTGTCCTTGATAATTATTAATTTCCAAAGTAGACCATGAAGACTGTTTTGTACATGGGATGAAGATTATCCCTGTATGTTTTTTTTTAGTGCAAGATTATACATGTTATATATGCACCGTCCAAAACTATCCAAGCGTTCTAACAATGCCACGTACTTAATAAACAGAACAGCCTTGGTGCTCGGCCGGTCGGCCCCCATATCCGCACATCCTTCCTCCTCCCTTATCACCTGCCTCTCTCCTCCGCCCTCAAGACAAGACTGCCATTGCCAAAGTCTCGTTGGGATGCCAACCATTGTCATTTTGGCAACCTGTTTGCTCTTTGATCTGAACTTAACTTGGGGATAACTGGAAAGTTGATACGGTGGCTGAGGGAGGAAGGAAGACGGCGTGGGTACTAGTATTGGCAACGGCGGAAGCCCTGCCACCGGGAAAAAGAAAGGACGGTGAACATAAAACTAATTCATTAAACACGTGGCGTTGCCATATCCCTTGGATCGTTTTAAACGCTTCATATTACAAGACTTGCATAGTCTCTGCTTTTACTAGACGGATCAAAAGAAAAAAAAAAAAGATTCAGACAAAATGAAAAGAAGCTGCTTTTTTTTTTCAAAATCGTGGTCCTTGGCAGCAGAAAGCAGAAGCATCTCAGACCATGCTTAAGTTTGAAGTCTTTGGTAGCGTTAAGTCTCTCCTAGGTTGTTAGAAAGCAATCAGGATCCCTATCATAAAGGGCCTAGATTAGACGTGTAATCAGTAATTAACATGTATATATTTCCTTTCTTTCTTGTATAGTAGTATTGCAGGATCAGCTGCTTGTTTATGGGGGAACTCTCTGTATAAAGTTAGTAGACTAATATCAGTACCATCATTCTGGCCAATTCTATTCCTCAATCATTTGATTAGATTTTACATAGGTTTCTTATCCAGACTGTCTATACATGGAGAAATTTTTCCATGTGCTTCGATTACAAACCGGTATATTACGTGTCATAATAATGACACAAGTAGAGAGATTTGAGATTTGAGATATGATATATTTTTTAGTATCTCTCTACTTATATTATCACATACGATGTACCAGCTTGTGTGTTAAATATATAAAAAAAATCTCTCATATATATGTTTCATCATAGATACATAACTACTTTTTGATATCTTGCTAATTATTATTAAGGCAATTCTATTTATGCACAGAAAGCTAACAAATTGCTGGCAAAGTCTTTAATACAGATGAATGTCATATACAATGGTAGGGTTTACTTCTATTGAATAGTGTGTTAATTTTGTGTGTATAAATAACAATGTTGTTAATTATTTTTCAAGAGTGGTGCTAAAAGCTTCATTAATTTAAGGCATCATATGGTATAGATAATTTGATTGGAATAAATAAGACACTATTTTAAAAGTACGTTCAAGAAAAAACGGAGAAATGGACCAACTTAAGGATAGGAGACGTTACTCTAGCTAGAACAAAATCTTCATTCATTCCAACTAATACTTTATACCAAACAAGGCTAAATGTTACTGATGTCATACAAGCTAACGTCAATTCTTTTTAAACTCGTTCCAGTGGAGGAAAATGTCTACTTGAAACCATGATACAATTGATATAAATAAAATCCAACATCATCTTCACTTGTTCAGTTTTTCAAATATTGAAGTAAACTTAATTGGGACAGTTTTGTTCTGGTAAATTCCGATGCATTATTTGCAGAGATTAATTGCTTGGGAAACTTGAAGGTGCTACACTTTCGCACAGGAAATTCCATATAGCTTTTGACCCCACTTCCTCTCTTATTTAAATAACCTGGATAATCACATCGTAAGAGCTCTGCTTCCTCAACCAAATGCAGCCCAAATTCTTCTGCCAACTCTGCAACTAATCTTCCATTCATTGAAAGGATGTGCAGTCTTGTGTCACATGAATCCCTCCATAGGTGGTCAGCATTTTATATGCACTCTTGAAGTAATTTCTAACCAAATTCTGATAATGCCTGAAAGTGCATTGCATGCAGTATTATTAATTTCACGTATAAATAACGAGGAAAATTAAACACGATGCGATCAAATAATTTCTGAATCAAGAGAGGGTGTTGGCTCATGGTGTGGACGTCCACTTCAAGGAATCCGTCCTCTTAACTCCTTCACGTACCCTTTGCACTTAAACACTTGCAATTTGTCCACTTCATGCAGTACAAAGCAATCCCGGTCTGTTCTCAAAGAGTAATATTGCTAGGTAGACTAAGTTTGTAGACTAAATTTACAAACTAAATTATGTGTCGCCAATAAAAAAATAAGCACGTTAATAAATATTTAATAATAATCCAACCATCAACTTTTATGTTATTTAGTTTACAAAATTTAATCTACAAATTTAATCTCTCTAGCATTACTCGTCTTCAAAACTCCTCCACTTTGCACTTAAATACTTGAAATCTAGAGATAGAGTTGCTAGGATGGGGACAACTGTTAGGCTCCCCATTTGATTAAAATAATTACTATTTATAACTCCAAGTTTGTAGCTTTAGGTCATCTCCAACCGAAGGAGGGCCAGAGTGCTCTCTTTGGCTCTATAGTCCTCCAAGAAATTAATATTTTAATGAACAGTGCATCGCTATATTTCTTAACCGAGGGGCCAGAGGGTCATAGGGCCAAATATAATTTATTATTTAAATTTGAAAACTACAACAACTTAAATTTAAAAACTACAACTGAGGAGCCAAAGGGTCATAGGGCCAAACATAATTTATTGTTTAAGTTTCATGTTGTTAAATGTTTTTTTTTTATGTTGTTTAATGTTATTTAATGTTGTTTAATACTGGTTAATGTTGTTTCATGTTACTTAATGTTATTTAATGTTGTTTAATGGCTTAGGAAGTTATAGAAAAAAATATAGATTTTTTTTTAAATTTTGTAAAAAAAAAAAAAAAAAAACTGTATAAAAAAACAAAAAATTCAAATATAATGCCTAGCTGACGTCAGCATATTACCGTTGCATTCAAAATCCGGCCTGGCCCAAGGCTGGGTGGGTGGGTTAGGCTAGCCGGTTAGCCCTTTGGCCCTTTTTTGTCCCGTGGGGTCCACAAGCCTTTTGGCCTAGCCCTCGGTTGGAGACAGTTTTCGGCTATTTTCGGCCATCTGGACCCTTTGGTTGGAGATGGCCTTACATGCATGCATGCATGTTGGTAATTGTAGGGTTTCCTCAATGGAATTTGGAAGGGAAATCATTTTTACACATTTTTTCTTTTGCACATCCTTGTTCATTTAGCCCGTTGATTCGTTCAATTAAATGGCTTAAAAACAAACAAAATTGTGTAAAAGGAGAAAAATGGTGTGTAGAAATTACTTCCCGATTGAAAAGCTACTAATGCTTAACTCTTGTGAATCCGTGCACCTTCGAGCTGGATTAATAGTTGATGCATGCCGATGTTGAAGATAAAGGGATGCCTATAAATTGAAAAGAAAAGTAGATGAAATCAAACTTTGCTAGAATATGTTTTGTAAAAGAAACTGCTATTAACACTTTAAAAAAGTGATAATACAATAATAGTTTTACAACTTATAATGAATGAATGTGCCGACATTTTCAATGCGCCAATAACAGTTTTCTTCTTGAACTTTCTTTGGATATTTTTCGGTACTCATACGCTTAATGGACCCCATGCATTCATCACAAATATTTCACATCAGCAGGAGATGCACCATACACCATTTTAGTATTGGTGTTAGGCTGAAATCGAAATCCTTCTTGGATGGGTTTTACCTCATTAGATTAGTGGCCTCATATCTATCGCTTTTGCACAACATTAAGTCACCTAAACCACCACTTTTAAATGTTGATAATTGTTGAATGCCAGAATAAATTAGCTGCCGTCTTGTTTATTCATTTTTCCCAAAACTTTTCTGTTTGCAAGATTATCCTTTCACTGAAAAGAGTTACAATAGAGCCCCTAGGAAATTCAGTAGTAATACGTAGGAAATTCAATTGTTAGGAAAAAAAAAAAATTCCCTTACAATCAGTTAATGATAACATATGAAGCTGGAAGTACAAGGTTTTCCATATGGCTCCGGCCATACGAGACTGGGAACTTATTTTCCTTTATACATGTTCTAAACAAGCACAAGATTTAGGCTCATGCGACACAACTCGCTCAATGTACGTAGGACTGACAGATTTCATATGATGTGGCTTACAGTTACACGTGACGACCCCAAATTCCACAATATCTAGGCCATGGACCCGAAGAAGTAGTTCCAAGGTGGAAACCGGAAGTGGTAGAATGGTCCAACATCTTGGCAAATTTGTAGGTGCTACACATTCCAACCGGAAAAGTTTGGTCAAACATCCCAGCCCCTCTCTTATTTTCGTAGCCTGGATAATCCCATTTCGAGAATGGTTCTTTATGAACCAAAATCAATCCAGCCTGATAAGCTAAATCCACTATATTCCATTCACTGAAAGGATATGTTGTCTTGTGTGTCACATGAATTTCTCCTACTCTCGTCAGCATTTCCCTTGCATTCTCGAAGAATCCCCTAACCAAATCCTGATGATACCTGAAAAATGCATGAATTTAGTCTAGAATTTGAGTCCTCTGATACATTGTCGTGCTAGTGTTCTGCTTGGTATCGAAAGTATGTCATTCCAATCCTTCGTTTAGTAATCATTCTCATATAAATACTAAACACCGGCTTTGCCCAAAAACAAAAACCGTATGAGCACAAAACATACCATGACCGGATGACCCTTTAAACAAAATGCTGCATAAATGGGTGTGTTTGAACTTACCAAATCTGGTACATTTCGCGTTCACAGGAACGGGAACCCTTCAAGTAACCCGCATGAGGAAAATTATATATTATGCGATCCAAGCGCACGTTGATCAAGCAAGGGTGCTTGCTCATATAGTGGACATCCACCTCATGCAATACAGTGCATTCCCTGGACTCTAATTCCTCCACATTACTCATAGCTTTTGAATACTCCACCATTAACGACTCTACATTTAGCATGTAAATGATCAATCAGAAACCCTTTTGTTGAAACAAAATGGAACTAAAATCTGTGTGCCCCTCTATCTACTATTCCACCATTGATGAATTCTACCATTAGCATGCAAAGGATTTCAAGCAGGACTCAGAAACCCTCAGGTCGAAGTTTAAGCAAAAAAATAAAATCTTTGCTCCCCTCAATCTATTATTTCATCTGGGTAATTACCAAAATGTAAATTTTAGAATTAAATACAGATTTAATTTGCAACATCAACACTAAGTTGGTTTTTATTTTTTTACTAAAATTTCAAACTGGGTTTTCTTCAAAAATCAAAGACTTGGGTTGAAACTAGGAGTGAAAAATAAATTATTTGGATGTTGACACAAGTGAATGTTGTGGAATTACCTCTGGTGTCACGAGAAGTGGCAACCATGTTGTCAGCGAAGTCAAAGGCTCTGGCTAAGCAAACGGCAAAAGAGAAGTCGCCTTCTCCGACCAACAGTATATTCTGATAGTTGCTGTAATTCTTAATCCTTCTCTCAAAGCTAAACACTTCCATTTCACTGATTCAGTGATTCTCTTCTTCTTCTTCAACTTTCTCAGAACTGCTGTTTGGCCTTGCTATTATTTTCCTCTTGGGAAATTATACACCGGTTTAACTTTTGAACTTTTTTAGTACAATTTTTTAACTTTTTGAGTCGCTATATATATAGAAATATGATTAAGATCAACTTTAAAAAATGTGGGTTTCCTGTATAAGAAAATATGTTTTATTTATTTTTAATAATATCATTTGGAGTAAGAAGTTAAGGGTCAAGTTAAACTATATAATGGACTTGTCTTAATAAGTTGGTATTTAACTCGTGTAAGTGAAATTTAAAACATTTTTCACTTATAAGTGAAAATAAATACTTAATATTTGTAGTACTAAGTGACCAAAAAAAATATAAATTTAAACATGAATGATTGAGCACTGTTATGTTTTTTCATCCGCACTATAAAATTATAAATAGCAAATCAATGTGAAGTGGGTGGAAAAATAAAATAATGGACAAACGTAGTACCACTCTTATTGTTATGTTAATGTGTTTTGACAAGTTATTATTCGAATAAGAAGTGACTTCTGCACAACTCATTTCTTTTTTGTACGCCATGTTTATTATTGATATTTACACTGAATAAACCAAAAAATAATAAGAAAAACGAATAAATAAGAGTGGAAATGAAAAAAAAAGTTGAGTATGTGGAAATAAGATGAGGAAACACACTACTCTAACAAATTGAAAAAAATACACCCCCCTCCCCCGCCCCCAAAATTTAAGTCTCATTGCTAGAAGTTATGTGTTGATGGGCGATCTATAAAAAATGATAAAAGGGGCACATACTTCTCTGTAAATCTTCAAAAAGACTTGTGATATGTCTTGACCTTGAAAGGAGATGAGGTAGTCTCACCCCTACTTTCCTACCTTGTCTTTTTTATTCTTTTCCCTTTTTCGTCAACATTTTTCTTCGTGATCAAGAATATTCCCTTGTAGTGGGATATATGATATAATTCACGTTCATCATTTCCTTTTGTTTTCTCTTATGCCAATTTCTCTCCCAATCCTTTGTCCAACATTTTCTATTTTCTCTAATCTTCAATCTATAATAAATTTAAAAGACTTCGTTGTGAGATATATAATCATATAATTTTGGCCTTCTAAGTTAAATCATGACCTAAACAATTATCCAAAGGTTCTTCATGATTAGATGCAATGATTTTATGATGATGCGACTTCAATTTTTCGTTGTTGTTCACATTTAAGGATATTGTTGGTAGTATGAGCTTGGTTTTGTGTTATGCTTATATTTAATGATATGCGTGTTTTTACCATTTTAAGGTTATTATTTTTATCTTCAATGTCATTTATACATGAGCCTTGCCGCATACACTAAATTTTTATTGCAATTATTAATTAAATTTCAACACAAATGAAAGCATAAAGCTTCCATTAGGAAACATATGCTTTACACGTCACTTGAGGAAAAGTAACTTCCTTTTCTTGTCACGTTTAGTACAATAATTCTCTAGTACGTTGTGTCGCGTACGTGTCTTGTTGCAGAAGCCTGGGCTTCTAGCTTCCTGTGGAAGCAGCTTTCTGTCAAATAATTAGATGAAAACATACGTGTCATTCCGAATTCTCTCCTCTTATTCCGTCTCATTTTTATCTCATTTTCTCACATTTTTCTTTTTATCTTTTTATAAAAAAATTAATATAAAATATTGACATAATTTAATTGTAACTATTTAAATACGAGAGGAGAAAAAGAGAGAAATTAGGAGGGAAGAAAATCCTCCTTCGTGTTATTTTGCTGAGATTACTTCGGGAGTCCGCTAGTTCTCTCCTATGGTGAAGAAAGGCGAGAACAACGAACCTATCTTAAAACTAAAGTCATTTATTCCACGCAACTTGCATCAGGAGTACAATCAAGGATGTCAGAAAAAGAAAAAAAAAAGTTGGCCTCTTTTATTCCTTTGATGATTGTTGTTTTGGCCGTGGAAGATAAAATAGCTATTAAGTCAATGGCTCAGATAGTGGTAGTGAATGTCTTTATTTTCAATGAGTCAGACATACTCTTGTAAATCATTTCAAGTAAATCTAAGAAGCTGCTATTAAAATCTTCATAAGGTTTTTCATTTGTTCCACGGAATACTAAATTATGTAACAAGACATTTCACAACAGCCATAAGTCGAAGCAACACTTGTTTCCAATGATGTCTCTTTCTTTGTCAATTGTTTGATTTTTTGTCCATCTAATTTTCAGCTCAATTCAAGTTCTTGAATTAGTGATATGCTCTTTGCTTTTATAATGTTGGTCAAGCTTCTTATCAAAATGTGTCCAATCACTAATTCCATCTTTTGCTAACTCACTTTTTGGAACCATTGTTTTAAGCAATTACACCAAAGCAAAAAAATTTATCCAACTCTTTTGAGTACACGGGTCATTTCTCATCACAAGTTTCACCCGTTGATACTTTTTTATTGTAGTAATGTGTAAGAATTTTTCTAGAGAGGTTATTCTTCCATTTTGATGTGTATGACTTTATGTAGTTTATGACAAACGATAAGATAATTTAGATTAAGTTTATCTAGACTATGGAAATTTGTAAGTTCTTTATGACAAACGACAAAATAATTTAGATTAAGTTTATCTATACTATGGAAAAAAAAATTGAATATGAGATACAAGCGACTTGCAGAATTTAATTGAAAATTTATTTCCCAGTTATGGTTGAGATAATAACTATGCAAATATCATCATACCCGACGTTCTTCTTAATCATCATTTAAAAATTATTTATTAAAAATTTCAATCAAGCAAACGCATCCATACTATTAAATAAATGAGAAATGGAAGTTCCAATATTCTCTCAGTGGTGAGAGCTTTTCTCTCAAATTGATAGTTATTCTCACTTCCTACAAACCACAGAAAATCTAGTGGTGCCAATCCTAGCTTCGGCCGGGGCCGGTTGTCGTTTCCTTCTTGCTTTCTTTCTCTTTGTTTTCCTTGATTCCACTGCTTTTTATTTCAAATTTCTACTCCAATCTATCATATTCCTCTATCCTTGCGGGTATTACTTTTCCTGGGTTTTCCTTACCCCGATCTTCAGCCATGCATCCTTTTGAGATTGTGCGTAGAGTTCCAGTGTATCCACCAGCTCGTGTGTTTCCAACACCACCACTTTATCTTTGTTATCTGTCGGTTTCGGCAGTGTCGTTCGTGGGTTTCCACGAACTTCATACTGATAGCTGACTTCTCTCGCTTAGTTGCCGGCTATTTCTAGTTTATGGATGTGCTCAGGTAGCAAATCGGGTTTGGAAGTGGCGTTTGTTGAAGTGGTGCTTGGTGGCGGAGATGGAATCCGATGGATTGGTTGGTTCTGGAAGGGTGGAGAAAGCTGTGGAAGGTGTCGAAGCTTCTGCTTTGGGAGACGTGATGTTAAGTTTGGGCCTAAATGTTTTTTTGGGTCATTTTGTGTTTTGTAATGTTTTAGGCCCATTTTTGTTTGTTGATACGTGGTCTTTGGGCCTCTGAAGTGTTGTATGTTTGTTGTTGGTGCTTAATAAAATATCTTTTTACCCAAAATAAAAAAGAAAAAAAAAAAGAGAAATGTATAATTATTACAAAATCGTTTAAACAAAATCATTTTTTTTTGCGGTAAAACTGTAAAAATAACTTGTTATTTGTGACACTGCGACACGTTTCTATAAGAGGGATTTTACCTTGCAAAAAAAAAAAAAAAAAAAAATTAAAATAAATGGGGTTGCGTTTTTAGCTTCCGAGGGAAGCTTACCCAGTACTCGGTAAAAACCTTCCCGCTCGCTGTTGCTCATCGTTGGAGGTGGTTGGATTCTGCTCAGAGCTGTAAGAAGAATCAACGATGGTGCAGAGAAGTAAGCAATCTTCCGTATTCTACATTCGAATTTGTGTATCTAACTGTGTTATGCATGGACTTATTGATCAATTTGCTAAATTTTTTAAGAATCTGGAAAAAAATTAAAATAAAATTAGGGTTTAATAAGCTTGAATTTAAAAAGGAACAGTTTTCGGTATCGGAAAATTGTGTTAGATTGTGAGTTGCGTTTTTTTGATTCGTGTGTTTTGCATGGAATGATAGATTGATTCATTTGCAGAGAGTGGTGGGATTGAATTTGTTATGAGGAAAAAATGGGGATGTGCATCAATAAGCTTGCTTGAATTGAAATGGTTATCGAATGGCCCTTAAATTTGTGTGTCTTTGTGCGTTGTGCATGGGATGATTTGATTGATTTGTTGTGCAGAGAGTAGTAGGCTTCAATCTGTTAAGGAGCAGGAGAAATTGGAGACGGATCCGATTGAATTGAGAAAGAAGCAGTTGATTCTTGATATACGGGAGGCGGGCAGAATAGGTGATCAAAATGAACAGAAGCGGAGGATTCGGTGGATTCACGAAACGGAGATGATGAACAAACTAGTATGTTGCATTTGGTCCCTAGTTTTTGCCCCTTTTTTTCATTTTTTATTTGTCTATTTGAACTTTTGACATCAGAAGTAGAAGACATTACGATAACCTATCTCTGCAGAGCAAAGCAAGGAAAATTCGAGATTTACAAGTACAGTTGATATCGCTCGGTTATACATTCAACCCGGAAGATGGACTATTAGTTTGTCACTACTTAAGGGAAAAGTGTTTGGACGGGGATCTTTTGTTTCACTCCATTGAAGACGCTGATGTTTACGCAAAGCATCCTCAGAACCTCATAGGTATTTTCTTTTGATACGTTATTATGTTTCTAGGGTTTAGGGTTTTGGGTACTGCTCTTTGTCTTTGACAGATAACTACTATTAATGTTACAGACAAATACAAAGCTGTTGGTGCTAGAAATATTTGGTATTTCTTCACCCGTACCCGCCCGAATGAAACTCAACCTGGTACCAGTACAAGTACAGAGCAGGTTCTGGCCGGAAAATGGATAATTGGCAACGAAATGGACGTGCTTCATCAGGGCGAGAAAGTCGGTGTAAAACAATTATTAGAGTATTGTGACGGGGATGCCAAGACCCAATATAAGATCATCGAGTACAAACTCGATCCTCTTCCAGATAATTTGAAGGTATGAAGTTTTAGCCTATAAAATATGTCCGTTTATTGACGCCTCCATTCGTTTTATTTGAAAAATGCATTGGTTTCAAATTGTGTACAGAGCGGTCCTTGGTTCGTCTGTAAGCTGTACAATGATGCAAGTTGCGTGGAGGTGCAGAGTTTAATTAATGGCTGATACTTCACCTTAATGATGTACCATTTCATGTCTTCAGCTCTGTCATCCTCCGGTGTTCTCTGACTGAGCTAATCGACGTTTGTTGCAACTGTGATTTGAATTTGAAGTCGGTTTATCCAGATTCTGTTTTGTGGCTACTTTGGTACCCTGATATTAGTCCAGATTCATGCGCATACCGTGTCATCTTAATTTTTTTTATAAGGCATGTTCATGGTGTTTTCATATTTGTGAGATCAGTCAGTTACTTGAGACTCAGTTCTGTATAACCGCTAACGACAAAACTGTTTCCACAACTTCCCATCTACCATCTCCACCCAAATTCGAAGGGTTTTAGGTCTAAAATCGTGTAGAACCTCACTGGAGAACTTGGTGGTTCTTGACGGCAATTCCGCCGTTCCGGCGAGTTTCACCACCCACCACCACCCTTAATCAATTCCCCTTGGACACAGGAACAAGATCTAACTAGTTGTAGGGACGTTGGAACACCGTGTAAGTTGAATTGAAGAACACCCACCTTAGGGTTTTCAATGGGTTTGAGTGGAATTGGAGCTCTTTCCGGCCAAATTGGACTTGACTAGAGGTATGAACATTGCTCCCCTCATTGAGATCTTCATTTTTTTTTTTTTTGTGAAATTAGGTAATTTTTGGAAATAGTTGAATTTTCCGGCAAGTTGGGACGGCCAACAGCCACCTACGGTGGTACGTGGGCTGGAGCACCCCCTGACCTTCCTAGGCTAAATTTGATACCCCAATTCTATATGCGAGGTATTATACTATTATTTTATAGCTTTGCAGTTTACTAACAAGTTTATTTTTTCTTTCTTTCTTTTAGTTGAATTAAATATTGGGTAATGGATTAATCTAGCTCAAAGTTTCGTCTGGCTTGGTAAATACAAATTTTAATTGTTCATGCAGGTACTACTTGTGCTACAATCTTGACCAAGGCTGTTTATACCGATTGGTTTATTTTTTTTTCACCTATATTTTAATTTCATTCACCATAAAAAGTTATGATTAAAAAATTGAAATGTTATTTCTCCACTCACTATTTTTTTTAAATGGTTATGTCTGAAACTAGACACGGGTACTATTTATGAAACTAAACATGAATACTACATTATTTCTTAAACATACTATTTCTGAAATTGAACACGGATACTACATTATTTCTTAAACTGAATACTGACTATTTTTTAAAACTAAACACGAGTACTATCACTATTTTTTAAACTGAACGCTGATTATTTATGAAACTAACACGAGTACTACACTATTTATTAAACTCACTATTTATGAAACTGTCACAGGTACTACACTATTTATTAAATTGACTGATTATTTATGAAACTGACACATGTACTACTGACTATTTATGAAACTGACACATGTACTACTGACTATTTATTAATCTGACTAACTATTTATGAAACTGACACATGTACTACACTATTTATGAAACTGACACATGTACTACACTATTTATTAAACTGACCAACAATTTATGAAACTGACACATGTACTACACTATTTATTAAACTGACTGACTATTTATGAAACTGACACATGTACTACACTATTATTAAATTAACTGACTATTTATGAAATTGAATACTGATTATTTTTATAAATTCAAGTTCATGCATGCATGCGTGCCCTTCTAATTAATAGAGGATAATGCTAAAGAAAACCAAATTTTAAACCAAATGATAAACATATTAATTAATGTTTAAGTAATAATTCAATCATCAACATTCACATTATTTGATTTACAAAATTTGGTAAAAATTTAATCTCGATGGCATTAATAACCAAAGAGCGAGTATGTGTTAATAATTGATTGGCACATATATAATTACACATGTGTGGTAAGGAAAAAAGAAGATCGACTCGAGGCTCGGAGTACCAATCATTAACAACCAACAATACTTAAATCGAATTTAAATATTAGTTATTGCTTCCAAAATTCAACTTCAACTTCAAATTCAAGAAGTACATCTAAAGAAGCTTAGTTAAAAGAATTTAGTTTTTTATTTTTCTTATTTTGTTTATATTATATTGTTATTCAAAAGAAGATTGAGGGAGAGGGATGTGGAACAAGAGCTCACCAAGTCTACCGAATTAAGTGATCCAGATCTTTGAAATTTCAATCTCACATACACGCATCATCCATGCATGGCATTGGCACCTGCCAGTGCAGAGTTTAATAATTTATTAACATTTCGATGAACAAATGAAAAGCCCAAATCTCATCTCTTTTTTGTTGTACTTAACTGACTTTTACATTAATTGGGTTCTTGTTACTTGCATTTTTTTTTTTTTTTGTGAAATGCCAAATAGAGGAACTGTCATTGGTTGGAAGAAAGCCAATACCACAATATCAATGCCTAGACCTTTCAACTCACAGCGCGATAGATAATCAGATTTTAAGAATAACATTGACAAGGTTACTAATCCTCTTGTTTAGGGAAGGAAGTCGATGAGGATCACATAAAGCTTGGGGAGACCGGGCCCTTTGAAATCCCAAGGCGAACTTCCATTGCATGATGTGTCCACAGGCTGGAAGGTTTCAAATTCCCAGGGAGTCAGGTAATCCTCAAAGCCAAAATCATTCAATCTCCCAGTCATAGCTTCCAAACCCAGCATTGAAGAAGGAATTGGTCCGACAGACCTCTGGAATCGAGAAGGAGTCCATCTTCGGTGGAAACGCACTCCCTATAAAATAATGTGATAAATAAAAACAATACGTAAGAACAAGTATGAAATATGATCCATTGTTCAAATTGGCGATATGATAATATAACACTCTAGACCATTTCACCATTGATCTTCTAAATTTGAGATCTGAACTCGATTAGAGCATGTAAATTTTAGATCAAATCGGTTCATTTTACAACCTTTAATTGATTCTGTGATGGAAGATTCCCTTTTTTTTTCTCTTTTCTTTCTGAACATGGTGCCAAAATACCTTTCTTTGTAATTTGTTGTCTTCATGAACAGTACATGTACCACCTTCGCGCTAATGGGTTGGAGCTTTGAAACTTTGAACGAACAGAACATGACACAAAAGAAATATAAAATACAAGTCAAATGGTAAACTCACAGTAATTATGTGTGAGTGGTGAAACTCACAGTAAATACAAGCCTATAAATTTCAGACTACAGGCTATCATGAAACTCATGAACAGAGACAAATTCTTATTTTGAACTTCCAAATTTTACAAAAACAAGATGAGTGGCGATCCCCTCAACATGGCCAATCTCTGCGTCCTAGTGGTAGTCATGGACTACCGTATGGGGAGAGTCAGGTGAACAATATCAACATGTGTCTTATGGGGTTCCCCATTATGGTGATTCTTCATCACACGCTAGTGGCGGGTATCTGCAATCAAGTGCACCACCTGGGCATCCCTATTCTTACTATGGTGGTAGCCAAGACGGCACTTCATCATCGTATGGTGGTGTTCTTGTATCACATCTGCTTTATGGGATTCCCCATTCAGGTGACTCTTCATCACATAGTGGTGGCCATGTTGGTGGCTATCCGCAAAACTCACCTATACCGTCAAGTGCACCATATGGTGACAGTCTTGCACAACATTTGTTTCATGGGGTTCCCCATTCTAGTGATTCTTCCTCACATATTGGTGGCTACCCGCAACTAAATGCATGTACACCGAGAAATGCACCATATCTTCTCCATTCTTACTATGGTGGTAGTCAAGATTGCACTTCATCACCATATAGTGGCGACCCTGTAGGACATCATTTTTATTGGGATCCCCATTATGGTGATTTTTCATCACATGTTGGTGGATATCTGCAACTACCTATACAGTCAAGTGCATCATATGGGCTTCCCCATTCTTACTATGGTGGTAGCCAAGACAGCGCCTCATCATCATATGGTGGTGCTTATCATGGTGGCTATTCAGGGGCACTATCACAGTCTACAACAGCAACAACAACTATAGAGTCCGAGCAAGAGGCACAACCTAAACCTCGCCTATTGACAACCAAGCTTGAACGTTTAAGCTTCAGAAAAATGTTACAGGACAAACCAATACGGTCATCTAGGAGAAGTGTTAAATCATTCTATCAAAGAGCCATTAGGTAAGTTTCTTGAACAACTTAACGTTATGTAAATTACTGTATCATTCATAACCCTTATTGTTAATTAATTTTATATAAAGAAACATTATAGTTTGATGATCACTAATCTGGCACAATCTCAAACATTGTATTTAGTAATCAATATTTTGATCTGGTAAACACCCAACTAATTTAGTCAGTAACGTCCGATGACATATTATACTATCCAATTGAAATAGTCAGTACAGTCCAACTGCCGATTAGTATTTTAATAAAAATATCTAAAATCTAAAATAAAAATTTTAAAATATTTAAGTGACTTGTTGTCTATTTTTATTTATTTGTCCAATTGATCGTAACATTCATTAACAGCATAAAAAAAAAATATAAGAGAACATATAAGTTCAATATTAGAAAATGCTTGAGTGGGATAAAGTAAATTTATTTATTTATTTTTAATTTACTTTGCAACTGGAATTATCAATAGGCTATTTATTGTAATTTTGTTGAATTTGTTATAGTTAAATGACCATCTGATGCGTGTAGAGGGAATTCAACTCTCTCTTTCTCTGAAGTATGCTATATAGCTATTCCTTCAGAGTGCAATAGAACATGAAACTTAAAATATTATGTAGTTTTTAAAAAATGCTAGGGGGTTAAATCTTTTATTTATTTATTTTGTTTATAACTAAAAAGGTAATTTAACCCAAAAATTAACAAAAATTTTACTCTTTAGTCATATAGGTTATGAATGTCATATGGGTTTAAGTCATTATAAATAGTCAGAACTTGACTTTTCTATCATTTCATTATAAAAAGTTAGAACCTAATTATTATGTCCTTCTCTTTCTCTCTATATACATGAATGTGATCGTATGGGCTTTAACTCTCTAGATTTAGGAGCTCCTAGCCAAATTCTTATTTTAGGAAGATTTGACATTTTTTTGGAGAGGATTTGAAAAAAATCATCTCCAATAGAGATGTTTTAACTGTATTAATGAATGTGCATATCTTTGTACTTTCAACCAACTAACAAATATTTTGGTGCAACTCGAAAGGGGAAGGAATAGTGCGGGGTTGTCTAGATGAGTTTAAAAATATCGTCTGTGTTGGTCATGAAGTTATGATTGTAAACACTCAAAAAGGAATATTTTAGTCCCCATCTTCATCTTTTTTTTTTTTCCTTTGTTTTTGAGTGTTTACAATCATAACTTCACCACCAACAAAGACGATGTTTTTAAACTCATCCAGACAACCCCGCACTATTCCTTCCTTTTTGAGTCGCACCAAAATATTTATTAGTTGGCTGAAAGTACAAAGATGTGCACATTCATTAATACAGTTAAAACATCTCTATCTAGAGAGTTAAAGCACATATGACATTCATATAGAGGGAAGGAGAAGGACATAAGAGTCAAGTTCTGACTATTTATAATGAAAGGATGGAAAAGTTAAGTTCTGACTACTTATAATGACTTAAATCCACATGACATTCATGACCCATGCATAATTACTATGCCATTGATATATGACTAAAGAGTAAAATTTTTGTTGATTTTTTGGCTAAATTACCTTTTTAGCTATAAACGCAATAAATAAATAAAAAGATTTAACCCTAGAATGTTTGAAAAAGTACATAATATTTTAAGTTTCATGTTCTATTGCACTCTAAAGGAATAGCTATATAGCATACTTCGGAGAAAGAGAGAGTTGAATTCTCTCTACACGCATCAGACTTAGAAACTAATCTATGGTCATTTAACTATAACAAACTCAACAAAATTACAATAAATAGCCTATTGATAATTCCAGTTGCAAAGTAAATTATAAATAAATAAATAAATTTACTTTATCTCACTCAAGTGAAGCATTTTCTAATATTGAACTTATATGTTCTCTTATATTTTTTATGCTGTTAATGAATGTTATGATCAATTGGACAAATAAATAAAAATAGACAACAAGTCACTTAAATATTTTTTAATTTTAATTTTAGATTTTAGATATTTTTATTAAAATACTAATTGGCAGCTTGGATTGTACTAACTATTCAATTGGATAGTATAATATGTCATCGGACGTTACTGACTAAATTAGTTTGGTGTTTACCAGATCAAAATATTGATTACTAAATACAATGTTTGAGATTGTGCCAGATTAGTGATCATCAAACTGTAATGTTTCTTTATATAAAATTAATAATTGACAATAAGGCCTATGAATGATATAGTAATTTACATAACATTAAGTTGTTCAAGAAACTTACCTAATGGCTCTTTGATAGAATGATTTAACACGTCTTCTTGATGACCATAGTGGTTTGTCCTGTAACATTTTTCCGAAGCTTCAATGTTCAAGCTTGGATGTCAATAGGCGACGTTTAGGTTGTGCCTCTTGCTCGAACTCTATTGGTTATTGTTGCTGTTGTAGCCGTGATAGTGCCCCTGAATAGCCACCATGATAAGCACCACCATATGATGATGAAGCGTTGTCTTGGCTACCACCATAGTAAGAATGGGGAAACCCATATGATGCACTTGACTGTACAGGTAGTTGCGAATAACCACCAGCATGTGATGAAAAATCACTAGAATGGGAAACCCAATATAACTGATGTTGTACATGATCACCACTATATGGTGATGAAGCGCAGTCTTGACTACCACCATAGTAAGAATGGAGAAGATATGGTGCACTTGTTGGTGTAGATGCATTTAGTTGTGGGTAGCCACCAACATGTGATGAATAATCACTAGAATGGGGAACCCCATGAAACAGATGTTGTGCAAAACTGTTACCATATGGTGCACTTGACGGTATAGGTGAGTTTTGCGGATAGCCACCAACATGGCCACCACTATGTGATGAAGAGTCACCAAAATGAGAAACCTCATAAAACAAATATGTACAAGACCACCACTATACGATGATGAAGCGACGTCTTGGCTACCACCATAGTAAGAATAGGGACATCCAGGTGGTGTACTTGATTGCGGATAGCCACTAACATGTGATGAAGAATCACCATAATGAGGAACCCCACAAGGCACATGTTGATATTGAAGGGCAATCCGTTCTACTGCCCAAGCACTTCACTTCGAAGACAACATCCTTTCCAACTCAGCTTTCAGATCCACTAAGGCTTGATTTTCTTCAATTTTAGCTCGACGCTCCAGCCTCAGCTTCTCCCTCACCTTCACAAGATCCTCTTACTAATCATTCGCCTTCATCTCCTCGAATGTGACTCGACAGGTTTAGCTAACGAAAGGAAAGGGATGGAAGAAGACAGAAGGAAAATTTAAAATTTCGCTCAGCTGTGACAGTAGGGTTGGTTGAGATGTCAAAGACAAAGGTTGAGGTTTGGATTTGAGTGGTTGTTGCGGCGCTGGCTCCATGAATAGAGGGAATGAAGTCTGTGATCCACTAATCGAGGATAGTGGTGTAGGCGTTTCGAGGCTCGTAGGCTCTAGAGGAGCAGTAAGCCATCTCCTTTTCAGTGGGATTTCTTCCTCCTCTTCAGGGCTTCCAGACGTTATGTCCCCAATCAATAATTGCGGTTGAGAAGGAGCAACTAATGATGTCGAAGAAAAGCTGCCAGATCGCTTTCGCTTTCTTGGTTATGAAGTTGTTTGGGGGAGGGCTTTGGATTTAAAGAAGTGGGTGCTTTCGTGGAAATGCATTTTGGGATCAACGAATCTGACGGTTAAAGTCAGTGAAGGATATGGAAGGCAATTTCTTATTTTTCATGCATCATTACAAACTTTATGGCACAGTACTTGAGTCTGCATGTCTGACTCTGAAACGACTCGCCTACTTCACAAAAAATTTAATCCACACATGAGTAGCTCCGTGCCAGCTCCCTTGTCATCATCTTCTCTGTTGTTTGTCTGTTTGAAATTAGGATCGATCTCTCCAAGCCAAGCACACCGAGAGATGAAAAGTTGAAGCATATCTCATCGGCCTTCAGCCTTCAGGGGTGATGAAAATTGGACCCTCCGTAATTCAAAGGAAGGGAGCAACGACATCTCCACCTTTTACAAAGGAGCAAAGAACAATTAACACCTCCACATTTTTATTCACGAGTGAACGGTCGAGATTAACTCGTTTAGTTCTTGTTGTAAACTAATGTGCGGGAAAGAATGACGGCGATCAAACTATTAATAAAATGCACGTTCTTCCATTTAAACAATAAAATAAAAAAATAAAAAAACCCAACAGAAAACGATATGAAAATACTAATTGATTTGGCAACTATTTTATCAACTCTTGCATCAATGACTTCTCAGAAAAATTGATTTCGCATTGTGGTTGTGGCACTAGAGTGTCAAGCGTGGACATACTGGAAACAGAAAGAGACAATTAAGGTGACGATTACTTCCAAATCTCGGATTGAATTTAGAAAACTACACAAGGAACCAGACACATAAATGTTTGAATGTACTGGAAACAACAGTAGCTAGCTTGGCAGGTCTCCAATTTCCGATTTCCAAACAATGTTGCATATACAAATCAAAGGGTCACTTCACAATGCTGCTGCACACCATATTTTCAACGTGCTTGATCGAGAATGATGCTCCCCCTGAGAGCCTCACCTGTTTCGGCAAAGAGCAAACATTGACCCAATGAAACCAAAAGCAAAACAATGCAAGATTAAACACGGGAAACCCTCACAACTCCATAAACATTTCGTTACTATCTAGTGTCGCTAACAAACAAGAATCGGAAAACTGAATCTCAAATTGTGTTTGGAAAACAAGAAGCTACTACCTATTTCTAAATCAATCAATACGCATGGGGTTTTGCATCTCTATTTAGTTCCAGTTTGACCCAATAGCTAGCTCGTCAGTTGATTTTTGATCCATCCAAAACGAACTTCTTCCTCAAGTGAAAGTGTGTGCACAGGAAATACATTGAATAATGCTCTAGCTCTTATCCCTGGAATTGCAGCAAATTAACTATGAAAGAGAATAAAGACTACCAACAAAGATTACTATTATATAAAATAAATGAAGGCCGACTCGTTGTAACCTGAAGTAGATAATTACAGGTATATTTCTTGAGAAAGTCAGTGGGATTCTCTACAACATCTCCCCGTAGTACAACATTTTGAAGAAAAAACCACTGCAACAAGCATAAAACTGAGGCCACAGACCATGTTTTGCTCTCAAACTTAACCTCTAATAGTAAGGACAACTAATCATCCAAATCATCATGGAACCCAGCCCTTAATATTACATATTGTACAAGGGCGAGGCCTAGACCTGCCTTTTCCCTTAACTAGCTGCCAAATTCTAGTTAGAATTCTCGAATGCCTAAGAACAAAGCTTTGATTTTCTTGATATATAGCACAACGGCGTTAGCCCTTATCCTCTACATATCCATACACTGACTCTATTAATCATGGATATCAAACACGAATGGAAGTTTTGAAATGATTAGTTCATAAGAATAAAAATGCATACAAGCCATAGGAACCAACTCATATAAAAAACAATAATGGCAAGAATAGCAAATCCAACTCGGTTTGACTTAAAGGTGTGGAGTCTGAAGACATATATCATTCATTTGTTGTTCAATGATGATGATGTTTCAATTAGATTGCAGTTGCTGCAGATGATGTGATCAAGTTGTGGTCTCTTAACTTAGACACAATAGACTTTAATCCAACCAAGGACTGCAAATGAAATGAAGGCCGATTCATTGAAACTTGAAGTAGATGATTACGAGTATATATCATGAGAGTGCAACAGTTTGACGAAAAACCACTACAACAAGCATAAAATTGAGGCAACAGAACAGACCATGTTTTACTTTCAAATTTAACATCATCGTAAGCACAACTAATCATCCAAAGAATTACGGAGCCCATCCCTTAATATTACATACCAGCCCTTCCCTTAACTAGCTTCCGCACTCTAGTTACAATTCTCAAATGCCTAATGACAAGGCTTTGTCTTCTTGATATACAGGACAGCGGCGTTAGCCCTTGTCCTCAACATATCCATACACTGACCCTAGTAATCATAGACATCAAACACAGATGAAAGTTTCGAAATGACTAGTTCGTAAGTGTAAAAATGCATATAATGCCATAGGGAGCCGACAGGCTGCCCTTTCATTTGTTGTTCAAAGATGATGATGCCTCAATTGGATTGCGGATGACGTGTATACTTGAATGACAACAAAAGTTTGACAATGCTTGCTTGTTGGGTTTCTATGGATGTAGTACAGTTAGAAGTTAAGGCTGCACGGAGGAGAAAGCAAATACAGTTAATGGGATAGAATTGGAAAGTTTACCTTACCGACAAAACTTACAGGGCAAAGCAACCAAGCACGGCTGCGTGAGCAGTCCCAAAAGATTCCCGCACCAATCGTATTCAAAGATGTGAGTGGAGAAGGTGTCGGCCTTGAAGGAGGAGAAATCGAATGATCTTTTTGAATCGCAGCCACCATCATTATAATTATAATCATCATCAGTAGCACTGGTGAGGGTGGTACTTGGTTTGGAGAAGGAAAACTCTAAAGTTTGAACAAGAAGACGCATCTTCCAAAGACCTTTTTTTTTTTGGGTGCTTGATGGGATTGGAAAGAACAAAGCAGACTTTTGAACCTCCTAGATGAGCAAAGCTATAAGGGCATCGCCCCCAAAATTCACTCGGCAACCTTGGCTCCAGCATTTGGATGGCCTTAATCCAAGTTCCGGGTCATTGGAATCGGTTCCGGAGTCATTGGAATATATATATATATATATATATATCCAAATGAAGCAGGCAGGCAGGTAAATAAAATTGTAAATACAAACAGTTGAAAGAATTGTAAATACAAACAGTTGAAAGAAGTAAACAACAGTTTGGAAGATGAACATACTGTCTGTCAGTTGAAATCCAATTACTTGAACGATACGCAAGGGATCCGAGATAGCGGGAGCGAGGCAAAGCACTCAACAGGGGTTGCGCTGCTTCGGCTCCATTTAGGTTTTACCAAAGTGATCCTTGAACCCAGAAATTGACAACTCCAAGCGAAAAGCCACAGAAAAGCAGCGAGAGAAGAGAACTAGGGTTTCCGATCTTACGCTGTGCTGCTGGGTACTTGAATGAAAATAACGCGGGTCACTCAGCTGGTTAGTCACTAATCCAACAGATTTAACTAACTAAATACACGATTAGCAACTCTAACTAAAAGCCCAAGTCTTTTATCAACCCAAAGCATTTTCAACGGCCCAACGAAGATAAATAACAACGGAAGACTTGCTTTAGAAGCTTCAGGATTTATCCGTCCGAAACGGACAACTTGGGGTTGGATTTTGGCTCAGAAGAATCAACAACGATAGCGATGGTGAAGAGAAGTAAGCCTGCCCTTTTGTTTTTGATGGATTGATTGATTCATTTGTTAAATTTGTTGAGGATCTGGAAAAATTGGGGATGAATCTGTTAACTTGATTGTTTGTGCAAAATCCATGAATATGATTGATTTGTTGTGCAGAGACTAGTGCTAATAATACTAGTAGGGTTAGGGTTAGGGTTGAATCTGACAAGGATGAGGAAATTTTGGGGACTAATAAGCTTGAATTGAGAAAGTTGAAGAGGATTCGCGAACAAGAGGAAGCGCTCAAGATTTCCTACCGACGTCAAGAGGAGCTTGAACGGCAGGAACTAGAGAGACTGGCGTGGGTATCTTCTTCCTTTGCTGCCTGCCGCCTTGAAATTCAGGCAGCCGAGATGTTTAGAAAACAGGTGGTTATCTTCTTTCTTTATTTATTTGCACTGCCCTAATACTTGAGAGTTTCCGACCTCATACGCCTCCGCGCTCAAATTCTTTTGCTGTCCTACTTTTTAATTACCCTATCTAAATCGGACTCCAACAACAAATAAACAAGTGACGTTTAACGCTATAGGCCATTACGATCATCTTTGCAGGTGGAAGCACTGAAAAAGCGAGAGTTGGAAAACGGTTGATATCCCTTGGTTACACATTCAACCCAGACGATGGAATACTTACTTCATCACCACTTAAGGGAAAAGTGCCTTGAAAACGCTCTTGGTTTTTATGCCATTCTTGAAGAAGCTGACGTCTACGCAAAGCATCCTCAGAACCTAATAGGTGTGTTTCTTTCCAAATTCATCTTTAGTTTTAGCAAGAATTGGGTACCCCTATCTGTGTTTGGCAGACTTAACTACTACGAATGTTACAGAAAACTACCGTGCTCTTGCTGCTGGAAATGTTGGGTATTTCTTCACCCGTAGCCGCCCAAATGAAACTCAACCTGATACTAGTACAGGTACAGATCATGTTCAGGCCGGACATTGGATCTTTGGCAAGGAATTGGACGTGCTTCATCAGGGCGAGAAAGTCGGTGTTAAACAATTACTAGAGTACTGTGCAGCGGGCGCCAAGACCAGATATAAGATCATCGAGTACAGACTCGATCCTTGTCCAGACAACTTAAAGGTATAAAAATTAGCCTGTGATGTATGTTCATTTATTACTCTCTTCATTCTACTCAAAATGTCTTGGTTTCAATTTGTGTACAGGATGGTCCTTGGTTCCTTTGTAAGCTGTACAACGACGGGAGTTACATGGAGGTGCAGAGGTAGCTCTAATTATGATTAGAATTTGAAGTCAGTCGTATCTGTCGTTAGTTGAGGGTAGGGATCTCTTTTTATGTTGCTACTTTGTTATGGTTTGTAACTTTGATTCCCACAAGGCACTCCAGCCGCAGCCTGTGTACTGCATGTTTGTGCTGGTACCTCGCCGTTGCTGCCGGTTTTTTGGCAAGGAATGAGAGTGTTATCTGGTTTTATAAGTACCGATGTACAAAATGTGCAATTTTTACCAGAGAAGCTACCACGAAACAGTATGAATATACTCAACTAGGGCTGGCATTTAAGTGAACCTCGCTCGGCGAGAACTGGTTGAGATATATTCCTGAGCTTCAGTTGATTTGGGTCGTAAAGTCCAGATTGTGCTGATTCACCCATACAAATCGTTACGAAACCAACTAGAATGGGTCAACCAATTCATCGATTTTGGTGTTTAGGGATCCAATCCAGTGTGCTGAATATAACCCAAGCTGACCAAATTAAGTATCAAACAACGATAGCATGGATTAATGTAATCTTGGAAACCTTGAAATCTTAGAGAGGTCTCCAAGCTGCTAATACATAAGGTCACGAAAATATGAACAGCCATAGAATATGTGCAACCCCACATGGGGGCCGGAAAGACATCGACGCATTGCAGCTACAGCCTGAGGCGAAAAACAATAAAAAAACGAAACGAAACAATAATACAACAGTAATTACACAAGAATGTCACAGCTCTGACAGAATGGCAGGGATGTAATGGGACAACTCGGCCGTCAGAGATTGAAATCCATTCACAAGCTGAGTGTGGAAGTCCTGATCTTCATCGCCGATCAATCTGAAGTGCACACGGATGGCACGCTTGCATACGGCCATGAATTCAAGGAGTGCAGCAATGAGTTGCTGCAGTTCCTGGGACCGCAACCTTGTTGCAGGCTCGCCCGACAGGAATGCAGTGCACACACTCAGTACCCCACTGTTGACCTGCAAATGGAAAGTAAGAAAATCCGATCAGCAAACGAAATTGAGTCATGGAGTCAGCAGCAGATGAGTTATTGGGTTTGGAGAAACATAGGTTGAGAAGAAAATTCCACCTGAACGGCAACACTGCCTTGAAGAATTCTCTGGAGGCTCTGGAGACGTGGAAGTTGATCCCCTTCAGAACTGCGAGGCTCTTCAAGTTCATTTCGTAAAGCAGCTGTCCGAGTTTCAATCATTCCAATGGCATTTTCTACTGGCGAGAACTCAAGCGATTCGGATTTGGTAACTAAAAGCCTGTTCACAAGAGCTGGGAATGAACCTTCAGTCTGAAGAACGGTCCGTCGCTTCCACTGGTCTTCCAATCCACCTTGAGTCTTTCCGTTTTTTGTAAATGGTGTATCAAACAAGAAACGATCAAAGACTCGCGCACGAACACTTCCAGTGGAAAGAGAAAAGATTCTCTCCCTTCTGCTTCCCAAATCTTCATCTTCCATGACCGGATCAACAGCAGTTATTTGCAGGTAGCAGACTCCAGGCTGCAATTCATCCGCCTTGACCTGCCTAGAATCTGGAATAATGTGTAAGGTGTGATTGCCATCCATCCTAGATTCGTATATGTGACTAAGTTTCTCCATTATATCACCTAGCCTTACATCGCGGGGCTCCCTATATACATATTCCTTTCTATCCAACTTTCCGAATCTATCACCGTAAAACCCCACCCTATAGTATGTCGCATCAGTGAATGGAATTGGGCTTGATTCCTGCTCAAGGATTGACTCATAGACATTGGTAAGCATCGTGTGACATTTACTCAGCTGTCCATACGCCCTCCTGCTTTTATAAACTGGAATAACAAGTTCCAGTATGCTTGCACAGAAATGAAAGAGTTCAGCTTGAGAAAACAGCTTATTTGCAAGTTGAAGGTACTTCACGGCAGAGTCAACGGTAAGTTTTGATGCACCATATCCCTCTACCTCAGCTGCAGATGTCTCAGAACTGATCTCATTGCTGACCATTGGACAAATTTTACGTAGAGCAGTTATGTGGTCTTTGCTCCAAACACCATCATTTCTCGCAACAAGGGCCTACACAAGATTAAAACAACCCGTTAGCTAATAGTAAAGTAGCGAGCACTTCTGCACTTAAAAAACAGAAAACAGATTTTGGGAATGGAAAAATGTTTAAGGCAGAGGTTGCACGGCGAAAAAAACCAATTACCTGCATTACAATACCAGCCACAGCAACGGCACACTGAGCAGCTTCAGCCCAAGACTGCATTTCCTGATGTGCATCACATAGATGCAGTAACCACATTATGTGAAGATCTGGGACAGGGGCAAATGCCATAGCAAGTCTATAGAAGCTTTCGGCAGCTGCATATCTATCCATAGTCATCAAAGAGCCCTGCAAAACAAATTGTGGCAGTATTACAACGTAAATCTAATATTCTCCTCATCTCAACATTTGTCAGAACTCAGAAGAACAAGAAAAACTTAGGGCAACCCAATTTCGGGAAACAATAACATTGTTTCTGTTCACAAGGAAATGGAAGGGGCAAGGTGGCACAAAGTTGTAATTTATACATAGGAGTACATGGCAGTCAGTCGTAAGCTTCCTTAATTTATGAATAGGATGGGGCATGAGGCATGAGAAACCACATGAAGTTTCACTACATTAGTTTTAAACCCAAAAACAGAAAGCGTAAGAGTTATTTCTTTGATCATTGTCAAACTGCTTCTATTTTAGGCATAGAAATTAGTGGCTCGCTAACAATTATCTTCTAACAGCAGTAAAGGAATTTCCATTGTCTATAGTGAAAGTGTTACTTTTGAAAATATTAGAACTTAAAAATCTACGAAAACAAAAAGAATCTATTAAAGAACCAAAGCACCTGGTAACACAAGATACAGATGTATATTCCCTACAAACAAAGTGGATGTAGGCATTGTCAAACTGACCAGGAGTGCATGTTCCAAGCTGGCATCAAGAGCAAGAAGAAGACTGTCAGCGAGAAATTTCACTTCTGACCAGGACCATCTATTTTCTGTCATTTTTTCTGGAATTTCTAACAGAGCACCGTCAGGAATTCCACACTCTCTCAATAGACTGGGGCTCTTAGCTTCATCTGCCACTTCCTCAAGTGACTTTCGAAGACGCCGTGCTTCACCGCTCTCTTCTAGTGTTCCATCAGCCTTCATCTGAGTCACTTGTACATCAGACATCAACTCTGACAATGTGATGATCAGCATGACCCTCAACCTTGCTGTTTGCATAAAGTAGTAGAAAGAACTCTACAACAAGAAGAAAAGAATGGGAATTATTTTTGGGTTGAGAATTAACAGGAGCATACAATGTCAATGTGTCGAGCAGCCTACCCTCATAAGCATTTGGAGCCCAATAACAGCCCTTTTTCTGATATTATCATTTCGGAACACCGCAAGTCGAAGAAGATGAAAAGTTACTTGCTTCAAGAAGCGGTCATTTTCCCTAGCCATCAAAGTTACACCATGAAGATTGAAGACACCGTTGAAGACAGGAAGCAATGATCTCCAGAAAGACAATGGTTGATTTCGAGAGAAGAAGCTCATGAATATGGCTGTGACACAATCAAATTTTCCGTAGTCAGTGGCGATGCTGTGGGATGCTGCCATTATGGAGAACTTCTCAGTTATTTCCAAAACCTGAAGACTGACAGAAGCACTCAAGTTTTCTTCCCAGAGCTCCTGAAAAGGTGAAAGCTATTAACTACCTCACAGTAGCAAAGAAATGACGGACAAGTTCGAAAGCAAGAAATTTTTTATTGCAGAATGTAAATGGGGCTCATGCTGCAATCAAACAAACACACAATGCTTACACAAAACTTACTAATTTTTGTCTCAATATTGGATGCAAAGATTCTCTTAATGCTTGAGCAGAAGCTCCAATTCTGGAAGATTGTGCCTGAGCCAGTGCTTCTCTCAAGGAATACGGCTGGCTAGGGGAGCTTAACTGAGAATTTACTCTCTGCCACGAATAACTGTTTTCAGGAGTACCCTGAGGCTGCATTAAAGAGATTAAAAACTCTTGAGGAACGTTTGAAAATGTTGGTTTCATTGTTAAAAAAGTGAATGCTTCCAAGATGAGACATGAAACTACTAATGAAAGCAAAACAATATTCATCCGGTACTCTTGACTCTTGTAAACTCCCTCATAAGGACCAGAAAAGTTAACTCACCCTGACTTCTTGTCTAGATGCTTCAGACAGATAGTTGTTGATCGCAGGGGATAGTCTATCAGAATACTTGGGGGAAGCAGGGGCATCACCAACAACAGGACTGCGAGAACTAGATCCAATAAGCATGCCATCAGCAGGTTTTCTGTGCTGTAAAACACATGAAATACAACTAGTGTTACGGGGAGCATTTATATAAAATAAAAAATTGGAAAATACAGTGTTTTTTTCTATATAATTCCTTTCACTATGGAAGAAACGCAAAGTGAACAAATTCAAGAATCTATGATCATAAAATGAGATATGTGCAGAGATGGACAAAAACGAATAAGCCTCGGAACAAAAACCAATATGAGCTAAATTGATCCTCCAAAAAGAACTAAACTAGTATGTCAAGAATGAGAAAATGAACACCCTGAAAAATGAGAGCAAAAGCATACTTTTAGTCCTAACAAAATGAATAGAAGGTAAAAAATCATCAACTACGGAACCAAATATCCTACACAAGTAATTAATAAAAGGCAACCTCAAATAGAACAAGGCATTCCTCCATGAGTTTGAAAAACAATCTAGTTCTAGCAATGCTCTGCTGCCACGCCTTGACAAGTGATGAATCATCAAGGTTCCGTACAATTTGCAAAATTGCAACCAAAACTTCACGCTTTTCAACAGAATTGAGGTTGTAAAATACAGGCATTTCATCAAGAATCTGCATAGATAACAACACTAATTAAGATTTCTTAATTTTTGACCACCAAATACCAATATTTTTCAACAGCATAAACTTTGATAATATCATAGTTGAGCACTGCCTGTATTAACCTACAATCGAATATATTATTTATTAGTAGGAAAATATACGTACTGAAGTTGAAACAAAGGATGATGCTGATGGAAGTATCAACTATTGTGATTTACATGAAGATATTTTGATATGATATTATTAGTAAACATTAATGGAAAAATGGATCTAAATTGTAAACTTCAACAGATAGTATATCAATGTTAGCTATATGAGACGTATGATAAACTTTATACTTCTACTATAGTGTAAAAAAGCATCTTTACTTATGGAATACTCAATTTGTCATAACCAAGAATTCTGTGGAAACCATCTCTGGCAACCCCAAAACCAGATATGCCCCAATAAATTGGCATTACCCCCTAGGTTCAATCTCTGTGGCAATATCAAAACCCCAAAGATTTTAAGTAGATTCCCGTTAGCAGGGATAAACAATAGAGGGAGGAAAATGTAACAGAAAACAACTATACATTGCACAAGGAAAATAAAACTGCACCTGTCCAATAAGTGGAAAATAGAGCTGGGCTATATATAGTTTATCTTCAGGCTTTTGGTATCGTGCATCAAACTCATGCTTGCACAAAAGGACTACCAAAATTCTTGCTGCCTACACATCAAATGAAAGAGTTAGAACAGAATCATAACATATTTTGCACATTTATCAACATCATGATTTTCAAAACTTGGAAATTTACGCATATCATGCATCCTAGCAGTGCATGCTTCCACTTTTTTTTTTTTTTTTGACAAAAATTGCTGTGCAAATTGAGGAGTGATAAGGTGTATAAATGTATCCACCAACATAAGCATAAAAGAAATGTCAATGCAGATTTTCTACTGCAAGCCTCTTGTTTCTTATTAAATAACAAAGAAACAATGACAATAAACAAGTAAATAAAGACTATCGACTACAAACTCACCTTTGCCCGCAGAGACAAATCGTCATGATCCCATGTAAGAAATAGCTCTTGTATTAAAACAGACGAAAGGTAATTCCTATGACATAGCATTCACTTCATCAAGACACACTAAACAATACTCAAAGCTTCTTATACAAGTAACCAAAGTCTTGAACAAATAATAGAGGATTTCATTCAGAAATATCTGCATTCAAAAACATAATCAAAGAGATAAAATAAATCTTTCTTTTCTTAATAGAAATAAACTTCCAAGGAGAGGGATCAGGATAGTGAAGGGAACAAACCTACTCCATCCCCATGTGGAATGAGTACAGTGTATAGTTTGTAAAGACAGGATACAAAACTGTTTGAAGTAATTAAACAAATATGAACTAGTAATCCAATGAATTCATCAAATTGGTAAATCTTTGGGTGCGGGTGCGTAAATTATGATACAAGACATACTTCTCTTTTTCAATAGTTCATCAGTGGTTTCCACTGTTAACAGTAAGAGGGTGAGATAACAAAATTTGATATTAAAGGATAAGTTACCTATCAGAAGGGTCTCTCCCAGGCATTTCCACAAAAAGGTCGTGATCGCATATAATTTGTAGAAATGTGAGCTTGCAATCATGCAGAACCAGTTGGCAAACCCCAGAAAACTTGTCCAGGTACAAGGACACCTACAGCACATTAAGGAGACCCATAAAGTGAATAGAAACTACATATTGGCAACGGGAAGGGTACATAAATGTGAAACCTAATCCTTAGGTTGGCTCTTTCAATCTCATTTTAAACCCCAGAAAACTTGTGCAGGTACAAGGACACCTGCATACATGATTCATCTAGAGCAGTATTTGTTAACTCAAAATTTTCATTATGTTATTTTGTTGTACATATATCTCTCTGGACTCCCCTTTGCTCTAGTAGCACTAATGGAATGGAAACCACAAAAGAAGTATATCTACATTCTACACACAATGAAAGGATAGGAGAAAGATTTGATTGAAAACTTGAACAAAACTTATTTACTAAGGCTATGCACCTTTGATATAACACCGTAGCTCAGCCCTAAGTTCTGAACAATGAAAGTTAAGCAGAAGGCATACCAATTCAAAAACTTGGCGAGGTTCAACGATGGAGAAGAGGTCATAACAAAAGAAAGCTAAACTGCTGTTTAAACGCTTTGCTAAGCTTAATCCCTTCTTACAACGTTCATGCACTTCAGTTAGTAGGCAATCATACAACTGCATTATACATCTGAATACACCTTCTTTCAATTGCATAGGCGGAATATCTTCACCTGCAATAAAATAAAAAATAAAAAATTTATACCAAAGGAACCTGAAGAAGATTCAAGAAAAGAGGAATTTCTCTGGAAATACATGTCAAAGTAACAGGGTAATCTCAAACCCAGGTACAAAACGAGAGTTAAATCGCTTCAAAAGCATCTGTTAGAGATAAAAACTAAATTCAGGAGATTCAAGAAAATTCCAGAAATGCTAACTGTGAAATTCAGAGATAAAAACAAAATCTGCCAGAACAATATACAATTGGCATGAAGTTTAAACTGTAAAGAAAATCCAATAAGCTAGGATAAGAAAACCATTCAAGGAAAACTGTTCTATAAATGAAAACAAAATTGCCAAAATATACCATCCTATTTGAATGATCGTTGAAACATTTAATGTAAGTATGTCTAACCTAGACTTTAACAAACTTAAGGCTCTAAGAACATAGCAACAATGATTGTGAACATTTGTGTCAGAAAGAAAATTCAATTTTATGCATGATTACGACTGTCAGTGAATTTTCACTGAAAGCTAATAAATTCTGGGTCCACCAAATACACCATCTGCCTGCTTCAATATATTCTCTCTGTTGGTTTACAGGCCATTTATTTACATGATATTGCTAACATGTACAACGGTTGCTAGACAGAAATCTAACTGCTGAAATTTTGATTTTCTACATGTAATTACTGGTATGTTATGTCTGTTCACTAGAAAGTTGTGTATGAGGTGAGAATGGCCGTGCTGTTTATTGGGAACACTCCCAAATATAGAGTTAAAATAGCAACCAGAGTATATGTAAGTAGTAAATTTCCTCGAAGTGAAATATACCTAAAGGAAGATTATGATAGAAAAGACGCATCTTCTCCAATCCCATTGACTTGACAATTAGCTCAAGGAAAAACCAGGCCATTGCCAAAACATCATCATACACAGGTCCAACACGATATCCTTTAGCCTGCACAATGAATTCATAAAGTTAAACGGAGCTGTTGGCAAATAGTAATGATGAGAATCATGAACCTATCTTGCAGTCACCACAGAATTTAAGGTGAAAGCATTAAGAATCAGCACAAGCATAGTTCACCAAAAGCAGAATTCTCAACCAAATTAGTAGGAAACCTCAAAACCCAATGTGGTGATCAAGAAAACCACACCTTAATATAATTGGCATATGAAAATCACCAGCAGGACAGGCATACCTTACTACGAGCCAAACTCCCCCAAACAGTTGACAAACCAGGATAAACTGGTGGTTGACGACCCCCAAAGTCATCAAAAGCGTAATCAACGTAATTAACTAGGAAATGATTTCTCTCAGCATCATCAACCGACTCTTGCTGCACCCTATAGAAGTCATTTCACACATGTCAAACTAAAATTCAAAAGGCTATCAGAAATTAATGCAATAAGTAAATAAGTGGAAGTGCTAAGGCTGGTCCAGAGCACAAATTTTACACCAAGGGGCCAACGTCTATGCACGGCACAGGACTTGTCTAAATTTTAAGCATGTCTTGGTTGTGTTCTGTGATAACCCTAACCCAAAACACGACCCATCAATTTTAGGTTTCCAAATAGGAAAACCCAAGATCATTCGCTAATTCAATGTATTCTGTATTATTTTAGCAATATTTATTTTCTTTCTTTTTTCAGCCAACAAAACAACAAAGAAAAACAAAAGAATACTAAACAAAACACCTTACAACACCATAAACACGGGACAAGCTGGTAAAATATTGCACAACAATGGTTGGAAACATGTTTCGAAGAAAACACGCATCCACACTAAATAAACCATAGCCAAAAGGATTTTTCCAGAAACAAAAAGATAAATAAAAAAGTAATACATGAAGAATTTCCTATAAAGTATAGCTTTCACCACACCATATTGCAAAGTTAATGCATGCCTAAGAAATACAATTACATAATATCTTGATAATAAAGTTAGTTATGGAAGAGACAAACAAGAAAAGTTTCAAAAAAATAAATAGTTAATTTTTTATAATTAATAATTTCACTTCTGAACTATGATAAATAACAATTCTGAAATAGAAAAAATCATTAATCAAAACTAAACAACACACCGGGTGACGATGTTAACCATGGCTCTGAAAGCTGCAACCTGAAAGCAGCAGTAGAATCCGAAAATAAGATGGCAGTACACAGGGCAGAAACCAGTCAGTAGAAGGATGATTATCAGATAATCTTGAAAAGTTACCAAAGGAATTAACGAACACTAATTCAAGAAAATAAGGACAACAAGTGGAGCCACAGGAACAACTAACAATAAAAATCAGTACTACCTGGAGGGTTTCTCCACCATTTCCTATTAGATGGAGAAGCATATTCAAAATTGGATGTAGAAACTGAAGCAAAGCAATGGAATCAACATTCTTCAAACTGTTAATAGCCTGCAAGCAAGGACATCATACACTTGAATCACTTCTTCAAATAGAGCCGGTTAACCACAGAGCCCAGGCGGAAAAAGTACATACAAAAAAGCAAAAAACTACACCAACCGTTGCAAGCCCAACACTCAGATGATACCAACCAAATGTTAGCGGTATATTGATAGTTTTTTTATTTATATATTGTGAACCTAAAGGGAAAAATCAGTACCATGTATTGCCGAATTTCTATGATAACTGAATAATGGAATCTTCATTACCATAAAATAAAATAAAACAGGACAAATGGATTTGAAATAAACAATTAAAAGGAAAAATACCTCCAGAAGTTCAGAACCCCAAGGTGCACTTGTTCGAAGAGTGTGCCTATCGTATTCAAGAAAAAAATCTCTTATGCGCTCATTGATAGGATACAGCGACGAACATAGTCTTAAGCGCAATCGAAAGATATTCTTTCCATCTTCCAAATAATCCAACCTCTCCTGGTTACAGGGAAGGTGAGTGGAATTGTCAGTTTAAGAAAACGAAGTGGGCACATAAATACTTAAAAGCTTCCTACCAACTACAAGATTAGAAAGCTGTTCGTAAATATGAGACTAGAACAAACGGTTTTAATATACACGATAACGGCACAGCATACAGGGTAATGGCTTAAAAACATAAATGAATGAGCATGCAAAATAAGCGAGAAATGAAATTTTAATATACTTGTCAAGAAAAATCTGAGGTTTCCACCGTTATATCCCATCTAAGATAAACTGAGGTTAACTCTAAAGTAATATACAAATAAAATTGAAAATGAATAAAACCAAAAAACTCAAATATTTTATATACTTTCACTAGTAGAAAGTAAACAAGTTATAAACTCAATATGAATTGCAAACATACTCTGCCCATATCCTGGAGATAATGTGGAACCAGCTCTCTCATAATTGGCAAAGAAATTTCAGAGCGCAACCTGAGTTGGAAAACAACCATTATTGCTTTAAGATGCTATCAATTATGGGTAACATTAAAAGTCAAAACTCTAAAGGCCAAGAAAACATAAAACATATAGCAAGATGGCAATAAAACTAAAGCACAATTTTAAATTTGCAGTTAATTGATGTAAAAAACAGGAATGGTGAAAACATAATATTGTTATGAGTAGCGCTATTCATACACCCATTTTACTTCTCACATACCCTTGTTAATTTTCGTCCATTGATCTTTTTCAATTCATTCGATCCAACGGCCGGAAATTGAGAGGGGTGTGTAAGAGGTAAAAATAGGTGTGTGGATAGCACCACCCTTGTTTAATTGGGAAAAATTGTTTGCATAGTCCATTATTAGCATTGAAACTCAACAGAAATAATTACAGTACTGTATTTGCATCATTTATCCAAACTAAAGGCATGTTCTTAGATACAAGTTATACAGTTGCTTTGACAAAAGCATCTTTAACTACCATAGAAGCAGGCATTTGTAACACTGGTATAAACTCTCAAACTATTTAAACTACTAAATTGGATCAAGATTAGTTTCAAGGGAATAACCAAACAATATATTAAGCGAGCAACCACATGACCAAAAATTGTGCTGAGTTTCATTCAGTTTAAGAACAAAAGAGGAAGAAAGATCAGGTTGAAGGCAAATACATACTGAGCATGCGTGGATAATGGAAGTGCCGCGTATCCAATTACTACCTGAAAAGTGAATGGATGGAGTAATCATTTGAATGAAGTGAATAAGATAAAACTAAAGCAACAAGGCAAAACCAGCTAGTCCTTCAGAGAAATAAAGCTTAAAAAATGAACTTACAGGCTTTGGAGCTTCCAATTTTGTTTGAAGATCTACATGAAAGAAAGTAAATAAAAGATGATGTGTTGGTGTCCAGGTAGCAGGGAGGGAGAGTTTGATCTCATCATGGTAGCAGGGCATCCTAGCCCCAACAGTCACTTGTGTTTGAGCCCACTTATGTAGTGATGCACCAGGTTCCCTTGGATACATTGCCTGGCCAAATCAGTTGTACAAACCAAACACTTAAGGGAAATTTCAGAACAGTGAATAGCTTAAATCAGAATAATCAAGGCATAATTACCTCCAAAGGCTGTCTACGAATATCATTATCATCCTCCCGCAGTTCAACCCTTATGAACAAATTCCTCTTCCGACTCAAACTAACAGTCATGGGATATACATATAGGCAATGAAAAAGCTGCAAGAAAGGCTCATTTCTTGTTGTCGTACGGAAGTCAAAAGCTTGAAACTGGAAGTTAATCAAAGCAAAACACTTAGTATATTAGACATGTAAAAATTAAAAACATAGTCAAAATTGATAAAACTATTCATTGGAATAGGTGTTTCTGAACACATCCTTCCATATGTCAAAAATATTATTATACAAATATGAATATATATATATGTGTGTGTGTGTGTGTGTGTGTGACCGTCTGTTACAGCCAACTAGAACAGCAATACAGATCAACTGACTCAAATATTACAGCCACAGTGAAAGCTAAACAACTCAACCCCTAACAATTACGCACATAAACAGAAACCGAAAAGGAAAAAAAAAAAAAAAAAAAAAAAACCTAAGAAACAGCTACCTCTCAGCTGACAATCGGCAAGAAGAAAGGGCCTGCTGTAGGGGTGTCATATTTTTAAAACCATTTGTGCAGAAAAATAATGACTCGCAGTAAGAAGTTCAAGACAGAAAGCATTATGATGCGTATACTTACATCATCAGTACTAGGAATTGAATTTCCATGAGCATTTGGTCCATTTCCAGATATTTCTTTGGTGTCGGAAGAATTCCACTTAGAGCTGCTACCCTGAGGACCATCCAAACCATTACTTGGAAGCTTCCCAAATGTGGAATCGGTAATGCGGTCATCAATAGAATCATTGGTAACACTACCACTTTCTGATACATTTTCCAAGTCAACAGTGTCATTCTGGTGCTTCTCAATTTCCAGTCTCAAAACACTTTTCACAGGTTTATGAATCTTGCGTTTGGGATCCTAAAATTGTCAGGAAAAACAAACCATCATAATCTGAACAACAGGCATCTAATGAAAGCTCCAAAAGTCAGAAACTGTCCGTCAATATGTACTACATAATTTGGGGGAAATAGGAAATGCAGACAAGAAAAATTCATGCCTACAAAGTGAATACATGTGCAGGAAAATTTAATAAATACCACGGAGGTATTAAATATTCATACAAGAGGATCTGCATACCTGAAGTGAGTCTTCAGTATAGCATTCTTTAACTTTATTTAAGTTTGATATTTCGACAACAACAGAGCTTCGACTTGAATAACCTAGCTTCCCATCTAATGTGACCTTTGCACTAGGCTCAAACACACCATCATGAGAACTTGTACCAGATATACTAGGAGCAAGAGGACTGCTTGGGGAAGCAGACCCACCAGAAGCTGCACCATTGCTGTTATCAAATAATGAAACAAATGCCCAAGCGAAGGACTCTCTGTAAGGCATTATTTGAGACCACACCTGCAGTTTTTGCTTTTCTTTCTCAGTCAAGTGTACCTGTTCAGATAGAGTGAACAAAGATTTTGTACAAAACAGAAAACTTAGCAATTTGTAAATTTATTTTTTCATGCCATACAGTTTTTAAGAATCGAGTAACATATATATTTCAACATACTGGTTCTTTGCGCGAATAAACTGAAGGTGTAACCCCGCCTTCTTCTGTGGCATGCTTCTCTAACTGGATTAGCAGACAAACTGATGATGATGGAGCATCTAAATAGAAGATTCCGCGAGGTTCAAAAGAAATCTTCAGCAAAAATGATGACAGACGCAATAGTAAATTTTTTAGTCGTAAATATATCCCAAAAATTAACTCCTAAAAATAATAAGTAAAGAAAAAGCACTAAAATTGACAGGGAAAAAAGTTAAATTGATCTTTTAGCTTACATCCTGCCCTTCAGTTGGTGCATGACGAAAATAAAAGTCCTCTGACAATTTTTCTCTTCTCTCCCTATTGTATAAGCACATTGTACCATAAAATGGCTCTACAAGAGAGAGGGACGGAGGGCGGAAGGAGAGGGCAAGAGAGAGAGAGAGAGAGAGAAGAGAAAAAAGTCAGAAATCTTGAAACATCTCAACGTTACAAAAGCATTGGTACAAAGTGAGCACCAATGATACCGCACCAGTACAAAGGCAAATCACTCACCAGCTAATCCCGCTTGAAATGATAGGGAAAGAACCTTCACTGAGATCTTCAATCCACTGAGACAGCCCAAATGAATAGAGAAAAAGACAATTAATAAACACAGGGATAAAGAACCAGAAAAGCAGAAACAAACTTCTAGTCAACAAAAAGATTTGTACGACTTCCATACTGAGATATTGGAGTTTCTGGAATCCTTTGTCCGAATATCATTGACCTTTCGTTTTCCCAATCAAATGCTGGTTCATAGGCAGGAAGGGGAGATTGACCAAAATGCTGCATATACAGTACCGCATTTAAGAGAATTAACACTAGAAAGGGGCAGGTGGGTCATTGATTAAAAAATCAAGGTACTGAACAAAGTTAAACTTATGTTGAATGTATAAACCTATCCTCAAACCAGTACAACCTTTGGATCATTGGACTGTACTGAATCGGATACAGTAGCCTCTGTGAATTGTCTTCCCGAGGTACTGGGGACATCATCATCAGTAGTATCTTCCACCTTGGTTCGCCTTGCACTTGCAAGATGCATCTCTGCAAATAGATTTAATATATATCAAGAACTCTACCAAGTAGTAGATGAAAAAAAAACAGTTCAGCAGGGTTCCCTCAAATCTACTGCAATTTAACTTGTTATTCTCAAACACTTAGCATCTAACAGGCAGCCAATCAAATAATCAGTTCTAATACTTGGATTACACCACTCTTGTGCTAGACTGACACCCACTCCAGGCGGGACAAATTCAGAACAACATGTACCCCCTAAATCTTCCACTACCTTTAAATTTTTCACAAAACTATATATCCTATGCCAAAAAACCAAATTAGAAGAATTCTATGGTTTTAACTTAATATTGCCTTTAGAACCAGGTAGATAAAATAAGAAATACAGGAGAAAGAATCAATCTTTTATCATTACTTAAGCACTCTAGGAAAATGGGCTTCAACCAGGTATTGGTAATGTACAAATTTACACCAATTCCATACTTTTGCAAAAAGGGTTTCAACCGTTAAACGAAAAGGGAGCATGGTGCCCAATTAGGAAAGTTTCCAGAGATATAATCTAAAAACTTAAAACCCTTCTGATACAAAAACCCAAATGCACCCCCATTTCAGCATGTTCGAGTAGGCGAAAGACTAAAAGACCAAAAGAAGGGTGCTGTATACCGGTTTCAATGTCAGTGTCAGGACCCTCATAAATCTGGTTCTGGAATGAGGGCGGTCCAACACTCTCATAGTGACCATACTTGTTGTCATCCTTCACCCAGTCAGTTGTATAGCACTGCACCAACTCCTTCAGATGTGGCCACTGCTCCAAATTCTCCTCAAACTACAAAAACCCAAGTCACCAAACAATAAAAAAAAGTAGACATTTTTAAGTCTTACCCTCAAAAATCAAACTCATACAAACATAAACCCACATTACATTGCTTTGCCAGTAAACTAAATACTCAAAAAAACAATACAATTAACTGCATTTTCTAAATTATAATTCTTGGAATCTTTTAACCCCAATAAACAAAAGGGTAGATAAAACAAAGACCGAGAGTGAGACACATTACCTTGTTCTGCCATTTGGTAGTATACGGAGTGGAATCGCGGCGAGGCCGCAGGCTGAGCATGGCGGATCTATTGGGTCGGGGTTCAGGAACAAGAGGGCGAAGAAAATACTGGGCTTCTCTCGAATTTGCGAAATTTGTCTTCTTTTTTCCTCTTTCTTTGTGTATTTTAATGGCGTTCGCAGACAGCAGTAGGCGAGAAAACAGGAAAATGTAGTGGTGTATTTGGTAGATCGTAACAGCAACCAAAAGCTAAAAACAGACAAATTTACAGAAATGATATGTGAGTTTTGAAAGAAAGGATGGAGATAGAGAGAGAGAGAGAGAGAGCTTGGAGCGAGAAATAGCTCAAGTCAAGAGGAGTTCAGCTGGAGAGAAATGCCAAGCAGGTCTTGGCTGTTTTATCGCACCCCAATGCTTCGGGTCTGGCCCCTACCTTTGTTTATTAGTTTTTTAGCTTTTTATAAAATTAGAATTAAGTATCATTTTTTCTACCAAATCAATAATTTTCAATGCAAGGTAATCAAAAAAATATTAATTTTCAATGCAAAGTAATAACATTCCATTATATATTTTCATAATACCTAGTTTGAAACTACTTTTTTAAAAAGCACTTGTGCTGAGAAACATTTTTAATGCTTTTTAAAACAGCACTTGGAGTATTTCTTGAAATAAGCTTATTTTCAGTGCATTTTTAACTGAAAAGTACTTAACTTTTTTCTACCAAATATAGTAAGAAGTGGTTTTAGTTATTTTAAACCTTCATATTACAACGGTCGTTCACATATGGTGCTAAATATGGTCTTATTATCATTGCTCATCTAGCAATGGGCTTATTAGAGTTATTGTAAAAAGAAAAAAAATTAAGTATCGAGCATGAAAGTTGAGAGATTATGTGGTGATCATAAGTGGTAACGAGTCCTACGTCACTCATGTATGGAAAAGTGAAGTGCCTCATATATTCATTTGTAATGTTTTATATTAAGACACGTTTTAAGCCTGAATGATAGGTCATGAGATCACGTATAATTATAGTACCTTGTTCAAATTATAGACTTGCAACGTTCTTCCTCACCAAGTTCGAATACTTTGCTTCCTTCTGCTTTAGCCACCGCAATGCACAAATGTATATACACTTTTATACCATCACTATCTTTACAATGAGAGACTAACGCAGCTTTTTAGTGACCATTTCTCCTAACTATTGCAGGCCATTCATGCGTGCTTTGATTGAGTTTGTTCACTTCACCCATCTAATATCTTAAGTTATCCAACTAGATTCCGTAACTCAAATGATTCATGTACTATATTTACTCAAATATTTTTTTCTATAACAAATTTGGCATTGTGAACGAATTCTAACAGTTTCTTCAACGTCGTCTTTTAGAGTAGTCTTAAAACAAGCATAACTTCATATGAAATAGTAAAAAATAGATGTCTCAACTTATGAACTGTAGAGGTAGAGCAGAAGTTGCACAAACAATTCCTTGTTATTGTTTCGCTTCTAAGAAAAGCAATTGGTATTTGCTTTCACCAGTTGGTATTTTGCTTCCAACCTAATTAAACTTGAAACATAAGTAACAACTAGTATATATGTCTACACATGCATCTAGGGTTTTAGTGGCAACCTTTTTAATTCCCTGCATATCCTACGAAGGAAGTGGGTGGCTTTTGGGACCTTTTGGAAGTGCTTGTGGCTTTTACTGTTGAGCTTTATATAGTAATGGATGACAAACTTGTTATATCAGCCCAAGTGGAAATTTATATATAGAAAAACGCCAGTTGGAAGGGGATGTGGGACCGATGGGTTGCTTCAAGCGTGTCACATGATAGATTTGCTACTTCGTTGACATAATCATTGCCTCGCTATTTCTGCTTGAAAAGAATAGTAATTTGAGTTGAGAGGTGAATTCCGTATTCTCTTTTGATTTTTTTATTTTTTCTGCTAAAATTATGTCTTATGAGTATCTTTTATTTTATTTTATTCGATGTAAAGAGAAGAAAGATCTGAGAAGCGATTCATTCTCTAGAACTCGAGGCGTTTATTTATTAGTTCTTCAATGGATGAGGATTAACTTGATTCTTCAATGGATGAGGATAAGTCCTTCCTCAAGTTGAGATCGATATACGAAACTTTATACTTATAATCAAAATCGTTCATGTTATAAATCACTTTTTAAAGATCATTGATCAAAAGTATTAGTAAAATATGAGCTTGTTTAATCAGCGAACTGTATACAAACAGATAGACATATACGGTAAAAACATTAAGAGGCGTTTATTTATTAGTTACAATAGATTGGCTAAACAATCTCAAATTTAATTGGTATTTTGTAAAGATGATTTTACATAAATATTTATAATATGAATTATTTCGATTATAAATACGAAGTTTTGTAAATCGTCTACTAAGTGAATCGAGGAGGAACTCCTCAATCTTGATGAGCCAAGCATTGCTCTAAAATATTTTCTCAAGGGGCTCAATGCTCAAGTACTTCGGCTGTACTTGAGCTCGACAAAAACAACTTACATTAAATGAGTTTACAACCATTTGACGTCTCGTGCCAATAAAATAATTTATATCAATCTTGGTAAATTTAAATCGTAATCCAATTTTTTTAATCCTAGATGTTCATTGAGTATACAACCATATAACGTCTCGTGCCAATGAAATCATTTATATCAATCTTGGTAAATTTAAGTCGTAATCCAATTTTTTTATCCTAGGTGTTCATTTTCTCTCTTGAAGGGTGGACCTTTGTTCAAAGGTTTTAAAACATAAAGCATAAGAGCAAGTCTAGTGGGAGGGCTTAGGCCGACTCCCAGCACCTTTTTTGGCCTGGCACCCAGCCGATTCACTCCAACCCACTCTAATAGCTCAGCTGATAACCCAAGCTAGTCTCCAGGGCAGTCCAAAATGTGCTGAGCTATGACACGGCCCATCTGATGTCATGCTTGCATTAGCAAGACGTCAAAGGCCATTGAATTTTTTTTTGAATCAGGCACATGCGAAACATGAGCGAATGGGGGCGTGTCCCCAACAAGAAAAAACGGGCGGGGTTCGCATGCGCAAGCACACTCGCGTAGCTGAAGGGGAGGCCACATGGCTCGTTATAGGTCGTTGGATTTCCAACGGCTAGTTTCCTGGACCGTTGGATTTCCAATGGTCGAAAAAATTTGAATTAAAATCCAACATCTAGTAACGTGATGTGATATGGGCCGTTCGATCCAAAGATCAATGGTCCACGTTCCCCCCCTCCCCCCCCCCCAAAAAAAAAGGCACAACGGTCAGAATTATGACCGTTGCCCACGTGTCAACATATGGGCCGTTGGATTTGAATCTTTTTCAAATCCAACGGTCTATATTAATTAACTAAATTAAAATTAATAAAAAATTGTTAAAAAATACATAAAAATTATTATTATTATTATTTTCTATAAATACCTAACCATCATCCTTATCCTTACACCACATTTCAATATTTTCCGCACTTTCTACCAAAGCTTTCATATACTTTTTGTGTGAAAAAAATGGCTACGTGGAAGCTCATTAAAGATATTACGTTGTGTGAATGCTGGGTTCACTCTACTCATGACCCAATTACGGGTAACAAAATGGAGTTGCGAGAAATGTGGAGTAGAATTATGGAAGCGTTTTGTGCTGTACATGGAAAAGATGCCAGAAGTAGTCAAGGTCTTCAAGGGCATTGGAAAAAACTCAACACATCATTGTTGGAAAAACACTATCTCAATTGCTTATGGTAATTTCTTATTTATTTGTAGTACTTAAAATAATTTCTTATTTACTTTTAGTAATAGATGTAATTTCTAGTACTTTAAGGGCCCGTTTGTTTGGCTTCACTAAACTTCCTTGGACTAGACTGGACTGTAATCCGGTGTTTGTTTCACGCGGGGACTACGTTTAGTGAGACTCGCCTTGACTGAGTCCAACTAACAGCTTCGTAGCGAAACCCCCCAAAATTGGGCGGACCGCTAAGACCACTTTACTCCACTTCACTCCTACCCTCTTCGTCCCCCCATCTACCTCTTTCTCACGTCCCACAACCTATTTCAAACCCAAATCCTACAAAATCCGAAACAAAAAAACAACAAAATTTCCCAAGGTTCCCTTTTCAGAACCAGATCCAACTCCCAAAATTCGAACCCAGATAACCCAGAAAACCAAAAAAAAATTTGCAATGGGATGAGCTTGAAAATTTCACCCAGAAAACCCAAACCAGATCCAACCCTCATCTTCTACCTTTGAGCCAATCACACATGCACCTCACCTCCTTCAATCTCTTTCTTGCTATGTGTTTTGATTTTAAGATTTGCAACCGATTTTGTGAGAAGAAGTGAAGAGGCGGGAGGCGGAGAGGAATAAAGAAGCATAGAGGATTTGCTTTGGAAATATTGGTCTATTCTTTAAAAAATAAATGCTGTTCTTTTAAAATAAAAGTAAAGGCAGAAAATGAAACATTAATTAGATTTTTAAAAGTTAAATAACTACAAATAATATTTTAATATTTGTTGTTTTGTTGTTTTTAAACGGAAAAGTAAAAAAAAAAAAAAAAAATTAGTTTAGTCCGATATTATACCAAACGCTTCACTAAGTTAGACCAGCTTAGTCTAATCTAAGCTAGTCCAACTTAGTCTAGTCTAAGCCAGTCCAGCTTAGTCCCTGAAGCTAATGTAGTTCGAGATAGTCCAGTACAATAAGCGCACCAAATATTTTTAGTACTTTACTTAAACACACCAACTCACAAAATAAACTTACATAAACTCACAAAATAAACTTAACAAAATACACTAAATAAAATTACATAAACTCACAAAATACACTAAATAAAAGTAAACTCACCAAATAAACTTAAAAAAACATATGAAATAAAATTACATAAACTCACAAAATAAACTTAACAAAATACACTAAATAAAATTACATAAACTCACCAAATAGATAGTGACACGTGGGTGACGAAATTGGTTAAAAATCATATCTGAAATTAAACTAAATTAAAATAAAATTTATTATTTATAAAAAAATTAATAATATTTTAATAAATGAGCTGGGTGCTAGCGCATTTTGTAGGAGTATTTATCAAATATAGCCAAATATTAGCATCTAATTTCAAAAATGTCAGTTTTTATAAAAACTTTCAAATATATCTAAAATATCACTTAAATAGACACAAATACTCTTAATTCATACAAATAATTAGTTGTTAATTAAAAAATTCTTGTGCAATAATCAAGTGGTGCTTTCGCTAATTTTTTTAATATGCACCCAAAGAATTTTTATTCAGTAAACCTTAAAATATGTTTTTTGCACTTTCTAAGAACACAACAAATATCTCGATTCACTACCATAGTCAATGATAATCTTCAAAACAGAATCCGAACACGGACAACACCATTAATAATGCAAAGGTGTGAAAAATTAAATACGAAGCACATATAATCCAAAGGAAAATTGAGATAAATAATATTACAAAAATTGATAGTTCATTCTTCCATAAATATTCAATCGAAGAAAAAAACTACAAAAGTAAAGAGAAAACGTAGACGAGGAAAAGTGCAAACAATTAACCATTTACACTCATCTTCGTTTAGGGGTGCACAATTCTTCACCAACAGTCGATGCCTACTCCTCCAATTTTAAGGTTTAGCTGTGATAACTCTTCATCAAATAAGGTTTTGGTTTTTATTTATTTATTAGGTTTAAAACTTAAGGATATTTGTGTATATTCAAGTGATAATTTGGATATATTTGAAATGTTTTATAAAAACTGACATTTTTGAAATTAGGAACTAATATTTGGCTATATTTGATAAATACTTTTTTGTAGGGGTGAAGATCGTTTGTGCCAGTGCATTTTTAGACTTTGTGCCAACGTATTTTTTAAGGGTGGAGAAGCATTTAGCCAATTTACTGTTTATGGGGTGGAGAAGCATTTAACCAATTTATTGTTTATGAGGTATATCAGTGTTTATTGAATGGATTAAGGCCTGATTTGGTACTGAGGTGATTCTGAAAAAAGTTGGTATAAAAAAAAGCTGAGAGCTGTTTTTGTGTTTGGTAAACATTCAGCTTCAGCTTTTTTTTCACAGTTTGGGTGAAAAAAAAGCCAAAAACAAGAAGCTGCAAAACCTAGCTTTGAAAAACTGGCTTTTTTTCCTATCTATTTTACAAAAAAGTTTACCAAACACTATAATACTATTATTATTTTTTTTTTCAAAAGCACTTTTACAAAAAAGTTTACCAAACACTCTGCTGCTTTATTTCACAGCTGTTTATTCTCACAGCATAGAAGAAGCAACTTTTTTTCAAAGTACAGCAATACTAAGGGCTGGTTTGGTATTGCTGTGCTTTGAAAAAAAACTGCTTCTGCTGTGCTGTGAGAATAAGCAGTTGTGAAATAAAGCAGCAGAGTGTTTGGTAAACTTTTTTGTAAAAGTGCTTTTGAAAAAAAAAAAAAAAGCAGTATTAGAGTGTTTGGTAAACTTTTATGTAAAACTGATGTGAAAAAAAGCCGGTTTTTCAAAGCTTGGTTTTGCAGCTTCTTGTTTTTGGCTTTTTTTCATCCAAAACTGTGAAAAAAAGCTGAAGATGAGTGTTTACCAAACACAAAAACAGTTCCCAATTTTTTTTTATAGCAATTTTTTTCAGAATCACCTCAGTACCAAACCAGGTCTATACCAGCCCTAAATGAGTTGAATGCCAGCTTTTTTTTTTATGGGAATGAACTTGGTCTACCGGATAAACCCCAAACCCTCTAAAAAAACTGGAGCAGTCACTCCTCTGTTCAAGTTCTTTCTCTATGCAATCTCTGTAATTCCCTGTTCTCCACCAAAAAATGGACCTTCAAATCACATTCAAATCGAACCCACTTCTCGTTTCTTCGACCCCATTCAGTCACACATCTCCAAGACCCCTTCTTTTCAACCTGCCCACAAAGCACAGACCCAAAATTTCCCGGCAAAAGCCAACCTTTCGAGTTATGGCGTCTGTAAATTCAAATGGGCCTGATAGGTTTTCTTGGCAGAGTCTGACTCGGTCCATACGCCGCGGTTCGGAGCGGTTTTGGTCAGATTTTGGTGAGTCAGTGAAGAAGGAAACTGGGTTTGATTTGAAGGAAGCTAATGTGACGGTAGGTGACTTTGTTGGGCGAGTTGGGGACGGGTTAAAGAAGGGTGGGACTGAGTTGGAGCGGTTTAGGACTGAGTTGCTGCCGGAGTTCGTCAGCTGGAATCGGTGGGAACGTTGGAAGGTAAGACAATTAGATTCAATTTTAATTTCTGTTTGGTTGCAGAGAAAGTAGAACAGTTAATAAGCTGCAAAGTTGAGTTTTTTGTTTTGATTAAGTAGCGGCGGGCACCGAATGTTACTTTGAATTGGAAATGTTAGCATTTGTATTAACACTTGTAACTCTTCAAGCACATACCCAATGACATTCATATGGCACGAAGGTCGATCCTTTTGAAATAGTTTGTGGAGTGCGAAGTATACAATAGAATGCCTCTTGTTTGAAAACAGCAGATAATTTGATGCAGAAAGTTTCCATAACTTTCAATCAAGTGGATTTTATAAGATAGTCCCAAACTGTCCTGCTCACGTATGAATAGAAAATACATAGATGCTAGATGATGAATGGATTATCAAAATATTTCAATAATGTTACAAGCGATTGAAATAAGTAGTAAGGCAGAAACGCGATTCTATAGCTTAGGTAGTTTTTATCATTTTTATATCGTTGCAAAAGTGATACTTATTTCGCCACAAAAAGGGTGATACTTAATATTTATAAGTCGCTAACGCACCATCTCTTGATAAACTTTTGTAATGATGCAGTCAAATTCTTTTATTTTTAATACATAATGATATGGTCTCTTCATTTGTTATTTTCAGGATCTCAAGACATGGGAATCTAAAAGAGTTGCTGCTTTGATTTTCTATGTTTTTATTACCTTAGTTTCTTGTCAAAGAATATATATAGCAATTCGAGCTCCTCTACAAAATCGTCAAAGAAAAGAGTTGACAGAGGCTTATATGGAGGCAGTGATTCCTGAACCATCTCCAATCAATGTTAGAAGGTAAGTTATTTTTGTGTGTATCTATCCTTTAGTTCATGTTGAATACATCACATTTATGATTTAAAGATTAAGACATGACATAGATAGGTCATAAACAAAAACAACGGAGAACGAGGAATAAAGATAAAGATGCTTAAGGGGATCCTTTCTGCTTTCAATAATCACGGCCCTCTGTTACACTGTAGGTTTAAGAAAGGCATGTGGAGGAAGATGACACCCAAAGGCTTGAAGATGAAGAAGTTTGTTGAAGGACCTGATGGAACACTTGTTCATGATAGTTCTTATGTTGGAGAGGATGCGTGGGATGATGATCCACAGCCGCCTCAGGAGAATGTGAAACAAATTATTGACAGTAATGTGAAATTAAATCCAGAGGAGAAGAAGGAACTGGAGGAAGACTTGGGAATTTCTGGTCAGTGTCTGTTTGGAATTTATTTAGAGTAATTTGAGTTGGTGTTCATTACAAATTTAGCATAGAAAATTTGGTTTAAAAAATGTTTTATCTTCATTGATTATTTGGTCTGAAACCCCTTTAAGTGAGCAACTTTGAACTCAAGAATTGTGCGATTTGATGTCTGGGTGTATGTGTACCGTCAGTCCACACTGAATTCTAGAGATTACAAACATAACTGCAACTAACCGATTGTTATTGTTAAATATCATGTAAAGTTAGTTATGCTTGTTGTATTGGACTCTGGCTAATTCTTTTTGGTGTTTGCTTTGCAGGTCAAGTTCAAGAAGATAGTGGAACATGGCGTGAAAGACTTCAAAAATGGAACGTGATCCTTCAGAAGGAAAAGTTAGCTGAGCAGTTGGACTCTGCAAAATCCAAGTATGTAGTTGAATTTGACATGAAAGAGGTTGAAAACAGTCTTCGCAAAGATGTGGTGGAAAAGGTAACAGAGACACAGGGAACCAGGGCATTATGGATAGCTAAAAGATGGTGGCTATATCGTCCTAGACTTCCATATACGTACTTTCTTCAGAAGCTTGATTGCTCTGAGGTAACAATTTGCTCTAACCTGTTATCGTTATTTATTTTTCTCTCCTTTTTAATAGATATCTCAAGGAATTTTTTCCAACATTGTGAGCCAAGGGTTAGGTAGGCAGTTTCTGATGCTGTATTCCTTTTGGACAGGTAGCTGCTGTTGTATTTACTGAGGACCTAAAAAGGATATATGTTACCATGAAAGAAGGTTTTCCATTAGAATATGTTGTAAGTTTACCAAATTTTTTTCATAGCCACCCTCATTTATCTAGACTTATGAAGGCTTAGTGTTTTTTCCTTTTATGGTAGGTTGATATCCCCCTAGACCCTTACTTGTTTGAGATTATCTCAAGTTCTGGAGTTGAAGTTGATCTTCTTCAAAAGCGCCAGATCCACTACTTTATGAAAGTTCTAGTTGCATTGGTGCCTGGGATACTTATTCTCTGGCTTATACGCGAGTCTGTGATGCTTCTGCACATCACTTCTAAGCGTTTCCTTTACAAAAAGTATAATCAACTTTTTGACATGGCTTATGCGGAAAATTTTATCTTGGTAAATTTCCAAATATTTTGTCTCATTTTATCTTCTTATTATCTGGATTATTGAGTTCTCAATGCACCTTATACTCCTTCAGCCAGTTGGAGATGTGGGGGAAACAAAATCAATGTCCAAGGAAGTTGTGTTAGGAGGTGATGTTTGGGATCTTCTTGACGAGCTGATGGTTTATATGGGAAATCCAATGCAATACTATGAAAGAGAAGTCAAGTTTGTCCGGGTAAGTCAAGTTTGTTTCATGAAAGATAAAGACAGCTATGCTGGACTTTTGCCTGAAATATTGCAAATCTTACAAAAGAAAGTAAAAAGTTCGTTGATGATCATTCCTAACAGGGTGTTCTTCTCTCTGGACCTCCTGGAACTGGCAAAACACTTTTTGCGAGGACATTAGCCAAGGAAAGTGGAATGCCATTTGTTTTTGCTTCGGGTGCTGAGTTCACAGATAGTGAAAAAAGTGGTGCTGCAAGAATTAATGAGATGTTTTCAATTGCAAGGAGAAATGTAAGCATCCTTCTCTTTCTAATTTACAGATGTAATATCACAGATTAGCACAATGACATTTCTTTTAGGAGATCATTCACAAAGTATTTGTGTTTGTCACAAATCTGTGAATCATAATGTTTTGGAGGAATTGTGCTGACACAGATGATGAAATTAATGTTTAATTTTCACTGAAAACGCCAATGCAAAACATTGTGGAGTTTTTGCAGTCTGGATATTGTGCTTTTATTTTCTCTGAGAACACTAATACAAAACATTGTAATTTACTATCCTTCTTTCAGGCTCCTTCTTTTGTATTTGTGGATGAAATAGATGCAATTGCTGGAAGGCATGCAAGATTGGATCCTCGAAGGAGAGCAACATTTGAGGCTTTGATTGCACAGCTTGATGGGGAGTAAGTATATTAATTGAACAAAGCTACATGCTTCTCATTTTCCTTGTATAATGAAATTTAATGTTCAGTATGTGTTCATGTCTAGGAAGGAAAAAACTGGTGTTGATCGGTTCTCTCTTAGACAAGCTGTGATATTCATCTGTGCTACGAATAGGCCAGATGAGTTAGACCTTGAATTTGTTCGACCTGGGCGTATTGACCGTCGACTGTATATTGGTTTGCCTGATGCAAAGCAACGAGTGCAAATTTTTGGTGTGCACAGTGCTGGAAAGCAACTTGCAGAAGATGTAGACTTTGGTAAAGTAAGTGTGATCTCTAGGTTTGGTGCTTTTTATTTTGGTAATTGGTGGCTGTTTAATATAGTATGGATGACAATCTGATTTGGTTTTGGGCTTCCTTTTTCTTCCAATTCAGCTTGTCTTCCGCACTGTTGGTTTTTCTGGGGCAGATATTCGGAATCTTGTCAATGAAGCAGCAATCATGTCAGTAAGTAAAACATACAAACACCAAAAGTTTAGCTTAAGTAAACTTTTTGTTTGTATTACTGTTCCCTTGAAATAGGAGTTGTGCGAGGTATTGATGGTGAGGAAATTGAACCGGTAATTATAGTGGCATTGGTTGCTCCAAGGTGTGAACTAGGTTTATTAATCGGTACCTATACATGTACTGTTGTATCATTAACGTATCAATGAGAATACAACAAATCTAGTGTAATGATGGTGACTTTTTTCATGACCGTTCTTGGTGAATAGTTATATTTGGTGAAGTGGTGTGAGTGTTTACTGGAATCTAAATAAAAAATGATTTGATGTTTCATATGATGTTTAAGTTTTGAATAGATTATGAGTATGCTTTTGAATAAAATATGTATTTATTATTTTGAAGAGAAAGCTTCTCATGCATATTTGCAATCTAGTGTATCTGTACAGCTCACTCAAGTTTATTTGCATGTTGTTTTCTACCCTTCACTTTTCAGGTGAGGAAAGGGCGTTCAAAGATCTACCAGGAAGACATTGTTGATGTGTTAGACAAACAATTGCTTGAGGGTATGGGTGTACTTCTTACTGAAGAAGAGCAGCGAAAATGCGAACAAAGTGTATGTCTGCGTTGATTGTTCTTTAGCGGTTTCCTCGGCAGTGACAAGTGCTGTATAATGTTTATTTGGTCACTGAGTTTTATATAATTATATCATAGGTGTCTTCGGAAAAGAAGAAACTGCTAGCTGTTCATGAAGCTGGTCACATAGTGTTAGCTCATCTGTTTCCTCAATTTGATTGGCATGCATTTTCTCAGCTTCTGCCTGGTGGAAAGGTACAAATTCTGGTATTAATAAAAAAATTATGCTATTGAAATTCTGTTGGAGTGGTTCTTTGACGAGGTTTATTTGCAACATGAACAGGAAACTGCAATATCTGTGTTTTTTCCCCGAGAAGATATGGTAGACCAAGGTTATACGACCTTTGGCTACATGATGATGCAAATGGTGGTAGCTCATGGTGGGCGTTGTGCTGAGCGTGTTGTGTTTGGTGATGACATAACTGATGGAGGAAGAGATGATTTGGAGAAGATAACAAAGGTAATGACAATTACTTTCGTGATATAAATTTATGGAATTACTTCTCTGCATGAGATATAAAGTGCAATTTGCACAAAGTTATATGAATTAAATGTCATTTAGCATTCTTTGCTTTAAAGTTTATCGTGTACCTGAGTCGTGTACATGTATTTAAGGCATTGAAAGTGTAATTAGCTCATTTCCTTTTCTCCCTTTCCCTCTTTAAATTTAGGCAAAGCAAAGTCATTGACCAGTGAACCGTAGTTTTTCAAGGTGTAAATGAATAAAAGGGATTTGCATTCAAGTAATCCTCTTGGAAGTACTGTCAAACACAGCTTGTCTCTTTACATGCTGTATACCTTTTGATGAACAGAATAGCATTCCTTGCTTAATTGCACAATGCGTCAATGCCTCATAGGCAAGATGAGTTTTTCACGAGATTTGTCTTAAACATGTTTTCTTCTGAATACTTTCACAAATGGTTTGCCACATTTAGAAGTAGTTAATACACAATTTAGTATTATCCCTTTCCTCATTTAAGTCTTGTCTTCAGATTGCTCGAGAGATGGTAATCAGCCCTCAAAATTCAAGGTTGGGGCTTACATCTTTAACCAAGAGAGTTGGACTTGTGGATCGACCAGATAGTCCAGATGGCGAGTTGATCAGATACAGGGTACTCTTATTTCTCCAAACTCGCAAATATCCATATAAAGGAAGGAAAAAAAATGCTGCAAACCTTATTCTTTTTATTTATCTGATAATCTTGATCAACTAATTCTTCTTATCTTTGTTCACGATGTTAGTGGGATGACCCCCATGTGATTCCGGCCAATATGACGCTTGAAGTGTCTGAGCTATTTACTCGAGAATTGACAAGGGTAATTTAATTTGCTTCTCATTTTTATCATTTCTAAAGCTATGCAAAAAGGATACTACTGAATGTAAGTGGTCCTGTCAAATGTTAATGGCCTCATGTATTTCGTTGAAAACTGCTTTTGGTGTGTATTGTATTCGTTGCAGTACATTGAAGAAACAGAAGAACTCGCAATGAATGGTTTGAGAAACAATAGGCACATATTGGACATGATTATAAAGGAACTATTAGAAAAGTCGAGGATTACTGGTTTGGTACGTTATAGAACACATTTCTCTTAATTGTGAACACCGTAATGTTGAGTTGATAACAATTAAATTACTTACTGATCTTATGAAATTCTTGCACCAAACTTGTTAGATATGTTTTCTCACAATCTCACGTTCCAATTTATAGGAGGTTGAAGAGAAAATTAAGGATCTTTCTCCTGTGATGTTTGAGGATTTTGTGAAGCCGTTTCAGATAGACTTGGAAAAGGTATCGATTTCAGTAGTTGCTAGTGTCGAATTGTTTGATATCCGTTTCAACTTTTAAATTTATAGATGGTTTTAGATGAATTCTTTTGTTATGATTTCTGTAGCGCTTTTTTGAAGACCGGTTTCTTGAAATGAATTCCAACTTACATGTGTTATCATTTGGTTATATTTTTAGGATGGTCCGCTGCCACACAACGATCAGTTGCGGTATAAACCACTGGACATATATCCTGCACCACTGCATAGATGTTAAAATATTGCCGGGATCATCAGCTCAATGCAGGTGCATGGGAATCTTGAAAACAAGAAGCAGCTGGGATGTCCACGGTGTTTTCTTGAATCAACCGTAGCTTGTGCTCAAGTCCATTTCCAGCGGACATGACTGGTCGCATGTTGCATATCAAGATGACATTTTGCCTGAAAGCCGACTTTGTTGAAGCTCTTGAAACCTGTAATCTACCGAGCCTTGGATGTTGTTACCTAATCCGACAACGATAACCTGTCATTGGCAATCCTTGAGGATCGCTAAGCAAGCTGTGGGCAGTCAGCATGTAAAAGAAGGGTGTCGTGTTTCGAAATGAGGATCGGTTGCAGATTACTGAAGAAAACAGAACTAGGCTCAGTTGGTGCTTCATGTCAATTTTGTATTTGCTTGTTCTTTCTTTTCCTGCTCAAGTGTATGATCAATTTTTGTAAGACTGCGAACTCAGAATAGCATAACCAAAATTTATTTTGTAATGCTACGAGCCTAAATTATGTATGAAATAGTTCCTAAATTTTCTCGTACACCGATGAATATATCAAGAATTAAGATTCGCAATCTGTTGGTGCCAAATTCCTCAACGATCCAAGAACATGAAAATTATTAACAATTCATGGGAATAAATTCCTTTATTGGAATACTTATATGTAGCGAATTAAGTTGCAAGAGCGTTGAAGGTAATAACCGTAAAAATAGCCATGTAGTTATCCTATGCGGCTATGCCTTACAACTTGCTGCTCGGAACCCCTACTGGTGCATCTCTAGATCTCTTTTCTACTGATCGGGAAAGTTGTTTCACTGCTTCTTTTGGCAGATGGCGAGGCCGGCTCAGCCAAAGTCCCCCATCAACTACAATGACAGTTCCATTGATGAATTTACCTGCAAAATTTACAATGATAAATAAGTTTCCAATCCTTTCAGAAAATAAATCGATAAATAAGTTCCCAATGATAGATAGGGGAAATGAATGACGTAAAAAGAGAAGGCTAGCAAAACCCATAGACATGAGCATCATGACCAATTCAATGTTTTGTTGGTTTCATTTTCTAGTATTTCACTGACTAAAGGTTAAGAATGAACGCTTTATTCTACTCAAAGGATAATAGGACTGGATGACACTGAAAAGCTGAAGCATCAGAAGACAATGCCCATAAATAGTCCTGAAACCAGATACATATGGAACAAGGATGGACTCTTGCACTTTGATAATCGACAGTATTTCATACTGTTTCTTAACTGGTTTGGGCACGAAAGTTTACAGTTATGCAATTGTTAATCACATGTTGCTATACAAAAATGATGATATTCAATGGCACAAGAGAAGGCTATCCAACCTGCATCTGAAGTAAGGTAGAGAGCGGCCATAGCAATATCCCATTTGTCCCCTAGTTTATACAAAGGCATGTAATCTCTAGCTTTGCTATTTATCTCTGTTGGTGCAAGTTTACTCATGCCAGGCGTATCACCAATGGGACCCGGTGCTATTCCATTGACCCTAATGTCGTAGTCAGTTCCCCACTCCAGTGCCAAGTTTCTCATAGTGGCATCGACAGCTGCCTGTTGAAACGGGAACATTTTAAACTACGTTGATCACTAAAAGAAGACATGATAACTGAAAACCTATCAAACAAACCTTGGCGGCTGATACATGGACTTGATACCAAGCAGCTGTATAATGTAAAGTAGCACTGATGTTCAATATTGTTCCACCACCAGATGAGCCCCTTCCGGGACCTCCTTTTTTAAGATACTTGAGTGCTTCGTAGCACATTGTGAATGTGCCAACAGCATCAATATCCATAACTGCAAGAAACAGATGAAATCAATGGTCTTTTGGCCAAAATCTCAAAGCACCCATAAATACGTAAAGCACAATGATAATCTAGTGAAAGACCTCAATATGTACTGCAACTTTGAATTCACCTTAGAAAGTCAACTATTGGCCTAACAACGTATCTCATATGTTTGTTATTACTTGTCTCCAATTTCAATTGAGTTCAAAGGCTGAGATTGCTGGGTTAAGTCCTAAGAACGTAAAATGGGAAATAAGTTTATGAATGCACCCATTCTTGCTTTCTTCTGATTTCAAGCATGTCTCTATTTATCCTTTATCTGTTAACCTAAAATCTTCGAAATTTACAAAAGTTTCATGTTAAACTTAAAACGTTAAGATCCCAAGCTAGAGCAAACCTCACACTTACATTTTCACCAAAACTAGTGCTCAATAATTGGCTAAAAAAGTTTAAGCCACTCATTTATAAGAAGAATTTCATTTGATACCAAAATAAACAAAATAATAACAATAACCATGTGTTAGAACAAATTCATATGTGCAAACATATGATAAGAATTGTTACAACATTCAACCTGTTCGAAATCCATTAGGGGACAGGTCCTCTGCTGATGCAAGAAAATTGCCAGCTGCGGCATTCACAAGTATGTCAAGCCTACCAAAATGCTGGAAAGTTGATTCCACCACTCGTTTTGCATCTTCCTGTTTACGAACATCCCCCACAAAACCAACAGCCTGAAACAAAAGAAAAACACGAAATAAATAAATCTTGACCTATATGACCAACGAATATCCTTCCAAATCACATATTACGTTTGCAAGCCACAAGTAAATCAGTGTCATATAGACAAATGCCTGAAAGCCGCCAAGACATGCCTCAGGAGGCTTACTGGATATTGGAATTCAACACTGCTGAACAAGTTGGTGCAACCATAGTAAATTAATGAAATCCAATACGAAATGAACTTATGGACTAATACTAAATCACTACTCCAAGAATTGGACTTTAAGCCATTTAATGCCAGCGAATGAAACCACAACCACAACGATCTCAAGCCCGCCAAGTAAACTCTAGAACCTACTCCTTGTGTTGCTGACTATTCAACTTTTCATCTCATAGTTAAGATCATAATGCAATTATGCAGCCCTAAATTGCTCTACCAACAGAATCACCATTCCTTTTTTTGCCCAAAGTGAACACAGGTTCTGCTTTTCGTTAAATTGCTGACCTTTCAATTCACACTATATTACTTGTAACTAAAACAAGCACACACCCTTTCAACTCCAAAGTATACAACAAGTCAACAATCCAATGAAAATAAGGCCACCGACGCATTCATAATTCAACACTCGTAATTTAATGGCAACCGATAACCCCATTTTAGTTGAGATAGTGAACGGTAAAGTAAACCCAGATGCGCATACAAAGTATAAATGAAATTCCGAAATGCTCCTGCTTTTTCAATCAACCAAGAAGAACCACAATTATTATGCTTTTCTGGAAAAGAAATTCCATTTCATTTCCCTCATTTTCTCAGCAACCAAACAAGCCCACAATTCAGTAAAACAGAGACGCCAACATTAAAAAAACAAAGCCCCAGCTAGGGAGTTAAAGGATAAGATAGTGCATAGTCAGAAATTCAATATCTTTCCTAACTTTTCTCATCACCCAACCGCCAAAATAGTTCACTTATCAAAACGAAAACAAACATAATCATATCAAATTCCATTTCCCTCAATTTTCCTAGCAACGAAACAGACCTCAGAAAAGAAAAGAGCTTGAAAAAAGAGAAGGCACCTGAATTCCAAGAGAGCCAAGCTCGGAGACGGCAGAGTCCAGCACTTGCTTCCGGCGGCCCATGATGGCAATGGATGCTCCATGCTTGCCGAATTGGGTCGATATTTCGAACCCGATTCCTGACCCGCCTCCGGTTATAAGAGCCACCTTCCCTTTGACCGCATCAGCCTTGAACGGCGACTCCATCTCTCTCTCGCTTCTCTGGAGCTCTTGTTTTCCTACAGATTTGCCTGATATATGCTGATCAATGTGTAAAGTTTGTGGTGCAAAATAAAAATTGTTATATTTTATTGAGCCAATTACAAATTTTGCCACTTTCATAACCACATTATTTATTTAAAATTTTCACATTACTGCCTAAATTTATAAAATGTTAACAATTTAAACAACTATTATGTTTAAGTTTCTAACTATATGCGCAAGAAAAGATTCTTTCGTGACCAATTTATAATCTTAGTAGCATCTTCTAGCTAATTAAATGTTTGACGCATATTAAAAAATAAATTATTTATCTAATAGAAATATGCCATTGAAAACAAAAAAAGTATCTCTTTCAAAAAAAATTATAAAACTCACTTACAAAAGATAATTAGGCTGTGTCTAATTTCGATTTGAACCCGTTTATTCTAAATCTTTAGGGTTTGATTACTTAAGTTGTAGAATTTGTGTCAGCCAAAAATTAAAAACAGACTAATATATGGTTTGATTGCCTTCTAAAAGTAATCGTTGTGCATGTCACATATATAATTAATAGAGGCCCGTATAATGAGGCATAAAATAGCTTAAACTGTTAAATTTAATACTTCACATGTTATGTGAAATTTTTTGAAAGATTAGGTCTCTTTCACTGAAAATTTCAAAAGTAAATTGTAGAAGTAACTCCTTTTTCATTGACAAAAATACAAAATAAAGTTAGCTCCTTTTTATCCTTCCTACCAATTTGTTTTCCTTGCTTTTATTGACAAGCAATACATAATCTACATTTAAATTATAAAAATGGAGATTTGATCAAGAAATTTAGGTGCCAAGATGAATGCTATTAAATTATTAGTTTTCATTATTTTAACTTATTTTAATTTTGGCGCTAAAAATTAGCAGCCAAGCGGCGTCGTTCCGGTCACACCCAACTCAAAGGTAAAAATTCCAACTATTGAGAAGCGGGAGGCAGATGTATTTCTTTCTGCTGCTTTTTTTTTGTTAAGAAGGGAGATTGGTTTTTGCAGAAAGAGGTAAACCTCGCCAGGAAAATAGAAGAAGTTGTAGGGAAACAAATGGAGGAATTTGAATGCAAGGAGAAGGAGGCACTTGCTGATATTACCCAGGTACTGCATTTTTCAGTTGGAAGAAACGATTTAAATACATACACCAGCTATGGTCTAAGTAAAACTTGTCGAAAAACTAGTCTTCAACGTCCATTTTCGGTTTCGGAAATGTTTGCTTATGCATTATACCTTGAACGTGCAGGTTTTAAAGGCGATAACATATTACACCCACCTATACCTGTTAGTTAACGGACGCTTTCACATCGTTGGTTGCTACTATTCATTTCATACCCGACGAGACTATCCTATTGCCGGTGTTGTAAACGAAGACGAAGCACGATCTTATTTATTTTAGACTTCCTTCAGCTTTCAAGGCGTGTTGAAAAGATGAAGATGCTGGATGATGGGTTTAAAGAGAAAGAACAAGAATGGAAGAAACAAAAAATACAGATGCTGGAAGAGAAAGGGTTACTCGAGAAAAGGAGTAAGAAGAGAAGGGTTAACCGAAAACTTCAATTGTATCATTTTTCTAGTACGTATAGGCATAGAATGTCCGTTTTTAAGCTTTGTTTCTTTTGTTAATTAATTTCAAACTTTTTATGTTGTGAAAATTTATTTTGAAAAATAATGAACTTAATAACCACCCCTATGGTTGTTTATTTTTGTGAATATTTTTTCTGGAAGTGGCCCTTTAACATAGTAGAAATATGTTGACACGACATCATGAGTTTAAACCTCTTTCAGTAGCTAATCTAACATTTAATTTAAAAAAAAAGGTATGATCTAAAAAAAAGGAAAGTAAAAAGAAGAGGATAATTTGGCATTGTGAAAGATTCACCCTACTCCCTTAAGATCTACTCCGACTCTTGGAGTAAAATTTAAATTTTAGGTTTTAAACTTATTCTAACTTGCTCCAATCCTTAAGACAAATATGAGTTAAAACTCAAAACTCATTTCTGGGCCTCAGAGTTAGTGGGGCTGACCCGCCATATATGTGTATTTTTTTTAGCTTTATATTATAAATTCATTAAATCCAACGGTTAAGATCTAATTTGATGAAATTCAATAGTAAAAAAAATATCTAATGGTCCAAATTTAAATCCAACGGCTAAAGTAATTAAAAAGGGAATTGTTATTAGTACTCCAAAAATCTCATTCTACACTCCAAACTTTCTATATTAGGAAAGAAAAATACACTCGTGAGGAGTATAGAATGAGATTTTTGAAATGCCAATAACATTTCCTTTAAAATAAACTTCTTTTATGTGTTTCATATTTTTTTTCATAGTGTTTCACGAGTTTTATGATGTCAATTATTAATTTTTCAATAGTTATCAGAATCTGAATACTTTTAAATTAAAATGTTCATAAAATTAAATTATAATAAAAAAATTATTTCTAAGTTAAATCCTAAATAAACATACATAGAATCTCCACTTTTTTCTTCCGCGGGAACTACAAATCCTTCTTGGATTCCCATTGCCGTGTTCCCATCCCAATCGTGTGATTAGCACGATTAATTACGGTAAACACGATTAACGCCACTCCAAATTCTCCCTAATTTTTTTATCTAATAGCACTCGATCCTTGTTAGGAATGAATTAAATGACAATCCTAATTCCTTTCGGAAAATCCCAACCACTCCCTTTATAATCCCGGTATCTCTCCCAATTCCACAGATATTTTTTCCAAACCCCAGCATTGCCATCGGAAAACGACATGTCGACCTGAGGAAGAGAAGATCGAAGCCCCTGTACCAGCACCCGCCCCGCGGAAGAAGAGGCGCCGTTGGACGACGGAGCGAAGGTGAGAAAGGACCTCCGACGACGAGGTTTTCGAGATCGGCGAGAACGTTGCGATGCAGTTCCAGACCGTCAAGACTTTCTTCCAAGATGAGAGCGTGGCGCGCGACGTGGTGATGCCGGTCCCGAACGTCCACAGCGCGGTTTCTGCACCAAAAGCCTGGATCTGAATCGGAAGGCGGAGCACGAGGAGGCGTTGAAGAAGGTGCCGAGGAAGTTCAACGACGATTTCGTCAAGGACGAGAGCACCGATAGCTTGATGCAGCTGACCCTGGCCGCGTATTACTTGAACGTCGATCAAATGCTGGGGGTGCTGCACCAGTGCGTCGCCGATCGGATCAAGAACAAGTGCGTGGAGGACGTGAGGAAGTTGTTCGCCCACCTGGAGATTGAACATTTTTTCCCATTACTTAAACAATTCTCTCTTACTCATCGATTTCCCATAACATCCTTGAAAAAACAATGTAAGAAGCAAACAGAAACTATGAAGAATGATAGAGATTTTGATTTTGGTGTGTGATTTCTTAGGATGGATGGTGGGTTATATGGAGGAAAAAGAAAGGATTAGGTAGTAAATAATGCCACGTGGCATGTCATCATTTGTTACAAATTTGATCGAAATCTATCCTCAAATATTGTAAACAGATTGTAACATGTGACGCGACGTGATTGGTTAAAATTTTTATCGGAAATCTATCCTCAACGATTCTGAAAACGTAACACCACGTGGCTGTTGTGCCTTGGCCCGTTCGTTAGTGCGGAACCGAGATTCAGATTACAACCTCACCAAAATCACACACAGTTGAACAAAATAAAATACAAGAAATAAAGACACCGAGAAATTTACGAGGTTCGGCAAAAACCTGCCTACGTCCTCGGAGAGATATTGCTCTTCACTATGAGAAAAACAGTACAAGTTACACATGAGTTAAATCGACATAACCCAATCTCATATCCCTTGTACACCCACTCACAGAATTTTCCCAATAGCCTCACTCTACCCCAAGAGTTCTTTCACAAGAGATCTTTCACTCTAACTCTCTTGATTTCTCTCACCCATGCCCATGGTAGAGCCAAATGCTCACACCATCTCTTTTGGATGCTTTCATTCTCTCATCCGTATCCTTGTTTTGCCAAATGCTCTCTTTTTATGCTTTTCTTAATCCAAGCATTCTCCCACAAAACATGGCTTTGAAAAAGCCACAAAACATGGCTTTGAAAAAGCCACAAAGCATGGAGCAATTTAAGCCACAAAACAAGCCACAAAACAAGGAAACATTTGGCCATTATCCAACAATCTCCACCTTGGCCAAATTGTACCAAAGTCCATTAGCCTTACACACTCTGAATCAACCTCGTTGGTCCTGTTCTGATTCAGTTACTGCCAATGCATGTGCAGCTGCTGCAAGCTAAAAATCACCATTTAGCTTCAGACAGGATCTCAACACATCCTCGTCTCCTCCAGCAGGTTTTCCTCCTCTTCATTGTCTGCAACCTGGAAACTCGTCAGCGCGCCTATTTCCAGCAACAACCCATCGAGCCAGACAAAATTCCCACACTTCCTCCTACCTCAGGACCTTCTCATCACCTGTGAATCTCATAGCTCCACCTGCTGCAAAACCCCTGCAACACTTGAGACTAAACATCACCAGGAGAAGTGTTGCTTCGAGTACCTAGAGGGCATACTCAAAGTCTTCCACCACAAACTTGCTAACCCGGCCTTGCACCCGTAGCACTGTGGACCCTTGCCTCCGGAACAGGATCTGAACCTGTTGTCTCTCTCAGATACTCTTTCCAATTTTCTTCCACGATTTCAACCTTGAATAGCTTAAGCAGTCTTGTGCCCACCATCATCTATGGTCTCATTTGTGTATCATTCCACACCAAAGAAGCTTGCACCTGCTCCAAACTTACTGTTTCTTTCTTTGCAGTAAAGTTTCACAAGGTTCTCGTACAAATCTGAAAGTGAGGTAAGAAGAAAGAGGCCTTTGTCTTCTTCCTCAACATCAACTTTCGCAGTTGATCCAAGCATCCCTAAACACGGCTTCCATTTCTTCAGGCTTCCATTACTCTCCTTTACCAAGAGCAAAGCCGCCTCTCCCTTTAAACTGCTCAACTGAAAATTCCATGGTGAACAACAAATCTGGACCTCCAACGAACCAAAGCCCCCAACGATGCTCTGATACCAATTGTTGTGCCTTGGCCCGTTCGTTAGTGCGGAACCGAGATTCAGATTACAACCTCACCAAAATCACACACAGTTGAACAAAATAAAATACAAGAAATAAAGACACCGAGAAATTTACGAGGTTCGGCAAAAACCTGCCTACGTCCTCAGAGAGATATTGCTCTTCACTATGAGAAAAACAGTACAAGTTACACATGAGTTAAATCGACATAACCCAATCCCATATCCCTTGTACACCCACTCACAGAATTTTCCCAAAAGCCTCACTCTACCCCAAGAGTTCTTTCACAAGAGATCTTTCACTCTAACTCTCTTGATTTCTCTCACCCATGCCCATGGTAGAGCCAAATGCTCACACCATCTCTTTTGGATGCTTTCCTTCTCTCATCCGTATCCTTGTTTTGCCAAATGCTCTCTTTTTATGCTTTTCTTAATTCAAGCCTTCTCCCACAAAACATGGCTTTGAAAAAGCCACAAAACATGGCTTTGAAAAAGCCACAAAACATGGAGCAATTTAAGCCACAAAACAAGCCACAAAACAAGGAAACATTTGGCCATTATCCAACAGTGGCACGACGACATTAGATAAAAATCTTATCGAAATCTATCACCAAAAATTATCTTTTCGGATAATGACACGTGACGCAACGAGAACGATTAAAAATCTTATCCGAAATTACAAATAAAATTATTTTGTATTATTTTATAAAATAAAAAATACTAATATTTTATTGCCTATTGTCATGGCTATTCAATTAGGATTGAAGATGCAAAAGGCTGTTACTGTTCATTAAAGATAGTTACCGTTCATTAAAGACAGTTACCGTTCATTAAAGACAATTACTGTTTAGTGAAGGAGATTCAATAGGAAGTTGTTCCAGAGGACATTTGATACGTTGGATGCTCTAAAAGTGAGTCAATTTTTAAACTTCCAAAGCTCTCTTGATCTCTTTTGAAACAAACTAGGCCAGATAAGAAACAAGTAACTCCAATCTCTACCGTAGGTGCCAAAGAACAACGAGAACAAGCCCGAAAAAAAGCAAAAAGGAACAGGCCGAGATAATAACACACGACAACGTCAAACATCACATCAGTAGCAATACAAGCAAATACGCAATACAACCTAACATTAGTTCACTGCACAATCCACTATGGTGTAGTGTCATATTCGGCAACTAATCCAACCTAAAACTCATCTCTAACGATAAGATGCTATGCCCGGGAACAGATTTGACAGTAGCTTGCCCAGAATCATTAAGTGTCTGCCTGCTGCTGTTGCGCTTCTTGTTGCTGTTGCTGTGGCTGTTGAGGTCGAGACTGAACCAACGGCATGAAGGCCACAGGTGGTCTAAGCTGTTGAGCAGCATACAGTGCTGGTTGATCAACTGGCTTCCCCATAATCATCCCAGGAGCTCCCACTGGATGCTGCGGTGGAACATAATAGTACGGAACATCTGCTGGGGAACCCACCACCGGGAGGGTAGCCTTGGTCACTCCGAGCCCCTCTTCCTTCAACTCATCTCTTGGGATAATATCAACCAAAAAATCAAAGACGTCAGTCCTTGAAATAGCAGCTGCGATATCATTCTTTTGTAATGTCCTCCTTTTGTTCTCCTCTGTCTGAATCCACGAGCGCAAAGTCAGCTCCAATATGAATATTTCACATGCCTTTGCAAACACAACTGGAGCCTCGGCAGATATCATTCGAACATCCTCATCAGCTTTCATTATTTTCTTAATTCTAGCAAGTGGAAGGCTGTGATTCTTGAAGTCGGATGCTTTCTCAATGTCTTGCATTTGGTCGGACCAGAACTCTTGAAGCTGCACCTGTTGGTGGTGGTGAAAGTGCTCTATTTTCTGGTAGACAAGCTGATGTGACGGATCAGGGAAAGTGGTGGGGGCCTGCGATGGGGAAGTGACGGCCACAGCAAGAGTTCCAGAAGCCACTATGGGAGCAGTTTGACAGGACGAAGGAGCATATGATGCCATTTGGCCAGAACTTGCTACGGCACCATCCACAGGCTGCTGCTGTTGCTGTAGTGTTTGTTCCGAGTGATCCATGGTTAACTACGGGAAAGTGTCCTTCTTGTCCTTGCTATTCCCTAATCATAATGCTGGATAAAAATAACAAAATGAATAAAAGGACATAAGAAAACATAGGACCCTTGCGAGACAAGAACAAAAAAGCATCGGAAAATAGAAAATGTCAAAAGAACTCTTCTTTTCACCATAACCAAATTGTTTCAATCACCTCCAAATCCTTTTTGTTGGGGTGGGGGGACTTTTCGATTTGATGAAGGGAAACTCAGACATTCAATAATCTCCGTTTACGCCTCTCCAATAACTAAACGTGAGTTCTGTTTCCATTCATCTATCCACTTAAATAACATGCTTACTACCCTGCCTGGGCAAAAGCTAGTAATTTGAGAGCCTAAATTTTTTTCATTTCTCACTTCTTATCGAATCCGCTCTGTTGATTCTACAGTTCCTTCACTAAACAACGTGTCTCGTTTCTGCAGGAAATCATTCTTGCCAAATAATTCTATGATAATTTATGACACATACATGCTTATATTTACATAATCACAAACAATATATACACAAACCCTTGAAAGAAAACAAGAATACTAAAACAAAATCAATCACAGAAGAATCTAAAAATCAGTCATGCAAAATAAACAGACACTTGCTAACTGCACGCCTTCAAGTTTCTAACAAGTAAAGCTTAAACAATACATTACTATTAACTAACAAGTTAAAATTGTATAAACAAACAGTTAAGAGGGATTAGGGAAGTTTTAATTTCATATTATCCACACTCAAGCTCCTAATGCACTATTTGGTTGCTAAAAAAACTAAAACTCTAGTCCTTTTTTCCCACTGGGTGCTTAATTAAGTGAACCCACTAATTACAACACGATCCAGAACAACACAAACACATAAAGATGGAAAATTTTCCATTTTTCTTGCCTAAACTTTCCCAGCACCCAAACAGAGGATGCAAACAAAATAACAAGCCAGCAGACAATTTCCTCAGAACACCCAAAGAAAAAAGTAAAATTGAAAATTACCCAGCAAAGCTTAGCTGAATCTTCTTCTTGGCAGAAACCCTATGAGAGAGAGAGAGAGAAAAATCTAGTGAGCGAGTGAGAGGGCTAAAAGGGAGGGACAGAGGAAGTTTGAAATGTTTTACAGAGAGAGAGAGAGCGTTATGGGAGAGAAAGAGAGAGAGAGAGAGTTCTGGGAGGAAGCATGGATATGTTGACACGTTTCGAACACTAAGTTCTGACTATCGAGGACTTATGTTCAGAACTGCCACGTTTCGAGTGTTCACTGGAGCTACAGTGGACAGGAATGGTCGCGTATGCGACTGTGACGTATGAATAAAATGACTGCTTACATGGTTTATATCGGGTAAGGGGTATTTCGGTAATAACATTTTTTTTCCAGGTAAGCATGCAGGACAGGCCGTGGAGCAATTTCATGAGGTCATGTGACTGCTTACATGGTCCATCATTTATTACCGATTGACACTAGACAATGTGAACATAGAGAAATTCGGTGTATAACTGTCAGATCACGTGTTAATAGAAACTATCGAACCTACTTGTGTACTCTCATCCTATAAAAGGGTCGAATGCAGCTGCAAGTGACAAAAGTAGGTTCTATATTGGGCGTCACAAGCTTAAAATACATGATTTGAAGCAATTTATGGCTACACTCTATACTTAGCTTAGAGTAGTTGAGGAAAATGATGGGGACGGACAATGCATCATTTGGTCTATGAACACCAGCCCTACTTCGCCATTGTGTGGCTGATCACGCAATGGCGTTCAAGGGATGTTATTTTTTATCTTATTTTAAAATTTTGGATCAACTGTACGAAATCTCTCAAGCTTTACGTCGATATCTAGTTAGGGTTGTGGCCGGCATGGTTGAGGGAGGGCGAGAGGTGAGTTTGGGAGGGCCAATTGATCCATAAGCCCACAACTGCAAAAGCTACCTAAATGAAAGCTCTCACTTCTTCATAAAAGTCCACATGCTTAGGTAAAGTGGGCACACAAGAGTGACTTGTATAACACATGTACATCGCTATGATAACATTTCGTATACTCGTATCATATAAGTTCTCTGAATCCACATAATATCAGGATGGTCCCGATCCCCTTCCAAGTTATCCATTTTCTTCTACTCCGAAGTTCCCTCTTTTTCTTCTTTATTTTCACGTATGAATTTTCAACCATAACACGTGACAATACAAATTAGATGACATGAAGCATGTGAAGCCGTTGAACTTTACATGTAAGATGACCTGCTTTGATACGAAAGAAAGTTTAAGTTTTACCTTAAAACCAATTGGCACAATAAAGAACAGCTCAGTTCTTTACAAGCGCATAAAATTCATTCTTTTCTCGATATAAAATTAATTTTCTCAACACAGACGACAAATACATTATATAAAAACTCTTACTTCAACAAGTCCTTGTCAATAAAGCAACCGACAATACAATATGAGCTGCTTAATTAGGGTTGACATTGCCAAATTACTCCAAAACCAAACCGGTTGAAATTGCAAGCAAAACAGAGACTCTGTGTGAGCTGTGAGGCCACCCCTCCTGTGTCTCATTGCTTGTTTTGCCGACCGAGGCCAGAGGGACTAGTGACAAACAACAAATGACACCCAATAAACACTTGTGGGCCCCGCACTATTTGTTGATGTTACCGACTCAAAAGTCCCAATCCGTTTGTCTTTTAAGGCCGTCCGGCTACTTGTATGCAAATTTTGCCACAATTCATTCATTCCTCCAAACCTTTCTACATCTAAGAACAAGAAAAACTTGCTGTTTCCCACCTTATCATGTTCCCTCCGAGGAAGGGTGGGGGAATCCAAATATGATGCATAACTACTAAGCATAATGCTTGTTTGTTTTACCTGGGACGCTGAAATTTATTAGAGTTATGCTAAGGTCAGTCGCTCATGCGTGCGTGAATGATTTCTAATCGTTGATTAAACGCGGTTTCTAAAGTGATTTACAATCAAACATCGCCCATACGTATGACTAGCGCTCAGTTTTCATTAGTGTCTTAAATGTCCAAGCTTATCCCCCCTTCAAGAACTAGTTGCCAATAAACTTGCTAATGAAACAAAAACCTCCCTCTACTTACAAAAGGTAATTATTTTTCACCTTCTATATATGTTAAGAATAAAAATATTAAGCTTCAAAATTGAATTAAAAACTAAGCATTAATCTCCCTGGAATAGTTCAATTATTTTGTATTAGAGATGATTGCCCATCGCCTCAAAACAAAGGGAATATTCTAAATCAGCATAGTAGTTAATAAAGGAACCAAACATTGTACACCATGTGAGTAGGGGAACCAGAACCACCTAAGTTCCTAAAAGCATTTATCCTCCTCTTGCTATTCTCTCCCTGCAAACTCCTCCAAAACCTAGCAATGGAAGATTTCAATGCTTGGCTCTCCTTCCCCTTGCATGAGAACCTCAACCATGATCTCGCCATTCGGAGGTTTTGTCCGGCGCGAGTTGAGCAAGAACAAGGAGGAGGTGGAGGTGGAGAGTGGGATGAAATGCTAAATGAGATTGAGTTTTCTTCATCCTCTCACACCACTAGCACTCCATGCTTGCCTCCTTCAGAGGTTGACGACTTCGTCGATAGCTTCATCAACATGGATCATTGCATTGATGATTATGACATTCAGTCCATGGAGAAACAACAAAGTAGTAGTAGTATTGAGTACTATGATCAAGATGGGATTGAGACATTTTCAATGGCGGATGATCTGTATGGAGATGTTCTGATGATGATGGAGGAAGAAGATGATCATGTGGATATGAGTGGCTTGGCGGAGGATTTTCGGGTTGCAAAAACTGAGATGATGCCTGGGGATGAGGAGGCGAGCCATGGTGTGGACCAAGGGCTTAACTTGGTGCACATGCTGCTCGCTTGCGCCGAGGCTGTTGGCTGCAGGGACACCAAGCTTGCTGACTCATTGCTTGCCAAAATTTGGGCATCTGTGAGCCCTTGGGGCGACTCCTTGCAAAGAGTTTCATACTGCTTTGCAATGGGATTGAAATCAAGGCTTTCGCTTCTTCAAAATGTCAACATAAATGGCACATTCAACAACGATATGATGGATGTTTCAGTGACCTCTAGGGACGACAAGTTGGAGCTTTTCAACTCCTTAACCAAACAACTCCTTACATCGCTTTCGGTTTCATGGTTGCCAATGAAGCTATATGCCAAGCAGCGCAAGGGAAGGAAGACTTGCACATCATTGATTTGGGAATGGAGCACACTCTTCAGTGGCCTTCTTTGATCAGAACCCTAGCATCGAGACCCGAAGGTCCGCCTAAGAAGCTGCGAATCACCGGACTTGTTGAAGATCACAATCTGTTTGAGCTTGAAGCTGGCATGAGAGCTCTGGCGGAGGAGGCTAGCTCGCTAGGGATACCAACAGAATTTAATTTGATATCGGAGCCGGTGAAACCATCACTCCTAACTAGAGAGAACCTAGACTTGAGAGAAGGGGAAGCATTATTTGTCAATAGCATCATGCACTTGCATAAGTATGTCAAAGAGAGTAGAGGCTCTCTGAAGGCAATTCTTCAAGCTCTGAAGAAATTAGGTCCATCTGTGCTTACATTGGTAGAACAAGATGCAAATCACAACGGGCCATTTTTCCTCGGGAGATTCCTCGAGTCTCTTCACTTTTACTCAGCAATTTTCGACTCACTCGAGGCTAGCCTCCCGCGAAACAGCCCTCAGAGGATGAAGATCGAGAGGCAGCACTTCGCGGATGAAATCAGAAACATTGTTGCTTTTGAGGGATTAAATAGGATTGAGAGGCATGAGAGGGCAAACCAGTGGAGAAGGCAATTAGGGCGAGCCGGGTTTCAAGTGATGGGGTTGAAGTGTACAAGTCAAGCAAGGATGATGCTATCTGTTTATGGCTGTGATGGCTACACTTTGGCTAGTGAGAAGGGTTGTCTCCTCCTCGGGTGGAAAGGCAGGCCGATAATGCTGGCATCGGCATGGCAAGCGCACAGCGTGTCTTCCTCCTAGACTCCTACTTCACCTCCGCTGTCATATCATCGTGGTTGCAGCTGGTCGATTCAGTTAAGCCATTGGCATAGTCATTTCATTTCATATTCGAAAGTAATAACTTGTGATCAGGAACACGATGCTAGATTTTGATTCCTAAACATTTTCTTACTGATGTTACCTTACCTGGCTGCGTTTTATAGCCAAATTGGTAGAAAATAAATGCATGGATGCATGAACAGCAAAAACCAAACTGTGCATTCTCTTTCGGAAAGCTCAAACAATCCGCTACAATTTCGTGAATTTCGTGGAATACAGTAAAACAAAAGAAACTGCTCGGAGCCAGTTCCATTCCGGAAATAGTGGAAACCACGGATCTATGCTCCGATCAGGATATCATACACACTATCTTATGTGTTAACGATTTAACGAATAAGATATTGCGTCCAAATCATGCAAAAACGACACAATTCGAGTGTTCAAATTATCATTTAGGAGCTTTGTGACCCTGTGCTTTAGGTTGGCTAGCCGCTGTAGTCATTACTCGTAAGCATCTGGTGATTTCTGTGAAAGATGGCCTGGCTGCAGGATTAGGGGCCCAACACTGCTCCATAAGCGTTTTCCATTCGGGATCACAATGAATTGGAATGGTGGGTCTCAACGTGTTATTTACAATACCTCCTGCAGGTATTCAAAGTAAAATTCGAAAAAAATTAAATCCGGAGGCAAACATCAGTCATAAGCAGTGTAACTATATTGACATGCCAGCACAAGCTCAACGAAAGGAACAGAGTAAAACAATTACCTATGATTGCTCCATAGTGCATGTTGGCATATGGCTCCTCGCCAGTAAGAATCTCCCACAAGACAATGCCAAAGGAGAAAACATCAACCTACGACATTTAACCAAGAGTCAGACATGGGAAGGAACGAAGTACGCAAGTGTACCAGGTCATCCGACATTATTCAGACCCCATGAAAAGAAAAAGGTATTCAACAACAAGAAACAAAACGAAATCATAAGAATAACTTCACTAATCGGACAATTTTAGTTTTCTTTAGTTATTAAACAGAAAGAGATCCAGTATGAAACTTCAATCGTGTTAGACTTCCCTATGTCTAACTGCGATTAATTGGTACACACTTTATCAGTTGTTAT